ATGATGTCTGACGATGGACAAAAAAGTTTGAAAACTCGAATGACGAGATGAGAGATTCTAAAACATATGCACACCTGAAACATACTTCTCCTTCAAATTGTGCAGAACGCAATTGGACCTGCATAAATATTAGAAAGAGAATAAATGGTACAAAGAGTTCAAGACTCGAGTGAAACACACAGACAGAAGGATCTTCCCCAACTCATAAATATAACTTAATCTCCAGCCTACATACCACATTCATTTTGAAAGTTTCCAATTCATTAATGCTATCTCAGGTCATGTAATGTCTAAAAAGAGACCAGGACACTATATTCTACACTACAAGAATCTCCATCTACTCTCAAACTGAACCAAGCCCAGAATACTGAATGCTAATTTAGGAGAATTGTTTCATACCATCAACGGTTGCTTATTTGTGCAAAAACTGAAGCAGGTCACGCATATGCATTTGATTGACAAGTTCACTAATAAGAAACGCGGAGGAATTCCTTACCAAAAAAAAAAAACATAAGAATTATCATAACTAAAACAAACCTTAGTATCGCCAGATGGAACAAAACCAAGAAGGATCCCTTTATTAATCGTCATAGCTGATACAGTTCCTCCCTGCAAATACCAAAGATGATCTAAATTTACAAGGAAAGTGAATGAATCAGATTGATGAAAACCGTGATAAAATCGCTATTATCACAAACCGACCTGGTGATCTATGTGAGCTCCTAAAGGACATATACGATACGGTGCGACCACCACTCGAACTTCTCCTTTATCTCTTCCAGTCATCTGTGACACGGCCTCTTTTATAGAAATCAACTGGAAAAATGAACGATCTCGTAGGATTAACACAAAATTCAGATTCCAAAATATCCAAAACACACAGAAAACAAAGACTCGCGGCGATTCACAGCATTATACATTTGAGCTCTACACACAAAAACTAAAATGGAATAATTGATCGATCAGATATCCGATTTGACACCCGCCGGGAAAATGTAGTACCAAGAGAGAATCATCTCAGTCGCGAAGCGGATAATATAGGCGTCGATTTTTACCAAACAAATCATGGACGATAACAAGCAGATTCTTGCGTAAACGGAAAAAAAAAGAAACAAAAAATGAAGATTAACCTCAGAATCCGTAGGCCAAGACATCGTCGCGAAGCTTTACTCCAGATGAAGATCTGAGAATGGTTAGATTGTCGTGTGAGTTGGGAGCTGGGTGGGAGAGACGAAGAAGCGGGGAGAGTGAGTGCGAGATGTGGGAGTGAGTAACCGTCGAAAGATAACGATGACCAAATAGGGTGTTGTTTGGTAACACGTCTAATTATATATCCTCTTGTTCTTGTTTGGTAAGCCTTCGTATTAAAAGGCTTTTGATTTACAATTATGCTAATTTCTACAGACTCCCTAATTACTCTGGTTTAACACTTTTAATTTTAACTTAACTCTCATTTACAGACCTCACCACCATCTTCTGCCTTCTGGTCGCATACATGAGATAAGATTATTTGATTATATAGTGGCTTAGCGGAAAGATTTAAATAAAAAGGTCAAATAAAATTTGTGCATATGTATATATGTCATTGCTCAAGAAACAAGGTTTGAAAAGTTATATTATCGAAGGAGGAGAAAAATATCTACCGACAATGTCAGGGGAAAACAAATGAATCGATCAATTCTATCAACGAGCTTCCAAATTTATATATTTTTGATAAATATATTCTTTGACAGCTATCAAAAATAATTTACTATCCAAACTCCAAAGTTGACAAGAGCTTTACATATTGAAATAATAGTACATTAATTATGTCTAACACCGGAATGCATATGTCAAATTATTATTTTTCATTAGTAACATTTATATAATTTTATAAATATTATTGATTGATTTGTTGACTTAAGAAAATTAATTTATTGCTTGTGGTAGACGTTCCTAACAATTATGGTCGAAAAAGATAACCACCATTGTTGAAAAATAAATGAAAAAAAGAACCAACAATATATTGAACCACAAATTAAAAGCATAACATAAACTTAATATACTTCCAAAATTCGTAAACAAGAAGATACAACTCGTTCAAAAAATCGAATCGCTAAATCGATTCCTATACACATTTTAAACCTAAACACCAAGAAATACAAACCGAAAATAATAAAAATAATAAATCCAACCACAAACATAGTGATATAGTGACCAATCTTAAACAAGAATGTTTCACGCCGACATGTTAATATATAAATTACACAAAACATGAGAAGCACTAATAAATAATACGTACGTTTCTTGGTATTTTTAAGTGAAGCTTATATAAACCCCCTTTGTGCCTCGCACGTAAGTTGGTTAGGTCAATTCAATTCAAATTATTATATATGTTCCTATGTATTTATATGACTCTCCAACATCTCTAAGCATAGCTAACAAGAAACTTCAAAATAAAAAGAAAAGGAGCAACGGAGGAATTCAAAAATGTCCTCCTCCTACGGCAAAGTCGACGAGCGTGAACACGTAATGCTCGAAGCTCGTCGTAAGACGAGAAAGAGAATCGCAACCATCGTTGTATCACTAGTAATTCTCGCCGTAATCGTGATAGGAGCCGTCTTAGGAACCATGGCTCATAAGAAGTCATCAGAGACGGTGGAGACTAACAGCAACGGAGACTCAATCTCCGTTTCCATTAAAGCCGTTTGCGACGTTACGTTGCACAAAGACAAATGTTTGGAAACCTTTCGATCAGCTCCAAACGCGAGCAGTCTAAATCCAGAAGAGCTCTTCAAATACGCAGTCCAAATCACAATGGTCGAAGTTTTGAAAGCACTCAACGCATTCTCTTCCTCCGGTGATCTGAAGAGCAACATCACCATGGATACATGCGCTGAGCTTCTTGACCTTACGATAGATAACCTAAACAACACGTTAACGTCATCATCAAACAGTGCCGTCACGGGACCTGAGCTAGTCGATGACCTCCGTACATGGCTGAGCTCAGCCGTAACGTATCAAGAGACGTGCGTGGAAACGTTGCCTCCAGATATGAAGCCATTCGGAGAAAGTCATCTCAAGAACTCAACAGAGCTGTCGAGCAACGCATTAGCGATCATCACATGGCTGGGAAAGATCGCTGACTCTTTCAAACTCCGGAGGCGTCTGTTGACAACCGCTGACGTGGAGGTGGACTTCCACATAGGCAGGAGATTGTTGCAGAGCACGGATTTGAGGAAAGTGGCAAATATCGTGGTGGCAAAGGATGGTTCGGGGAAGTACAGAACGATAAGTAGAGCTTTACAGGATGTGCCTGAGAAGAGTGAGAAGCGGACGATTATATATGTGAAGAAAGGAGTTTATTTTGAGAATGTGAAGGTGGAGAAGAAGATGTGGAACGTTGTGGTGGTTGGAGATGGAGCGAGCAAGAGTATTGTCTCTGGTAGACTTAATGTCATCGATGGAACTCCCACTTTTAAGACCGCAACATTCGGTAAAGCTCTCTCTCTCTCTCTCTCTCTTTTTGTTTTTTTTTTCTTATTGCTTTGGAAACAGAGGATTTCATCATTACTTATCATCCAAGAAAGTGGTTCATGTCATAGTTAGTCTGTTTTATGCTCTGTTTTTTTTTACTCTGTTTTGTTTTCTGCAGCTGTGTTTGGAAAAGGGTTCATGGCAAGAGACATGGGCTTCATCAACACAGCCGGTCCATCTAAACATCAAGCCGTAGCACTAATGGTAAGCGCAGATCACGCTGCCATTTACCGTTGCACAATGAACGCATACCAAGACACGCTCTACGTGCATGCACAACGCCAATTCTACCGTGACTGCACCATCATTGGAACAGTCGATTTCATCTTCGGTAACTCAGCTTCAGTTCTCCAGAACTGCCGGATCCTCCCTCGCAGACCAATGAAAGGACAACAAATCACAATCACGGCTCAGGGACGTACTGATCCGAACATGAACACAGGAATCTCGATTCACCGTTGTAACATCTCTCCGCTCGGTGACCTAACCGATGTCAAGACGTTTTTGGGTCGACCATGGAAGAACTTCTCGACCACGGTGGTAATGGATTCGTTTTTGCACGGCTTTGTTGACCGGAAAGGTTGGTTGCCGTGGACCGGAGATTCAGCGCCTGATACTATATTTTACGGTGAGTATAAGAACACCGGCGCGGGTGCGTCGACGAGGAATAGGGTTAAGTGGAAGGGGTTGAGGTTTCTTAGTACCAAGGAAGCTAATAGGTTTACGGTGAAACCTTTCCTCGACGGAGGAAGATGGCTTCCGGTTACGAAGGTGCCGTTCAGGTCCGGTCTCTGAGTTTGTCTTTTCGGTTAACAAGATTTCAAATTCAAATCTCTGTTCTTTGATTTTGGCTATTTGTAAATCAATGTAAGAGTTTGGTGCAGTGTTATTCTTTTGTATCATTGTTTGATTGAATTAATTCAAATTATGTGGTTTTACTTAAGACAATAGATAAACGAATTACTCTGGTGGTCTACTAGTTGAAATTGTTTTAAGCGATAGATTAAATTTCATGCATTTCTATGTTAGCTATTTTACATGTTTTAAAATGGCATCAACACTTGTCTTCTGCGAAAAATTTAGATGACACAATATATAAATTTAGAAGCACGTTTAGATAAACATGAGAACCACTCCTATTGGCTCGTCTCGATAAAATAATACATTAGATCACCTCCAATAAAGATGCTTAATGTATCTTTTAACACATTGCTTATCATTATATGTAATGATTATAATCATAAAAAAATATATATATATTGTAAGCACCATAACTTAAGTTGTGATTATAAGCAACACGTAAGCATTATTTTTGAAAATTTAATTTTTAAAAATTGATTAGCACCCTCCAATGGTGCTTACCATTGGAGGTGCTCTTAGTGCCTCGCACGCATGTACTGCGTTAGCTATTTTATTTCAACCGACAATATATTTTTATATGCATCGAAGAAAACGAAACACTGCAAATCTAGATCCCAAACAACTAGAAACTAATGAAAATTTATTGCTTTATTATTTAAAAGAGCAAGTACGTATAATTAAATATGGGTTTCATATTCTTTTAGTTTCATTCTTTGTGAAGCAAACCTCCATAGAAAGGAATATCGGTTTGGGGCAACCATGTATCTCCCATGGTGAAGTTGTAGACCGTGAAGTTCATGGCCTCTGCCATATTCAACAAGTTGTACCCTAACCACTGCACTCTCTGGTTCGTGTTTGCCCCTGGTCCAAAGTTACTATACTCACCGTAGTAGATTGTGTCTAGTCCGGTTGTACCGTTCCACTCGAGCCATCCGACTGGTTGGACAATGTCACTAATATATGACTGCATGAAAACCGTCCTTGCGTAGGGCTTCCATGGTCTCCCTAAGAATGTCATGGCGGATTTAGGATCAGCTGCAAGATCCGGGGCAGCTGTTATTGTGCAATTGATGATTGAGATTCCGGTATTCTGGTTTGGATCGATTCTTCCATGGGCTGTTATAGCGTTCTTTTGCTTTGCCATTGGTTTTCTAGGATATATGTTGCAGTTTTGAAAAATTGCGGCTGCGTTCCCGAATATGAAATCGATGGTACCTATAAACAAAAAGAGGATATTTATTAACCTATCGGTGACTTGTAAAAATAATATGTGGTATAGAAGAATCACATGATCATTCCATATACAAGAATCTATATATGTTAAAGCAAGGACCACATGATCATTCCAAATACAAGAATCTATATATACGATTGACAAGTTTTGGCATTTTTGGTAAGTTCAAACTACTAAAAATCGATCTTAAGTTATATATATATGATTGAAGCAAAACATATATTAGTATATTACGTACCATAGATATCGCATTCACGATAGAATTGTCTCATAGAGTGGACGTAGAGAGTATCTTGATAGCCTTCAAAACTACACCGATAGAAGCTTGATCCTTCTGCATTGTTCCTCAAAGCCACAGCTTGATGTTTTTCAGGTCCGGCTGTGTTTCTGAATGTAATATCAACCGCCATGAACCGCTCTCCAATCACAGCTACACAATACAAATAAAATAATTAATTAAGTAAACTGCTTGGCACAATTAAAAAAAAAAAAGGAGATAAAAATACTAACCAAAGCTCGAGCAATTATACGTAGTCCAACCGTCAACGACGTTATGGTTCCCAGTAATAATCGTCTTATTGATTCCATCTCCGATAAGCATTAAGTTCTTTTTGTTCATCTGAACAACAATATATTCTTCGTAGAGACCTTCTCTTACGTAGATAACAAAGTAACCATCCTCTGGTCTAGTGTTATTAGGTGCGGCTGCAATAGCATCAGTGATCGTCGTGAAGTTGTCGGATTTGTACGGACCGACGATCACTGCTTTACTCACGAGGATGGAACCGCCGCTCGTCTGACCTAGCTCCCCTAACTTACGGCTAGCTTTCCGGCAATCTTTGTCGTTGTCGCATGTTTTACGCAAACCCTTAATTATTACCCCCCAAAAGAAAATCATCAAAATATATTTTTGGAAGATTCCATACCAAATTATCAATGAGAACATTGGTTGACTTTGATTAATTAACATCAACTTTTTCTTTCTGGTTCTTGAATCATGATTAACTTATAATCTCGAGCCATTTAGATCAACTTTTATTGTAGGCTTGTAGCCACACATGAAATGACGGTGACAGTCTAATGAGTATGAGCACATGCACGTGAATACAGTTGGACTCGAATATGCATGGACCATATTGATGTGTTTTTTGTTTTGAGAAAGCCAAGTCAAAAATATATAGGACCCATTGGATCATTGCTGAACGAACAGTAATAAAATGTGCGTAGGCCATGTGCCATTTACTTATGAGTTCTGGCTCACACACAACAAGGAGCACATCCACTTATGAGTTATGACTCGATCTAGTAGAACATTAAGATATGCACGAATATTAAATCATTCCGTGCGTCCAAAAACTAGTAAATTCATACCATTTCTATCCTAGTAGGCTTATTTATTTATACACTATATGTCCAAAATTTTATTTTTCAATAACATATTTGAATTTTATGTGGTTATACATTAAGATGCTATAACACAAACTACATGTTCTACCATACAAAATTAATAAAATAAATCTCTGATTTAATCCTTCTTATAATTCATTAATTATGTATATGTTACATTTGTAGTGTTTTTGATATTTCCCTTAATTTCTATTTTAATGTCTACGCCAACCATTTTAAAATAGTTATTAATGTCTATATTACTAGATTATTAACAACTTTAGAATAAAAACAATTAACAAAGCTAGAATTAGAAACAAGATTAATTTAGTTACCTTAATCAAAGTCTCGAGCGGCGCGCGATAGGTTGAGTTGCCACCACCAAGAATCTTCCCTTTGGAGGCTTTGAACCTCTTAAGGTTACGGTTAAGCGCGTGGCTCACAAGCCCCAGCGAGATACTGTAAAGACGCGTGAGGTTCCCCATCGGCGATCCTAGCGCGGCGGCGAATCCACTCTTGGCCTCCGCGAGTCCATCAAGACACGTCTGCTGGTTCGTCACCACACCACTGAGAAGACTGTTCACATGCTCCACGAGAGCTGCGGTCATCACCTGCGCCGTCTTGAGCTCCGTCGTGACCGTTTGGAGATAGTTCACGCTCAGCTCCGATAACTCGCCGCAGTCCGCCACAGCGCCGATTTCCTCGGGCGTTGCTGAGCCTGGTTTGCTTTTCACGCGCCGCGCGTATCCGGTGATGACTTTGGAGAGACGGCTTGCTTGCTTGAGGCATTGCTTTATCGTGAACTTGCCGTAACTGTAAGGATCGGACGGTGATGACTTGACAGCGTTGAGGATCGTACGGCATAGCTTAGGGTATGGAGTTGATTTACAAGCCAGGGAAGACGACTGTGACGGAGGCGAAGTAGGAGGCTGTGACGGAGGCTTAGAAGGTGAGAGTGACGGAGACAGAGAAGGTGACTGTGAGGGAGGGTGTTGTGTTGAGATTAGCAAAGCCCATGAGAGGAAAATAACAGACAGTAACAAGAGAGAAGAAGAGAAGTGTAGTGTTTGCATTTTCATCTTAGTTTGTTTTGAACGTATTTATTGTTGTGGATCTGCTATATATATAGACTATACGAGGAGGGTTGTGATAATTAATAGAGAGATGCATGGGTTCGAGGGAAACTGAATTATGTAATTGCATGTTGGTCTAATAATTAATATACACGTATAGTTTTCGTTTTTGGTCAAATAAAGAGAACCAATTGTTTTTTGCAGCTGGTGGTCCACCGTCACGATGACCCGACTTGGGTTGACTTGGTTACAACTTATAGAAGAGTTTTTATTTCATGTGATTTAGCCGTAAAATTTGGGTATTTTTAGAGCTTAAGGTTCGGTAAGTCCATTTTTGTTATGCTAGTTGACAGCTGACACTGTTAAAAAAAATCAACATTATTCAGACATGTTGAGATTAGTTTAATTTTGTTACTATTTTAGAAGTTAACAAGTTGGGTTGACTTGATTAGGAGGGTTTCCATATTATATGAATTGACGCGTAGATTTTGCATGTGAGGTGTCTGGGAGCTTTTAGACAAGGCGAGATGGTGAAGCCTAAAAGAAGTCGTCACTTTGTCTAAAGGCAAGACGGTGAAGCCTAGAAGAGAACTAGAGAAGTCGTCACGCTGTTTAATCTATTACACAATTCACACTTACAGATTATATGATGACTTTCATGTTACTGTCCCTTATATGATCCAGTTCAGTTGTATTACGCATTCTTCCAGTCCATGACCTATTGTGATAATAACAACAATGAATAATCCGAATTCAATCTTTGTGAAACTATCATATATGTGTTCTCTGCTAGAATTCGTAGGAACCATAGGAACTAAATTTCTATTTGGTCTCGATACGGCAGATACATACCCTAACCAAATAAAGCGAATCAAAACAGATTTGAAAATTAAGATCGATGTGTTTCCCATTCCCAAAAAGTAAAAAAAAAAAAAAAAAAAAAAAAAACTAAAAAAAGGTAAAGAAAACGTGGAGAATACGATTACAACTGACTAGAAGCTTTCCCACCACATAGACCAGCAAAAAAAAGGAGGAGATATCTATGAGACGGAATGATACAAAGAACAGAAAAGTTTAACGTGGGCTTCTTCAATTCAAGCATGAACAACGGAGACTGAGTCTAGTTCACGGCCATGAACCCTGAAACGGTAGATGCAAGTGTGTGAAGTGCTTCCATGGTTGGATGTGAAGTCTAGCCTGACAGTGTTTACAAGTCCCGAGTATGCAGAATCTGCAATGTCAAATGTCTGTGCGTTGGACCTGTCTAAGTCGTAACTGAATTCGGTTAGACGGAACATTGTCTCACTCTCCATATCTTTGTCTTCTAGCCATCCTGATACTCGGCAATCCTTTGGGGCGCTTGATCTGTCATACGCTACAGCCTGTTTGATTTCATGGTGCGTAAAATCAGTATCAGGTTTTAGCCGTCAGATGAAAAAATGATCAGACAAATGTTTGCAAGGAAGAAAATCGATGAAAAGCAATGTGTGACTATCAAATCACACACTCTAAGCAATGAGAGTCTACACCTTATGCTGTGGATATAACAGTTCCACTCATTGTAAAATTACACAGGCTCTTCTGGTACATACTATTATTTTTTAATTTTACTTTGTCAACGATATCCCAGAACAAGTACAAGAACACAACGGCATAGTGGGTAGCAGAACATCACATATGGTAAAACTCTACTCAAAGATGGAAACCCAGTATGTATAAGCAACTTAGATCTTCTTTAATGCATATTTACACAGCTACCGCCGTAACGTCGTAAACTAAACCTCAAGCTACAAAATCCTATTCACAAAGCTAGTTTCTTGCCTCCTATTCGATAACACATTTACACTAGCAAATCCAATCCGAAGTACATGGCATCCCAATACCAAAGCATTTACCAACGAACCTTCTTGAGGGATCAGATTAACATATAGAAACTGATTACTCTGTGAAAGTATAGTATGATATGCTAGTACTACCTTAGAGACATGTTCCAAGGTAACGGCCTCTGGTATTATTGGTGTTCGTAGCCTGATTAGAACATATCCATTGCTTCCTTTCAGAGGAAAACACTGACCAGGCTCCCCGAAACTCGGACTTAACATCTTCACCGCTTTGCTATGAGCCCGTCGCCTGCTTGTGGCAAACCAATTACCCCCACTTCCAACAAGATATGGGTCCGAATGCTCCAGTACAAAAGCCCCACCAGACGCTAAAGCATAGTCTACTCTGCCAAGGCCATCAGAAGCATGCTTTCCAATCTCTTTCTCCACTAGGTCGCGAGCATAAGCCCTCAATTCATCAATATTAACAGCAGAATCATGGACTTTACCCTTCTTCAATTCCTCGTAAACCCTCTCTAACTCCTCTCTAGACACCAAAGGTTTAGAATTGAATTCATCTACGGAAGCCTGTAGCGTCTCAGTCCTAGACTCTATCTTCTTCAATTCACTCTGCAACGCAGATGATGAGGAATCGATAGTTTGCCTCAATGCTCTTGATTCGCTTTCCATCTTCTTATCAAGAAACTCGACTTGAACCTGCATCATCTTCGTCGTTGTCTTTACCAAACCATCAACTGCCGAAATACGACTCTCCAGTTCCGATAGAACCATCTCCGTTTCAATTGGAAAATTCGAAGAAGACAGAGACGTATCCTTCAGAGCCAATTTCCTAACAAACTGAATCAACCCAACGAGTACCAGAAGAGCCCCAAATTGCTTCGCGAATACCCTAACCACCCTCTTCCACTGCGCCTTCTCTGTCTTATTCCCCTGAACTTTCCGCGTTCGACGCTGCGTGGTGGTGGTCGTATTAGTCCCCGTCGCGGTGGATCCTGACTTCCTCGTCACCGGACCTACGTTGTAACTGCTAGATCTCTCAGCGGCAGCCTCGGCGTGAATTAGATCCTTGTTCGTACCGGCGTAAGACTCTCCAATTGCCGCATTGGCATTCGATTCGCTCGGCGGGAAATCGAAATTAAATTTCTTCTCAGCGGAGAGAACCGGCGTCCGCTTGCCGACCGCCGTAGGATTACCGGTGAGAGACACCGTCGACGCCGACATATTCTACAATTTAGTCTACAGAATTCGAAATCCTCAACGTTTGGATTGAATAAACCCAAATTTTGATTACACAGATTTGAAATGGAAGAAGAGTGAGAAAGGTTATATACAAAATTTTGAAATCTCTGGATCGTGTCTTCTTCTCTCTTTGTACTTTTTTTTTTCTTATCTGGGACGTGGTTGTTTAGTTTTGCCATTTTTGTTTCTTTTGCTTGGATACGAAATCGGGAACGCAACAAGATTGTAATGGGCTTTCTTACAAGGCCCAACGAAAGAACTAAGCCCACCTCCATACACAACAACAGTTGTTTCTCCATTCTTGCATATCAAGTTATCCACAGGCGCAAAATACCTGGAGGTAGCAGCTTTTATTTACCAAACTAACAGTATAATTTTATACAAATGGGTAAGACTGAGATGAGAGATAGTTGATTATAATTTAACCACAAGGAGACGACGTTTGACATGAATTTGTATACTTATTTTTCATCGTTACTCTTCAGAGAGTGGTAGTTTTCTGATGGGAAGAAGAATCAGAAATTGGCATTTTTATCTTTGCAGATTCCTTCAACAAATCGAATGAAGAGAAGGAATGTGGCGGGAGAACAACGGTCAGGTCCTCCTCAGCCAACTCTAGCAAGCTTTCGTGTGGCACTACCTGCAAAAAAAAAAAAAAAAAAAAGAATTAAGCAGTATAGAAAGGGTAAATGATGATGATGATTCGTCAATTTCGTGATTTTACCTTTTCTGGCTGTGAGAAGGAATTTTCATCCATCACATTGGTAGATGTAAGAACTGTCTTCTTTGATCCCGAAACTTTCATCACGTTCGGGTCCAATCCAGTTACCAACACTTTCATATTTACTGAGTTAGTTCCGAAGTTTACTGCCTGCATATAATAAACTGGAAGTTAACAGACTTTGAAAACAGTTTCTATCTTTCTTTAAGGGGTCAGAGTGAGAGTTCAGGGTTGTAGTTTCTGCGGTTATTTCTCTCAGTTTACCTTTAAGCGTATGTAGTCTTTGCCATTGTTTTTCCAGGAGATTGCAGATGCGACAAGAGAAGAAGAGTTTCCCTTGAGTGTTGAAGTAAGAAGAGTTGCTCCACTTGACTCTGCAAAGAACCGTTGGACCCAATAGCTAGGAGTTCCATATAGATGAGATGAATTGAAGACTATTGCATCAGGATTCCACCTGTAACCAATTCAAGAATTTGAGACTGTTTCCTTACTTACTGAGTAAACACAAGAACAGAAAACGAAGTAGTAACTAGGTGAGACGTGAGAGATACCGTCTATCGTTTGTGTTCACAAAGAGTGGCGCATAACTTGCCATTTCCACAATGTCACTGCAATAAAGAAAGCATCTCACACTTTACTCATTTGATTTTATTTTTAGTGGGGATCAAAGCCTGGGAAGAGGAAGGAAACCTATTCTTTTCAAGACCAATGAGAAACGCAGCTTCTGCAAGAGAGGCGAGAAGGCTTCCTGTACCAGCATCTTTTCCAGTCACAGCATATTCACTGACAAAAGCCTGGAAACAAAGTTCACGAGTGAGCATAATGCTGAAAGCTTATCTTTTCTTTTCTTTGGATAATCTATTTCCATACCTTTGGACCATGGCGTGAAGTGCGGTCAAATTGATGATACATCGAAAACAAATTGCTAGCAGAAGTGTAAATCTGTGACAGAAGGAAACACTTTTTTCAGGCAGAAGAGAGAACACAAGACATTTTATACAGTTTCTGTCAAGACAGAAATTTTACGTGGTAGTCATAGTAATCAGCTGGGTGGTCGAGCGGACGAGAGGATCCATCACAGTTGGAGATGATTTTGATATCTGGGTAGGCCTTTTTTATAGCATCATAGAACACAATATAGTTTCCTGTAAAGTTGTTATCTATTTTAGTATCAAAGCTGCTCAATAAAGGTCTAAGTCAAATGTGATCATAAAAAAGTGCAAACCTCTGTAGTAAGTTTTTCCACAATCTTCATTTCCAATAGCAACGTATTTCAGTTCAAAAGGCTCCTGGCGTCCCATTTTAGCTCTAACAGATCCCCATGTAGAATTAGCATCTCCTCGGGCGAACTCAATACCGTCGAGTGCTTCCTGAAACAAAAAGAGGAAAAATTTTGGTTTTTGGGCTTTTCTCCACTCGTGAAACAGAGGAAGGTTTCGTAATTATACTTGAACAAAGGGCATGATACTGGCAGTTTCAACTTCATCATTATGACTAATTCCTGCACAAAGGTAAAGAATAAGGTTGATAGATGCAGTTGACAAAAAACAACAAGGTTGATAGATTTGGAAAACAAAAGATATATTAATCAGTTACAAGCGGGTTCGGAGAATGATGGAATACCGTTGTTAAACACCCATATCGGGGCTGCACCAATGTCTTCAGCCAACTGCAAGAATGTTCATTTAACATTGAGCTTTGGGAACAATTACAGATCCAAAACTGAGGAGCTAAATAGACTCAATAGAAAGAAAAAAAAAGTCTCACTTGAAAGAACTCGAAGTGGCCAAGGCCATCATCTGTCCAATACTTCCAAACATCACCAAAATGGCCAGGTCTCTCTTCCCAAGGTCCTACGGTTTCTTTCCAGCGGAATGCATTACTTAACCATTCACCCTCGACAAAACAACCACCTATGTTATCAAGAGTAAAGAATAGTCTTTAGCTTATATCATCTTAAATCAAGCTTTTTACGACAATAAACTATGAAGTGCGTATCTGGACAGAACAAGCAACAAAAATACTATTAGCCTTAAAATATTACCTGGGAATCGGATGAAACGGGGTTTTATATCAACCATCATTTGGAATAGATCGTTTCTAAAACCATGTCCCTGCAATCAACCAAAAAAATTGAACATTTGATGTTTTCCTTTCTTCTGATATTTTCTCTATCTGCAATCTCTAGTCTCAAGGGTCTATAGGGAAATCAGAAAGAAGAAAAAGAACCTTGTAAGTATCCACTGGCATGGCCGAGACTTGGTCAATCCATATTGACCCTTTCTTGGTTGTTGTTAACTGAAGTCTTGCACTAGGATCTGTCCCTTTTGACTCCAAAAGAACCTCCTTTCTAGTCCATTTTGAAACATCAGAAGCAGAAGCTCTGCATTGAAACAAATGAAAGCACACAATTGAAACTTTTACAGATTGAAACTACAACAGAAACGTATTCAGACTTAACTGAAGAATCTGAAATTTTTTCTCACGTGATCTTTTCAGAAGCAAGAGTAAGTGATCCATTCGAGCTCGTAAATGACACAGAGACATCGATATCACCAGTCGAACGCACATAAAGAGCCACCTTGTACTTCTTTCCTTCTTGAATATTCTAACAGAAGATAGAAAATGAAAAAAAAAAAAAAAAGCTTTACCCATACTCTTGACACCGAGGGAACAAAACCCGAGCTGTAAAAGTTTTTCACAATTGACACTCACCATGCCCCAGTAACCAGGGTTATAAACCCCAACACCTCCTGAAGGACAACCTTGGCTATCACAGAGCACATCCATTCTCAATGCGATTTTATTCCGTTCAAAACATGATGAACGGTCTGTTGCTACATATATGGATGAATGATCACCAACAATGGACCATGGCCAAATATTAGAAGGTATGTTTTGCCCACCAGCTTCAAACCCTGGAAACCAAAGTGTTTGCGTAAGAGTTACTACTGCCTTTTTTTCCCATCATGTAAGTAAAGAAAATGAAGCCAAACAACTATTGATTCCCACAGATTTTCAGCGATAAAAAGCTAAAAAAAAATTAACCTCTGTTGCTAACAAGTTCGGCCCATAATCCACCTGCACCAGCATGGTTGATCTCCTGTAAATGATTTAACATATAGCATATAAAGCTTGCGATTACTTTGAACACATTGTGTATATAGCAGAGATCTATTTGAGACTGTAACATTAACAAACCTCGAAGAATATCCCAAATAGCGTTTCAGGAATGGGTCGTCCAGCTCCATTAGAAGCATCTACTTGAAAAGTGACAGCTGGTTTTGGATCTTCTTGAGCATCAACAACACGAAGACTTTGATACACAAAGCAAGAGCCAAGGAGAAAAGAAAGTATGCAAATACTCCTAAGCAACTTCCAAGACTCCATATCCATAATCACCACATCCAAATAAACCAAGAACCTATACATGAGAGACAATTATAGAAACATTGAATCTTATTCAGCTCAAACCGTTACAGTCATGGTGATGACATAAGACAAGAAAAAAGAAAAAGAGAGCCTCTTTTGCTCATACTTATCAGTCTGTCTTAACTCTTAACCAAGAGGAAGATAAACACGAGAATATATAGGACCCATCACTGTATTTTTGTCCTCATTGGAACTACAGCAAGACAAAGTCTTCTCAATTTAATGTATGATCAAATTTGGGATCAAAACATAAGATATACCAAAGCCATAAATGAGGACAAAATTAGAAAAAAACACAAATGTTGTTGCAAATCAAGAGTGGGCTTCAATCTCAACTCATAAAGTCAAAACCTTCAGACTCTAAACCACAATTGGCTTCGAAAACTAAAACAGACAGAAACAGAGAAACTCAATCATCTCAATTTCAGAGGGAAAGGTTAGTTCTTTTCACAAATCTTAGACATAAAGTTTAGAGCTTTGATAAGAAACGAATCATAAACAGGAGAATGCACGGTGAAGAACCGAGGATTGGGATCAACAAGAAATGGAAAACAAACCTGTGGGAATCAACGACAATGGACTGATCTAAAACGAGAGAAGATGAATGGGTGAAGAGGATTACAGACAGAAGAGAAGTGAAAGGTATAATAAGAATGTTTGTTTGGAATTGTAGCTTGGAGTATGAGGCAAAATCTTCGAATCCTTGCTTTCACGTTAGATCGAATTGCTTGTTTTCGTGGAAGAAGTGGAAGTTGATTAGAAGCGACGACTACTGAACCATCTCATTCTCATCTGTTCACCTGTTCATCTTTTGTCTCTTTTAATTTTTGGATAAAGATGTTTTCTCAACTTTGGATAATGTTTTTATTTTGTATTTTTTTTTGTTATAGCTGGATAATATGATTTAACTTTTTTCATATAAACCTACCAGATCATTTTGGTTGCATGTCTTGGAATGCAATGAACTGTTTTTCTTTCTTTCTTAACCAAAAATCTGATGAATCGAATCCATACTTATCTCCGGATTTTATGAAAGAATCGAATATTCTTTATATTTTTTGAAACGATTATTTTTAATTTGACGTAAGAGAAAATCAAACCAAAATTTACATGCGTGGGTTTAACATTAATGTCTCTCCTTTGAAATATGATGTATGCTATAAATTATAGACAAAGCTAATTATTATATTTGGTACATCTACTACCATTAAACTAGTCTAATAAGCTTTCTCCATCAAAAAAAGAAGACAAGAGTTAAGGTTATGAAGTGAGGATTTAGTTCAGAGCAAGATCTCTAACAAATTCATCAGAATAAACGAATTCAATCACTCTATGAAATCAAACAACGAGCCAAGAAAATAGAAAAACGTTCGTAGCTTCAACGAAATCTCTACGACGTCATCACGGTATTGCTTTGTCTACATTTGGGAAAGAGCGATGGCGTCATCACTTTTACCAAAATTGTAGACAAAGAAGCACGGAGATGACGTGTTACTACTATTAATTCTCTCTGCAGTCTCAAGCCCTCAAGTCTAAACTCTGCAACAGAAAGGTGAATACGTGTGTAATATATAGGAGGCTTTTCTCTAGGGTACAATCTGGAAACCCTAGAAGAATCTAAAGTGAAGTCGCCGCTAAAGTATGAGAGAGACAATACTCGAAATAGAGTAGTTGATGGTTACCAAATCTGCAAAATATGGGCTAAGAAGCCCAATGTTTCTTCGCAGCAGTGACGCGCAATTCCTTTTCCTGAACATTATTCGAGTATTCAGATTCCTTTATAAATAAAATAAAAAACTTATCTTGCTACGAAGGAAAGTTAAGGTCTCTTCTGTTATAGTTCATCAAACTTAGGGCTTTGTTTATTTTTCTGACGACACAGGTCTTTAGGAGATGTCATCAGATGCTGAGTTTTGCCACGACAGGATCAGTGCGTTGCATGAGGATTTATTGGTGCAGATATTGACTCTAGTCCCAGTAAAAGATGCAGTGAAAACCATGGTTTTGTCGAAACGATGGAGTTTTCTCTGGACAATGATGCATAGACTTGACTACATAGAAAAAGACAGAGACGAGAAGATCGTTTGGGACTTCCTTGACAAGTCACTGCAACTGAACAAGGCACCTGTACTAGAAAGCTTGCGTATCAGAATCCATCGACAATGTCCTCTTGTCGATGCAGATCTCGGAAAGTGGGTCTCGGTTGCAGTTGAACGCTGCGCTCGAGAACTAATTCTAATTCTTTGCCATCTCTCCGATCCTACCAGCTTGCCTAAGAGGCTTTACACCTGCAAAACGCTTGTGCAATTGATTCTATCCGACAAGATTCTCGTTGATGTTCCTTCTCCGGCTTGCTTCCCGTCCCTTAAATTTCTGGTCCTTTCCCGTGTGGTGTATAAAGACCAAGATTCTCATGTTAAGCTTTTATCGAGTTGCCCTGTTCTAAGACAGTTGCTTGTGGTTCGAACCAAGCGTGACAATGTGAACAGGTTCAGTGTGAAAGTTCCTTCTTTATTGTTGTTAACGTATGTGTATTTCCCATTACCTGACAATAACGATGATAAGCCCTTGGTTATAGATTCCCCTGGATTAATTTTTGTAAACATTACTGTCGCTGACCCTTTAAGAGACTCTTTCTCGATCAAGAACATGCCACGCCTTGAAGGGGCCATCATATCTCTCTATGGTTATCCCCCGAACAATGAGTTAAACTTTATGACATCTTTTTCCTCTGTCAGGATTCTCAGTTTACGTTCGTTAAAGGTAACCATTTTATATCATATATATATATATATACTCTCTTTTTCTTCTGCTTTTTTCCGCTTGTGATGATCGTATTGCTACGGTTTGCCTAATGCCAATGTTAATGTGTTCTGTTTCACTCAACTGCAGGTTGGTTGTTGTAATGCCATTAACTTCCCCCGGCTTATAGAGTTGAAGTTGTGTCTTCCTTCCTCAGAGCATCATTGGATGGAGCCACTTATGCTTTTGCTTCATAATGCTCCGAAACTAAAAACTCTCAGGATCAACTCTGTAATACCTTTCTACATCTTCAAAGTTTGATTTTGATGTTGTGTTACAATTAAAATTAAACGTTCTCTTCCTGCTTCTCAGGCTTTCATTGTTTACCCTGAAGATGTCCAACTTTCATGGAACCAACCGAGTTCGGTGCCGGGATGTTTGTTGTCTCAACTTGAGATCTTTGAGTGGAGAGGATACAAACGAAGAAGTGAAGAGAAACAATTTGCGGCGTATATCCTCGCAAACTCAACGTGTTTAAATACGGTGGGAATCTCACCAACATCTTCATGCGGAGATGAAAAAGAGAAACCGAACGTAAGGGATGAGTTAATATCTATATATGGAGAAACTAAATCTATGTATAGGGTTGTGCGAACCATCTTCTCAACTTCTGTTTCGAATTGAAGATATAGAGAATGAGCAGTATTTGAGCATGAAAAAGATTCATTACGTTCCTTGTTTTGTCATAACAAAAGAAAATTAAATGACGTTTTTGTTTTTGTATCTTTACTTGGAATAGACTAAATATTAATCCAACAGTTACAACGTTTTCATTGTTATTCAACTATTGATGAATGATGATGATCCTTGTTTTGATATGTTCATATTCATATCAAATTCAATCTCCTTGTCTTTGCTTGCAAGTGAATTCACCACATTGGACCTTTCAAATTTCTTCGAAAAACATAATTGTTTTATTGACAATGACATGCTAACAGTATAACATATTTTAAAATTGTTACAAGTAAACAATATAGTTTTAATAGAAGAAAACTGAATAGAAAAGAAACATAATGTAAGCCAAGTATACACGTTTATATTGCCAAAAGAGTGATAATGTTAATTATGTTTACCAAAAAGTCCAAACTAACACACCTAGTCATCATCATAACTTATACACTGATAAAAGAATTTGTAATCAGGATAGAACCATAATTTGTAAAAATAGAACAAAGTCGTCTCCTTATCTTTGCTCAGTGTCTCTCATTCAAAGATAAGTAGTAAATCTTCTTTGTCATTCCAATGAAATAAAGTTCTAGAAAGTTATTTATAAGAAAAGGCAATAAAAAAAAAGAAGATCATCAACCAAAATCTAGTTGTTTAGTTGTGTAGTGGGTTCAGGTTTACTTCATCGATTCTAAAAGTGGGACTTCTTCCACACCCAAAAATTAGCGTCGGTCGATTCTTTGATATGATTGAAATCACAAAAACTATGTAATAAAAATAAAAATAATCAGAACTTAAAAGTAAAATGTAGATTTGGTAAAGTACTCTTGATCATAAATTAGAGATTGAAAAAAGCAGAGAAGAGTACCAAAAAAAAAAAAAAGGAAGCTGAGAAAAAAAGAAGATCCACCTCGAACTTCTCTCCATCTTTCTCAATCATCATCTAATTCTCAGATTCCCTTTCTTTCTCTCTCTCTTTTTTGCTCTTCTTCTTCAAGCCAGACTCTGATAAAAATCAAACCTTTTTCTCGTTTCCTCTTTTCAAATTTTCTCACTTTGTAATAAGTTTGTTTTTTTCTCTACTCCCTTAGATCGAATTTGATTATTTGCATCCTAGTAAGTTTGTTATTTTCTCTCTGTGATCTCTCCAAATGTTTCTGGGTTTGTGAGATCAACAACAGTTAATAATCTGGGGTTTTTAGCTCTCTCTGTTTTTAATTATTGAAGATAATGAGAGAAGACGACTCGGACTGGTTCGCGAGATGGGAAGAACAGTTACCATCCCCAGAAGAGCTCATGCCTTTATCTCAATCTCTTATCTCACCCGATCTAGCTCTAGCCTTCGATATACGAAGCCCTAGTCATGGAAACGGAAACTCAAATCAACCTCATCATCACCAAACCACACCTCCTACACCTTCTCAGCTTCAGCTTCCCTCTTCTCAAGCCAATTCCTCAGCCGAATTCGCTGCAGATTCTGCAGATCTAGGCTCTGGAGCTGCCGGAGACGAACCTGCCCGGACTTTGAAACGACCCCGTCTCGTTTGGACGCCGCAGCTGCATAAGCGTTTCGTTGATGCGGTCGCGCATTTAGGGATTAAGAACGCTGTTCCCAAAACCATTATGCAGCTTATGAGTGTTGATGGGCTAACCAGAGAAAACGTTGCGAGTCATTTGCAAAAGTATAGGCTTTATCTTAAGAGAATGCAGGGTTTGTCTTCTGGTGGTGGAGCTGGTTCAGATCCGGCCACGGATCGTCTCTTTGCTAGCTCTCCGGTGCCTGCTCATTTTCTTCATCCGAATCGAGTTCCAAGCTCTGATCATTTCATGCCGTCTTTTGTTCCAATTGCTACTCTTCAACAGCAACAGCAAATGGCTGCTGCTGCTGCTGCGGCGGCGGCTGCAGCTGCTAATCCTCATTTACAACCGCCTCAGTTCCACCACCGACAAATCGCATCCGCTCATTTTGGCTCGCCTACGAATGGGGGATTCCACTCACCGACGAGTAATGGGCAATTTGGATCGCCGACGAGTAATGGGTTTGGATCACCGACGAATGGGAAGTTCGATCCTTCGTTCTTGGCGAGGCAAACTCAGCAACAGCAGCAGCAACCAATTCACAGAATGTCAACACCATCATTGCATAGTCCAGTTGGTAATTACGCTGAGGATTTGGAATCTGCCAATGCTAATGGAGGGAGAACAGTCTTAACTTTATTCCCAACTCGAGACGATTAAAGTCGAAACCTTTTGGTAATAACACTTCTTCAAGATTCTGATTCGTTGACCCTTTTGTCTTTTGTTAACCTATAGCTTGCAATGTTGATCCAATTTGAAAATGTGTTGGTAAATTTGAATTTTTGTAGGTTCAAAATGTATCTGCAGTCATCAAGAACATTGATTTTGAGTCTGCTGATCGTTCTTGGCATTATCCAGTGGCGTTACTCTGTGCAGTCTTATCAGTTTAACATGGATACAATCCGGCGTCACTGTGTGATCAAGTTCTGTGTCTAAGTGTTCTGAAGTGGTCTTTTCAGGTCACAGCCTTGTTTTAACCCTTGTAGCTTTCTTCTTTATGATTCATGTAAAGATGAGTTCACTTTTGTACATCCGTACGGTATGGTACGGGCACACTCAAGGTTTAAAATGAATCGATCTTGAAGGAAAATCAAAAACTTACTTCACAAATGTTCCCTGCTTTCCCATTTTTTGTTGTTGTTGTAGATTTGTTTTAAAAGCTGAGTTGCTTGTAGCTTTTACAATGAAAGTATATTGGAGTTGGTAAAACTGTTCCATCCCCTTTTACACTACTTACAATAATGTGCGTTATTAGAGAAGATTTAGATATGTGATTGACCAGTGATCAATTCATTGATGCAAATAGTACATTGTAAAAAACAATGACATGAATGATGAAGTAGCCAATAAGCAAAAAAAAAAAAAAAAGTGACAAGACAAAGGGAAGCAGAAATCCAGGATCTGCTGCTCTTATTACATCCTTCCTTAATCATACCCGAAACTTATTTACTACCAATGATAAAGTCGGCATATAATGGAATCATTGAATGGACGAAACTCAATAAAAGTATATGGATTGTTTTGTTTAGCTTTTATAATGAAAGTTAAAATAATTTAGGAGGTGAGTGATTTAAAGCAATGGTGGTGGGTTCATTGCTGGCATGTCCTGATCTTGTCTCACCTAGTCAGACCTCATCCTTTGTTTTTTTTAATCTGAACTTAAAAAGTTTAGTTCCAGTTTTTCCTCTTAAAAAGATTTGTTAAACTCGTTATCTAATACACACACACACGTAAAGAGTGCGTATTTCGGTTCTATTTTTTGTTTGTCTGACTCGGGAATTGTTTGACAAAAATATCTCAAGTTAGTAGTAAAGTGACCAAATCAATGTAAAAATAATAATAAAACAATTTTATAAATCTTGATTGGTATTTTTCTCCATAAATCCCCCAAAAAAATTGTTGATTACCAAATCCATAAAGCTATAATCCAATTTTGTTATTTGAGACCATTGGTCAAAGGGAGTACTCGAGTGATTTGATTATTCGTTTAGGAATTTTGGGAAGTGTCTTCTTCTCTACAAACTTAGAGAAAAGGACCCTCCAAGTCTTCATGACCTCATATTTTTTACAAGTAGCAAATAAAACAAATACAATTAAAGGTGGTAACCATTCTCAAACACGAGAGAATATTTCCATAAAAAGTTCACATTTAAGAATCAAGTTCCTTTGAACAATTTGTTTGGTTCATCCTAGAGGTAGAGGAAGGCCATCATCGAAGATTTGGCTTTTTTAGTATAACGATTCATTCAAAGTTTGATAATAATATCATTTAAGGAAAAAGAGTATATGTCTTGTTATATAAGAACGAAGCCATTGTTCGGAACAGAACAGAGAGCTCCTAAAGGCTAATATAAATATCTATAGAATTCTGCGTTTCATTACAGACATTGAAGTACTCAAACACTACTCTTGTCCTCAGGGATTGCTTGCAGAAGGATACCTGCAGGGCAGATGACTCATTAAGCACTAGATTTGAGAGATATCAATCAAATGAGGAATTGGACAACAGTTAGTAACCTGAAAAGATTTGTGTCTGGACCATTCAACGACTGCGCATAGTTCAGAGAGGGTGAGTTTGGCCAAGGTATATAAGAAGCCGGGTTATTAGTAAAGGGACTCAAAGCAGGGTTAAGCGGATGCCCATAGTTTAGGTTGGGTTGATGACCTCTTGGCATCTGAGGGAAAACCCCATCGTGAAACGGAATATGGATTGGCATTGGGTTGAAGCTTTGGCCAGACGGCATAACTCTAACATACCTACAAACAAGAAAAAGAACTTTATTTTGCAGCGCGTATACTAATTGAAGCTCTTGCATATCGCCACTGAAGAGATGAAATGGTTTACCTGTAGGCAGGATCCACGATGTACCTGTCATAGCTCCTGTCATAATCCGGGTCATATCGGTCTTTCTCTCTATCTCTGATAATGGCTACTCGAGAAGTCCTTCCAGATTCTCGAGTAACAGCATCAACGAGGTTATTATTAACCGCCACTTCAGTTTCATTCCTGTTTATACATGTGGGTTTCCCTTCAAGAGGAGGGGGAGGTCGTAGTGATGAAGAATCTTCAGAGTCGGAACTGCTAGGGCTGTTAAAGATCCTAGCCCGGGCTTTATCATACTCTTCTTTTCTCTCCTCAACACTTCTCAAAAGATTTTGTTGAACTTCTGATCCACTACCCCCACAACCAGATCTCTTGGGTCTAGGCTTGATTGCGATTTTGAAACCCTCAGGTCTACCATTCTCAGGTTGTTTCACAGGGATTTCGGATAAGCAGACATGAGGAAATCTACTTTCCGCCGTCTTCGTCACCAGGATTCTATTCTCGGATCCATCCCCCGCACCACTACCATTGTCCAAAGCCATGGTTACTAGTCCATAATGCTGAGCAACTCGATGTGCAGCGAGACGCAGGTAGGATGTTGGAAAGGGCCGGAATTCGAACTGAAGCTGCTCAGGGTTTTGAAAGAACTTCTGTATATCGAGCTCCATCCGCAAAACTAAAAACACACACCAACAACAACAGCAAAAAGAGGCAACCTTTTAATTACCCATCAACCACATTTAAATAGAATCTTTCCAGATACAGATATTAAACTTTAACAGGAAAAAAAAAAAAAAAAAGAGTTGAAACTTGAAGACAAGATGCTTAAAGAAGACCAAATTAGACAGACAGTAATCCAAATCAGAGTGAATTGGAATAGTCAAGCTTCAATGTTCATGGTGCCGACGAAACAATCGCAGTCCTGAGGATTAATTCTGATTAAGCTAAATAAAAAAGTGATTATGAATTGGGGCATAGAGCAAGCAATCACGACAGATTATGAATAGCAATGGATCTAATCAAACCCTAATCACCACAGAAATGAACCAAACAAAAGGATCGAGGATTAGAGAAACTAATAATCCCAACAAATTATATGAAACCCTAAAAAACTAGCACAAAATGAAATGAGCGAAATCAGATGGAAAGCCAACAAGAGAGAAAGCAAAATCGAAATTGACTAAACTGGTGAGACGGTGACGAGGATTCTGAAGAGCCTCGACCAGAAAAGGATCCACCATAGCTTCCTTCTCGGTCATAGGAGCAGCCATGGATGAAAAGCTTCTTCTAATCTCACCCTGCTTTGAAAATTTCAAAATCCTCTTCTCCTGGATCTTTGAAATTTGCCCCTTGGTATATCTCACCGGCCGGGGATTAGAAGAGAAAACACATCAAGGAAACGAAAAGGAGATAATTTCTGATGAGCATTCTGAAGAGAGAAAGAGAGAGAGAGAGACGCGAATCGATGAGGTTGAGGATGAAGGAGATGAAAAGACTTTCTCGACCTTTATCTCTCTCTCTCTCTCCCAAATCGCAATCAAGTGGGGAAGAATAAAATGATAGTTGCTGTCTTTTTTTTTTAATAGTATATATTATTCGATTCAATTCATTTTTTTTCTTTCGAAATTTGTGTATAGTTATTATGATTTTTATTTATTTATCGAGAAGTGAGTATTTGTAAAAGTTGGTTTGGTGGAATCATACAAATACAACTTTGGGTTGGTATCACACAATTTCATTTTCCCATGGTGAAGTGTTAGTATTATCCCAAAGTCGAAGCCTAGGAGGGTCAATAAAACTGACCATGCAGCGAAGGATTGACTATGAGGGAATAATAAAAAAAAAACTGAAAGTGTCGTTCCCTAAGTACAATTAATTAACGTTGGAACAAAATGTCAATCTCATCAAATACTAGTAGTAGCAGTTAATCTCGAACGTTACGTAATCTACCTACTATATAGTAGCAGTACAATAATCTAAAAGTAAGTCTTAAAATCAAAGCTAGTACTAATATTTTGAAATTTTGAAAAAGCTTTTGCACTTGTTTCTTATATGCTGTACTTGAGGTCTGGAGTTGTGTAAATCCCCTCAAAGCTTGAGTTCATAGAGATTGTGAACTTGTTCTTTCAGTCGTTGCGCCTCGTGCCATGTCTCTCAAACCTTCGGTTCAAGTGTGATTTTGCTACGTTTCGTGGTTCCCAGTCGTCGATTCTCTCATTTCATTATTTATTTTCATTATTAAACTTAGGTACGTATATATATATATATATATATATTATGGTGACATAAAATTAAATTCAAAATTTTAAAAGAAACCTTAACAAATGTGATTTTTCTTTATTTTTTTTATTTGGATTTACTTCCTTAATAGAGATTGATATTGCTGGTCAAAATTAAACGCACTTTCCAAAGTAAATAAAATTACTCCGAAAAACGTCTCTCGGACCACGGCGCGTGGACAATGTTCACCCTCGTCCGACATGGCGATTACTGATTGGATACAAAAACAAACCCCTACCAATGGCAAAGCTCCCTACACCTTTACAAAAATTGAAACATAAACCTTTTTAAAACTCCACGCGCCACTGTCTTAAAACCTTTCTCTCTTGCTTAATAACGTAATAACATTAAACTTTTACTCTCTTTTTTTTTCTTTTCTTTTCTTTGGATTTCAATAACCTTAATCTTTTTTTTTTGACTCTCTTCCTATCTCAAACGATGTCGATCTCGCCGGTGCTTTTTATTGGTTTGATTTGCCTTGCAGGCGTTGGCTCTCTTTTTCCCTCGGCGGAGGCTATATGGTTAACGGTTCCAACATCAGGAGAGAGATGCTTCTACGAAGAGATCCAAGCCGACGTCATCGTTGTCTTCGATTACATTTGCATCGACGAGGGTTTCACTCAACTTGGTCCAACACTTGATGTTCGGGTTTGTATCCCACACCCTCCACTTCTCTTCGTTTATTTGCATGCTTGTATTACTCATATACATATATAACCCACCCGCTTCTTTATATGTTATGTGCTAAGTATATACTATAGGAGAATTTTTATTTTGGGTTTTATTGATATTTTTTTCAACATTGCACTGATGATAGATTTGTAGAAGAAATCAACTAGATACCCATAAATTCTTGTATGAATCACTTATTTTGTTTCTACCAATGTATAGATAAATACTGGATCTGCTCATCACTAAGATTGAGTAAATAAGGGTTTGGTTCAGACACGTTGTCTAGAGTTTGGAGTAAAGTAAGAGAAAGAGAACTTAATGTGATGTTTTGGATAAATGTAGGTAACATCTCCGTACGGGAAGGAACTGTACAAGACAGCAAACGTGACGCACGGCCAGGCTGCGTTCACAACGAGCGAGACTGGAACATTCTTAGCTTGTTTATCAATGCATCACGATCAGACACATCACTCACTCAATAACTCTGTTATCGTCAGTATTGATTGGAAAACGGGTATCAGAACCAAAGACTGGGATTCTGTTGCTAAGAAAGAAAAGATCGAGGCAAGCCCCTTCCTTCATTTCCCAACTTAACATATATTCCCAAGAAATACATGTGGTTGAATATATACTATATATATTGTTTCTAGGGCGTGGAGCTTGCGGTTCGAAAATCAACGGAAATAGCGAGAGCTATTAGGGCCAACATACTCTATTTACGAATCAGGTTATGATCAGTAGCGCTTTCAACTCAATCTTAATTATAATAAATATGCAAAAAGGACTTAGAACATGAAGATTAGTTTATTTTGATAAATAATGGTGCAGGGAAGCATATATGAGGGATATAAACGAGAAGACAAACAAGAGGATAGCGCAGCTAAGCTTAATGTCTCTAGGACTTGCTATTGTCGTTTCAGTTACTCAAGTTTGGCATCTCAAACGCTACTTTCTCAAAAAGAAGCTCATATAACTTCACTCTATATTATTACTATATATTTTAGAAAATTTGCAGTCTTATGCTTTTTAATTTTATTTTGGGATGGTGTAACTATAGAGTCATATCAAATCAATAAAGAGAACACGCACATGCTATTGTGCATGATACTATGTTTTTCTATATATTGATCACAAATATTTCATAGAATCATCTAGGAATGATTGATGCATTCATCTATTATATTATATCACATACAAAATTCGCATCGAGGAACCTCCTTGTTCGAAGATGAACGTATTATTTTGTGTTGAAAATATTATTTTGGCTATATCTTTTTTCTTTTCTTTTCTTAACAATGCTCTAAACGTGCTTTAAACGACTGTCTGGATCGGACAGTATGTGGTGGTCCGACGCTCTAATCATATATCATGTAACCTTATTCAATATTTGAGTCTAATAGTGTCAAGACGGATCATTATGTATCTTGGTGGACAATTATGTAAAATTCTGGCAGCCAAACACCGCCTTGTAGTTGTAGGCAGATTCTTGACGGAACATTTTAAAAAAAAATTGTAAGTTTTTGAATATCTTATTCATTGGAAATTAGTGTCTAAACATTATATTATCCAACTTGACATCTAAATTTTGGAGATTATGTTTTTATTTACTTGTCGTTTGAAGTCATTTCTACATTTGAAAATCTACTTTTTAGCCAGCCATTTTAAAGTTTATTACTTTTTACTTTTTGTTTCCTAAAAATAAATAAAAATTCAGTCAATATTTTCAAACTAAAAAGTTAATAAATTTCATGAGTCTAAATCCGTCTACACATACTAAAAATCTCATAAATTTCATCGGTATAGATCCGTCCACGTGAACTAAACATCTAATAAATTTCACTGGTCTAGATCCGACCACGCTTACTAAAAATCTAATAATTAAATTTCATCGGTCTAGATCCGCCCACGCATCGACTTATAGGATTAGGTGCTAAGCGTTTGTCCACCATGTAAAAGAAAAGTGAGAGGTGTATCTAGAAATCTCCAAAATCTGTAAAGATACTAGGGTTTCAGAGCAAACAACAGACGAGACAGTGAGCGGGGGAGCTGATGAAAACAGCCATGATGCGGCTTGGGTCGACAAAAAAGAGGTGTAAAATTTCAGCACCAATGACAAGGTCCCAGACCTACCCGTTGGACAAGATGCCTCTCGAAATGAAAGAGGAGATTTGCATGAAACTGGAGGTCGAATGCATCACGAAGCTCATTGCCCTTTCTAAATCCTGGTCATCGATAGTCCGTAACAAAATTTTCACCAACTTGTACCTGAATCAATCTTTGGCTCGGCCACGCATTCTGATCTCATTAATCGGCGTTCAAGACATGCAGCACTTCTTCCTCTCTTGCTCTCAGGAGGATCCATCTTCTGATCATCGCACTGTCAGTTGTAACCCTCCGAGGCAGGGTAATTGGTACAACTTTTCTCCACCTGTCCGCGGCTTGATGAGCTGTATGTGTGATAATAATAAAGTGATGATTGGGAATCCTAGTACTCGTCAGCTTATTACTTTACCGAGAGTCAAAACTGTGAGGAAAGACATACTCCACTTCTTTGGATATGATCCTGTAAAGGGTGAATACAAAGTGTTGTGCATGACGGTGTCACGTAATCCTACACGTAGTAGATCAGGAGAGGCTGTGACGGAGGAGCATCAAGTGTTCACTCTAGGAGCTAAGAGAAAGAAATGGAGGAAGATCGAATGTGAGCATCTCCATTATGCTCATCCTAGAACTCAAGGGATATGCAGCAATGGGGTTGTGTATTATCTGGCATGGGTCGAAAATGTTCGTTTTCTGATATGCTTTGATGTGGGGTCTGAAAAGTTTAGTGTCATGGAGTTACCCGGGGACGTCGAAGGTCTGTCCAACTACGGCGAAAAGATAGCTGTGACGAAAATGATCATCGACGGTAATATCGACTTGTGGGTTCTTGAAGATGCCAGCAAACAAAAATGGTCAAAAACTACAATCGTGACTTCTTCTTGGATAGAGTCACATAACTTGATTAGAAGATTCATGTTCAGGGGTAGACTTGGCACCGGCGAGCTTGTATTTGAACCCTTATTTGTCGCAGGCTCCTTCTTTTTACTATCTTACGATCTCAAGGAAGGGAAAGTTAGAAAAATCATCATCCCTGAAATATTTGGCTTTTCTTTTACTTCTATAGGTGTCTATTTGGATCATGTTGAGAGTCCTATGTTTCTGGAACTGTAAGGTAATTCTCACATCCTGTCTCTTGATGACTTCTTCTTCGGTGTTTCTTGCCTGAACTACTCTCTCTCTCTCTTTCTTAAGTTTCAGTTAAAGTTGTCGGATATTATTATTTGTTTAAGACTTGTCTTTGTTGGATTTTGATCTATGGTTTTGTATGCTTTTGGAATTTGGATTTATGCAATGTTTATGACTTTGTTTTAATAATTTCTGGTTTTCTTATTTGATTTATTTTGGGGGAGATCACAAATGGATCTCTCTTTCACCTTTTACGTAAGAGCAAAATCACCTCAAAATTGGTTTTTGATTTTGTTTGACGAAGTCACTAAAGTCTAAACCATGACACACGTACGTGTTCAGAGTTTGATGTACACGCGAAAAAAGCGCGTGGATGATAATATTCTCCTAATTCTTAAGGTTTTTTATTCGTTGCCTTCTTCCTAAGTTTATAAGCCGTGTGGAACCATCGAGAAAGCGAAAACGAAGAAGAAACTTTCAAAAGCCTTCGATGGTGACGACGCAATCAACATCTGTGATCGTTCCTCCGCCGGAAACACCTAATCTGAACCCTAGCATGTTATCGGATTCCGACATCATTTCGTTTCCGCCGCTAGATCCTCTTTTCCTATCTGATTCTGATCCGATTTCAATGGATGCTCCTCTCTCTGACCTCGACTTCTTACTCGACGATGAGAACGGTGATTTTGCCGATTTCGATTTCCCGTTTGATAGTTCGGATGATTTCTTCGATTTCGATTTGGCGGAGCCCGCGGCGGCGGTGATACCTGAGGAGATGGGAAATAATCGTTCCAATTTGGACTCATCGGAAAACAGAGACGGCGATGGAGGCGCAGAAGGACGATCTGATTCTGTTCATTCTCAGGTTTCATCTCAAGGCTCCAAGACGACTTTTGTGTCCGACACCGTTGACGCGTTATCCTCCCCTGAATCGAGCAATCACAAGAAGTCTTCTGTCAGCAAGAGGAAGAAGGAAAAAGAAGACTCCGGCCTTGAACACAGGAGCCGCAAGTATCAAAAGTCCGATGATAAATCAGTCGCTACAAACAACGAAGAGGATGATGACGACAAGAAGAGGTTAAGGCAGATCAGGAACCGTGAAAGTGCTCAGCTTTCGAGGTTGAGGAAGAAGCAACAAACTGAGGAGCTTGAAAGGAAAGTGAAGAGTATGAATGCTACCATTGCTGAACTGAACGGTAAGATTGCTTATGTTATGGCTGAGAATGTAGCTTTAAGGCAACAAATGGCTGTAGCTTCTGGTGCTCCTCCTATGAATCCTTATATGGCTGCACCGCCATTACCTTATCAATGGATGCCATATCCACCGTATCCTGTCAGGGGTTATGGATCACAGACTCCGCTGGTTCCCATTCCTAAGTTAACCCCTAAGCCTGTCTCTAGTTGTAGATCGAAAAAGACAGAGAGTAAGAAGAATGAGGGCAAAAGTAAGCTCAAGAAGGTTGCTAGTATTAGTTTTATTGGAATTCTCTTCTTTGTTTTCTTGTTTGGTACATTAGTTCCGTTTATGAATGTAAATTATGGAGGAGAAAGTGGAAGCTTTGGCGGTTTGTCTAAATATGATGGTCACCGGTACTACCATGAGCACAAGGGGAAGGTTCTAATGGTCGGTGATGGTTCTGATGTTAGAAGAGAAAGTGGAATATCTGACGGACATTTACATTCTAGTAGGAGGGTTCATGGTGATAGCGATAGTTGTGGAGGAGTAGATTATAACCCTCATCCGAAAATAGAGGGACGACCAAGTTCAGTGAGCAATGCTAGTGACCCTCTTTTTGCTTCTCTCTATGTCCCAAGAAACAATGGGCTTGTGAAGATTGACGGGAACTTGATAATTCACTCTGTTTTGGCGAGTGAGAAAGCAACTGCTTTAGCTAAGAAGAATATCACTGCAACAGTAAAAACCAAAGAACCGGATTTGACCATTCCTGGTGCACTTTCTTCTGCGTTAGCTGTTCCTGAGCTAAGAGGAAATGCAGCAATGCTCCCTCAGTCAATGGCTCTATCTTCTGAAGGGAAAAGGCTTCATCAATGGTTTCATGAAGGTGGCTCAGGTAATCATTCGACTCTGCAGTTGTATTAAATGGAGTGATCTGGATTTTTAACTCTTTGCTGCAATCTCTTACAGGGACACTAATGGATTATAGCATGTGTACTGAAGTTTTCCAGTTTGATATTGCTCCTGGTGCTATAGTCCCATCATCAGTCTCCAACATTTCAGCGGAGCAGCTCCAAAATGTCACCACCCACGGCAAGAGAATGAAGAACAGGAGAATTCTCGAGGGACTTCCGGTTTCACGTTTGGCATCTGAGCTCAATATCACCGGAACCCAGCCGAACAAAGAAACTCAAAACAAGACCTTCAATGGAAACACTAAGAACAAACCCAACTCATCATCCTCCATGGTTGTCTCAGTGTTGCTTGATCCAAGAGAGATTGTTGACTCTGAAACCGATAGAGTGGTGCCCCCGAATCCTAAATCACTTTCCCGGATCTTTGTGGTGGTGCTCCTCGACAGTGTCAAGTACGTCACCTACTCATGCGTCCTTCCTCGATCTGGTCTCCATCTCGTAGCCACCTGATCCAAGTTACTCAGCTCAACTAGACCTCAGTAGGAGACCGTTGACTTGTTTATATATACATTACGTTATTGACTTTTTTTCCCCGTGTTGTACAACTCTTGTTTTAAGGTTTTGGATTTTAATGTTGAGAATTAAACTGAAATCCTTGATTTACTTAGGGAACTTTCGGTTGCTTTAGGCCGGTAAAATTACATCTAGTGACTACTGAACTTTTCTCTTTTAGAAGATATAATATACAAAAAAAGCTCTTAGAGCATATATTCGATTGGAATATAAGTAGAAGCCTGCACTATTTTGTGCAGCAACATTCTATAACAACTCTTCCAGTTCTGTTTCTAGATTCCATATGAATTCATTTTTATACACTTAAGTTTTGAGTAAAACTAGACATGTTAATGTCGTTATTCACGAAGCCTGGTCACTATCAACATGAGAAGGACAATCCATGGAATAGCTGGTAAAACCTCATTCGCTGCTGCAGGGCACAGAAAGAAGAAGCTATTTGATTAGAATTGGGAGTCTACGATTTGATATATCTTTGCTAAAATTGGAAGACTTTATAAGTAGCAACTTACATGAAGAGGACTGAGGTTGAGGATGAGCATCTTCATTTGCGTGTGGTTCTGTTGCTTCTGTTTTGGGTGGTTGAGCTACATGGGCAAACACCACATGTGGTAGAGGGGCAGAGACTGGAACTATACGAGAATTGGCTGCAGGAATAGGGGATGGCGAGTGCAGCTGATGACGTGGTACCCCAGCAGAAGGAGCAGGCGTAGGTGTGGAACAAAAATGCACGTGTTTCTCTTTGAAATGTACTCTCTTTGGTCTTATATTGTCTAAGTTGCAGGGTGGAGGCGCAGACGGAGCTATCCTACGGTTTCTCTGTGGAGCAGGAGAGGCCACAGGTGAAACCTCTGGAGCCATTTTTGGGCTATGATGGTGGTGGTGATGATGATGGCTGTGATGATGGTGGTGGTGGTGATGGCGATGGTGATGATGGTGGTGGTGCTTGGAATGGGGACTAGGTGAGGGTGATGGAGACTTAGTGCTACTATCACTGTTGTTTGGCAAGAAAGATGAAAGACGAACTTGCTTGACCTTACCAAATATGGTATTATTCAGGCCGAGGTTTTTCGAGCGTGAACCTGTAATGGTATCAGTCAGTTGTTTCAACCTTGGGCTTGAATTTGAAGTCCCGATTCTTAGCAAAACCGATGAGTGAACAGTTGTAGGAGGAGACACGGTTGACCCTTCTGAATTCGATAAGCTTACATACAAATTCTGCATCCAGACAAAATCCATGTTAAGAATAATCTAACTCAAGGCATTAACACTTGCTAATGAACGCATAACTTCAACATGATTGAAAGATTTAGAATAAAAATATATTGTGATAAAAATGACAAACCTCGTATGGTGCAAGATTCAGCCCATTCTTGAGTTGACTAGCAAGGGTATTGAAGTTTATCTGTATCTGGTGAATAGAGTAATTTAGGGTAAAGTTGAAAACAATCTTGAATTTCTGGAGAGGGAAAGCACTTTGCGGCGGAATCACAGTGATTCCTCCTGGAAACTTTAACACTTCAAAATGGAAGGTTTCCCCAAACAAGGATTTTGTAAGCTGGAGAGTAGATTGATTTATGAGCACCGATTCGAACATCTCTTTGATAGAACTCAAGGAAAAAGGTAAAATTTCTCGGTAATCTGTATCGTGGTCAATTCCAAACACAACCTTTGTTATGTTCAATCCATCCGACGGTTCAAAAGCCAAAATAGTTACCTGTTGTTTCATTAGAACCAAGTCGGATCAGAAGAGAAAAGAGATGATAAATAGTAAATAAAAGGTTAAGAACAATATGAAACATCGTACATTGATGGATATGTAGCTCATCTCTTGAAAGATGTCATCTCTAAGCTGCAAGATATTGTCATTAAGAAAAGAAGCCGGTCGATTGATGCTAAAACTGGCAACGATAGCATGACCTGCATCAATAGTGAAAGAATAATGTGGTAAAGGTGAGAAACAGTTAACAAGGAAGCCAATATCCTAATAACGATCCCATTTCAATGGTCTAAAATTGAAGGCCTAAAACTTATTAAACCAGCACTGGTCATCTAATTTGTCCTAGTTATAACTTATCAGAAGACAGTATCAGTAAACTTAGAACTCGGATATCCGAACACCTGAGGTATGTACACACATCACTACTATGTCAATGACCAACAGCTTCTACTTAAACTGCATCACATCGAAATTGCGCAAAAAAATCTCAAAATGCTTAAACAAGTAACACTAAAAACTTATGCAAATATCAAAAAATAACTTTGATTTTTCAAAATAGGTTTTACTCTCACAAATCACAATCATTACTCTCGATTGATATAAGATAAGCTACAATTAACCGATGGAAAAAAATCCACATTTTGCCGATTTAATTCTCTTTATTATATCAAAGATTCAAAGAAGGAAGAAATTTTGACTCTTGTCTGACATGTTAGTGTTACCACAAATCACGGTCAAATCTCAATCCCAAAATAGCTAATGTAATTAGTAAACTAGCAAATTCAGGACACAGATGATGAAACAACAGACCCAAATCAGTAGTGTTGGAGTAAATCCATTGTCCAAATAGGAAACTTTTCTAAGCAGTACAAAACCGAAACAGCTAATACTGCTTTCATCACAAATTGAACTTTATTTTTGTTTGTTAATATGCACGGATTCAGAATTGAGGGAAGTCTTACCTCTAAATCTGGGATCGAGATTGGAATCCTCACGATCCACAGGAAAGGGAAGCAACAAAAACAAAGCCGAAAGAAACAAAGAGACGGAGAGAAGCAACAAGAAGAAACATTTGAACCCAACGAAGCTCGAGATCCATTGGCAACTCACACACCGAGCATTCCTCCTCTCCGTCGAATCGCCGGTAGGTTCCCCGCCGGCGTCACGGAGGCTCACATCATCCTCGGTTTTACCCATCGACAAAAAAATGTAAAACTTTAAGGTTTCAAACCGTAGCAACAGAGAGAAACCCCACCTTCTCCATCGGTGGGTACACCCATCATCATTTCTAGCTTCCACAGCTCAACAAAAAAGCCCTAATTTCACCAGACTAGCTAACAAATTCCCTACAGAAATTGAACAAATTTCACCTTGGGATTTACAGATTTCGATATCGATTCGAGCTTTCCAAAACAAGGCTTCAATTTGTTTAAAAAAACGCAGAGAGTGGAGTGAATTTCCGATTTCAGATTATAAAAGTATTAACTTTTTTTTTTCTTTACTTCAAAAAAATGGAACAAAAAAAAAAAGGATTCGGTTTTTGAGTATTGTGAGGGTTTTTGTCAATATATATATATATATATATATATATATATTTTTCCCAACTCAAATTTAATTTCGACATATACACTTTATTAACTTCGCCTTCATTTTCCTTAGATTTGATTTTAATTATGACAATTATAGGGTTGTTCGTTTTTGGTAAGACCACCGACACTAGAGAGTGTTGGAGAGTTCGAACTACCGTGTGACCCGAATGGATAAACTTCTATTCAACAAAAAAAATATTATTCCCTTATACAAAAATTAAACAAATGTTTTATACATTACATCTGAAATCGATTTATAATACAAAAGCATATCAATGGAAAGGTTGTGATATATTGTGGTTCGAGGCCAAACCAGAGGACCTGAACGGCCACAGATACATCAATGGTTTTTTCCAGCCATTGTTTCTGTCTTGTGGCAGTTCTTTGCGGCATACAGGGCAAGAGTTACGCTGGACTAACCACGGGGCTATACATTCCGAATGGTATATATGTTTACACGGCATCTTTCTTGCATCCGATCCTATTTCGAACCGGTCTTGGCAAACAGGGCAACACAGATCCAAACCGAGATGCTTCTGTCTGATTTTGATCTTTTGTAACGAGTTGATCGCGGTTGGTGACGCTGGAGGAGGACCACGGCGGTCTTGTGCTGAGAGCCGGTTAAACAACTCTTCAAAAGTTGGTTGGTCTCCGAGAACGGGTCTACTTCTGTTGTTGCGGCGACGATTACGAGCTTCTTCAAAGGCTAAACCGAAGAGATCAAAAGGGCTTAGTTCGACGTTCTCATATAGCCTTTCAAGAAAGGTGTCACCACAGTGAATGCAAGCTCCTCCTCTTCTGCCTTCTCCTTGTAGACGGATTCCTCGTCTGCAAGTATTACACCAATGTGTGTTCTTTCGGCTAGTTGTAGTCATGGATCTGCCAAAACATAGAGTTTCTTAATCTTCAAAATCATTGTCGTCTGTCCGAAGTTAAGGAAGTGATTATGAGTAAAACAGCCGACACTTCTATTATAAAAAAATAATTTAGAGTCGGTATTAATAAACAGAAACATGACAGATCAAGATACATAACTTACAAAAACAGAAACATGAATAAAACACAAGAAGCTAGTAGAATCAAGATCTTTAGGTTAGAGATTTAAGCCATAGAGCATAAACGATAACTTGTGGATTAGTGAAACGAAACGAATCAGATATCTTAGCTTACCGGGGTTTTAATGGATCGATCATCCGTCAAAAGCTCGTGAATCTCCCTAATGCGAAATGAAAGATTTAAATAGAAGATAATGAAACTTCTGGAAGAAGAAAAGTCTTTTACGCAATAAAAGAAATATTTGACGAGGAAAGATCAAAGACAGCTTCAGTCATGTGGCTGACGCTTAATTGAATAGTCAAAACAAGAAATTTACCAGAAAATTAGTTTAAAAGACACGAGACTAATTAGTAATTAGTGAAGTTTGTGCTAATTAAACATATGTGTGTGTGACTATGAACATTATTACTTTTGAAGCCTAAACACATAATCATGACAGCACAAAACGCGTTAATTAGACTATGAGATTTTGCTACTTTTTTATAATAAAAGGGTATGACATTTGTTACTACTAATGACGTATTCATTCACTTAAAAACATGTAGATACTATCATAACTTTAAAAGATGACATGGTTTTTATATCAGGACACGTGCTACTTATTTGTAATTATTAACAAATGGTAAAGAATTTAACTTCGAATGTTGATAACATAATTTTGTTTTAATACTAGTCCCATGTGTTACCAAATTTGTTTTCTTAATCAAGTGTTCATTATTACATACTCCACTATAAGACAACACATGTATCGGTCTATTTATGAATACGTATTTAACTAATTGAGATCAAAATTAGGGATAGTAATTCATTATATATACTTAAGAATTAAAAAAGAAAATTTGTGGGTTTTAGTGGAAAAGGTGAACGTCAAAAAGCTGTTCCAAGTTGTGTGTCTTGTCCTCTTTTTAATTTCTCTCTGTTTCATTTAATTCTTTTATAGCTTTCTCCAAGTTCTTATTGTTGCTTGAATCCGGAAGAACTAAATTTAATAATCCGATCGAGAATTAAATTGGATTTTGCGGTTTCGATTTTGTTGGAGGGAGATGAAACGATCGGCGTCGTTGGATAAGTGGAGGGACTATTTCCGGCGAGGAGATTCTGATATTTTTGGGATTATTGATCATGCTATTATGGTGGCTGCCTCAGATTGTCCAAAGGAGTTTAAATCCAGGAGAGATGGAATCGCCGAGCTTCTCTTTTCTTGTAGAGCGAGCCGCTGCATTGGCTGTGACCACCTCCAGGTTTTGATTCCTGGAGGAGACGAACATGAGTTCGAGCATTGTCCTAGGACGGTGGAGAGTGTTGGAGTTCAAGTCATGAGGATCAAAGATGTCTTGTTGAACAAAGAAGATGAGGTTTTTATTATCTCTTTTGCTTGACTTAGTTATTATCATAAGCCGTGCTGATTCATTTGGTTGACATGGTATCTTTGAATTTTGCAGCCTAATTCTGTGTTACTCGAATGTCTGAGAAAGCTCGAGACAATGTCTATGAATGTGGACATTCTTAAGGTTTGTCTTTTCTTGGTTCTGTTTTGATAATAATGTATGATTTGGTGTGGTAGAAGCTGTATCATGATTCTTCTTATCGAGCTTTCCGTGTGACATAAGGGTTTGTGTTCTTGCAGGATACTGAGATCGGAAAGGCTGTTAATGGTCTGAGGAGACATGGTTCCGATAAGATTAGCAAACTTGCAAAGACTCTTTTCGCGTATGAGTTTTATCATTCTCATTGTGTGTGCTTAGTTTCATTTGTTCTCATACTCTCGCATTTGTGATGTGCATCCTCTGCGGTTTGATTTAGATGCAAACCAGCTGCTTTTGTTGATTATTAGGAAGCTTTCCTTTGTGCTAGTTTAATACTTATTTGAACATTTACTCTTCTGCACTTTCTGTCTCCCTGTATAAAGATTGTGTGTTTTTATATATGGGATGCACAGAGAGTGGAAGGAGCTGGTCGACCAGTGGATGAACGCTCCAAAGGATATGGCTGGTGAATAGCAGCTCTCTTCTCATGTTTCCATAGTTATCACTACTTCTCTGTTTGGAGACAGAACAACGTTATAAGTTCTTGCGAACAGTTTTTTTTGGTCTAGATTCTTAGTAATTGGCTCTTGCAGGCGCTGAAGAAGGAGGGACTCCAGAGTCTGCAAACCTTTCAGTGATTGATGAAGAAGAAGCCTTTCCTTCTCCTCCACATGATTTAGATATCTATGCACCTGAACCCAATGGATTTGAACTCTCTCAGGTCTATAAACATCTTTCGCGCTCGTGATATCTTTTTTCGGGGGTAAATGCAATGTTATCCTGACAAGTTTCTTCCCTTGTCCTTGTTTCCTAATGTATTGGGTCACTTGAAGATCTTAGATTGCTTGGACTGCGATGGAAGTGAGTTCTTTGGTACTCTGTTCTCTACTTGAAACTCTTCCTATATATTTGTTACTCATGGTGGTGAATGTTTTCAGATCCTCGTCAAAACAATGTGGAGTCAAAACATGAAAGCAAATTGCAAAGTAGAGAGAGGAGGAGACCTGAAGGTACAAATGAAGCCAATGTGGTAGGGAGGTACAACAAAGATCAACAGATGAGAAGAAAAGAAGCTGAAGTTAGACCTGTAAAGCACTCAGCCACCAGTTTTGGTGAGCCTAGAAGACAACCAAAGCAAAGTAGAGAACGAATGGTACCCGCAACCCAAAGAAAACCGCTTGCTGTTGTTGCTGAGCAAAAGAGAAAACTTGCTGGACATCAACAAGATGTGAGTATCTAGGTTAATAGAGCCGTGGTGTTTGATTATTTGTTTGTTCTAATAGCAACTGTATTTGTTCTTGTCTGTGTTCAGAAACTCACTCTGGATCCAGACACAAAGTTTGAGTTTGCAAAGCGGAGACTCCAAGAGAGCTACCAACAACATGAGAATGGTCAGTTTAGTAATCTTAGAGATTTCAATAGTTCGACTCTTAAAATTTAATATTTCATTCTAAATGCTCATTTGATTCTCAACAGCCAAGAGACAGAGGACGATACAAGTGCTGGAAACTATCCCAAAGCAGAGAAATGTTCAGAAACCGCAACTCAAGAGACCCCCACCAAGATAGTTCCATATATTTCTTCCGAAGATGTATACAATTACTACGACCATTCACAGACGTTAATATATACATACAACAGAAGTACATCGACAACGACAGACCCAACTTAAACTTCTTTTAGGATGCTCCTTTCTTTTGTTCCAATGTTTATTGGTACCTCTTGGCCAGTGAATATCCGGTCTGGTCCGGTTTTGTGAAAACTGAAAAGAGAACCTCATAATTGTGACAAATGTAATAATAATCCTTTTTACTCTCTTCTTGATTTATCAAGGAAAAAAAAAAAGGCAGTTAGAACTTGGGACAAAAGAGATTTCCGTATTTGACTCTCTAAACCTAACCTGTGCGGCAAGTAATATATAATTAAAGAAGAAGGGGGATAAAGTCCGTTTTCCCCCAAAAAAAAGAAAAAAGAGAGAAAGGGATAAAGTCCTAGCCTAGGGTTTACGAGAGTTGCCTTCCCTCATCGTCGAAGGAACGTACGTACTCGGATCTACCTCTTCTTCACCAAAAGAAACAGAATAGTATGTAGTTCCTGTATATATTTGACGACTAGTACGTACTTGTGCAGATAATGGATAAAAATGCAGATGTGGTGGAGGAGGAGAGGATTTTCAAGAAGATGAGTGTGCTTCCAGATGAAAAGGATTTTGTTGATGCCATCCTTTCTCTCAAGGACCTCCAGCGCAAGGCGGCCAAGTTGGCCAAGGCTTCCCCTTTTAAGTTTGAGCCTATCCGTGAGCACTACAGGGAGAAGATTAAGTTCGTGGAGAGATCCTTTTTTCGTAAGCTCTCGAAGGTTTCCAAAGAGTTTGCTAATTGTCTCAATGAAACTCCCCCCGGTGGCCTTCTCTTTCAACGATTTCATTACAGTGACTTGAAATTTGCTCGAAGACAACTGAATTTTGCAAGGGACCGGACTCACAGCGTCGCCATGACTTATGTGCTACTACTGAGAAAGGATGATTGTGATTCCGTGGACAAGTGCAAGTCCCTGACAGTGTCTGCTCTTGGGTTAATGTTGACTGTTGCATTGAGAAGCCTCCTAGTTTGGCTTATCTCGAAATGGTCAGGCAGGACATGCTGGTTCAGTTCACCAACAAGAATCTGGAAGATGAGAATGCTGCTGCTACTCTGACAAAGAACAAGAAGCACTTCGTCACCGAGGCATACGACACCTTTGCCTTTGATATTCGAAATGCTGCCGCCGTTGTTCCTCCTGAAACTCTCGCTTGGCTTGAGGATTTGGAACGTGAAGATGGCTTTTAAGCTCCAAGATAAACAGCTGGACTGTGCAAAACGTGCCCACAATCACAAGGAGCACATAGTGGATGATTTAAGAGATTCATTTGGTTCTATTTATTCTCGCATACTATAATTAATCAGTCGGTTTTATTCTAAGTAGTCTTAATATAGTCGTCTTTAGGTTCAGTAAAATCATGATTCTCTAAAATGTAGGCCCAACCCCAAAGTTTTGATTGAGCTATAAAATAAAGTTTTATTTCATGATACAATGCCTTGGAACTTTAAGTCTACTTGTTCTTGTTGTGGCCCTCCAAAAGCATTCCCTAGAAACTTTGCAACAATAGATGTGAATTCATCTGGCTTTTCCTCTTGAGGAAGATGACCACATTTCTTAACTACTTCCAACACCGATCCTGGTATGGCTCTTGACAGCCTCTCTGCGTTCCATGCTGGCACAATCCGGTCCGTATCTCCAGTCACGATCAAAACTATATGGTGTCAATGTGTGTCATGTCATTGGTCCAAACATTGGTCACAATTTTGATTCAGATACAGATTTGAATAGAAGGAGAATGTTACCGGGGCATTTGATTTCTTGCAGTCTTTTTGACAATGGAGGTTTTTTATCTGAGCCATTAGTATCTGTTATTGTGGCGACCGTGAATTCCACAAGAGCTTTGTCCCATCCCTTGGCTTTTAGAGGCTGTGTTTTTTTGGCAGCAAATTGAAATCAGAATTTCAAGCATTTGACATGACAATGCAGAAGAAATTTAAAACCTGAGAACACCAAACTGTTTTACCTTTGTATAACCCTGCACAACGTGATCCGTCACTTGTTTTGAGTCATACCACGCGTTTCTAACAGCTGTTACTCCAAATTTATTGATTGCCATCCTCACCTATCGAAAAAACAAACACATTAAACACATCAACTAAGATCCTTTCGAGGTTCTAGACCAACCTTTTCTGGTCTAAGAACATATGAAAATGAGATGACTGGAATAAAAGCGTTACCAGCATTACTCCAAGAAAGGATCTGAGGAAAGCTGCTAAAGCTTTCTTGTAGAGAGAGTTCAGCATATTCGCCATTCCCGTTACCGCTCTTAAAACTGCTCTTATAACGCCTTTGGTTAACTCAACTATAGTCCCTAGAAAATTGCTCGTGGGAGCTTCTTTGCCTCGGTTATCTCCAGCATTAGTTGTGACCACAGGACGAGGAGCGAAAATAGCTGGAGCAACTAAAATGAGGGCAGCCACACGCTCGGGAGCTTCAAAGTAAGTATCTACAGCTACAAGGCAACCTGCAGAATGCCTAGAGCCCATGAAAAATAATCTCAGCTTATGGTGGCACACTTGATTAAGAAATGCAAGTACTGTAATTGTGTATGGAACCTACTAACTTACCCCACAAGAATGGCCTTCTCGGCAGCAAGAAAATCGATAAAGTAGAGCGTAGTGAGCACGGAATACACCATGGAGTAAGGATTCAAAGGTTTTGCATCATTGGTAGTCCCATTAAACGGGTGAAAGATCCGAGAAGTCAAGCCAAATGCTGGTCTGTCAAAGGCCAGAACTTTGGAACGGACAAGCCGAGCCAGAGGCTTCATAACTCTGTTCCAGGAGAAGACAGAAGCGCCGAAGCCGTGCAATAGAATCATGGGAAAGTCGGCTTTTCGTGATTTTTGAGCATCAAGGCTTGTGTCTGAAACATCATCAGAGAGTGTCTGTGGATCAAAAACCTTGTGATGTATATTAACACCTTGAAACTCACAGAAACAGCTGTCTGGATCAGCTAAGTTCATTGGATCCTGCTCTGTTTCAGCTTCCATCTCCTCTTTACTCTGAGCTCCAACATCTAAATATTGATCTGGCAGTTCATGAATCAGGAAGATTACTCAAACAGAACTTTAGGGGATAAAAAGATTACACATTTGGTCAAACTAATCTTATCCAATAGGAAGTAGAAGCTCAAAATGTTTCAAAATGTAGCACGAATTATATGGTTACTGAACTCGAATAATGAAGAACCCAGATAATTTTGAGGAGAAGCTAATGAACTACAACTCTAGAAGCAGTAGAAAGAAAGTAACAATCTTTTCTGAAGTGTTTAAGATGAGAACCTGAGGAGCCGCCAGACAGAGAAGGAGAAGAAGAAGCAGCATTGGAGACGATGAGACGGCGAAAGGGTTGGCCGGAGATCCGGGGATACATCTGAAAATGGGTTTTAGAGGAGTCTAGACTAAGCTTGTCGTTGAGAGATAAGGAAGGGGAAGGTAAGAGAATCTGCCTTGGTTGGCTCGAAACGAAGATGCATATCGTATTTATATTCATCCTTCAGATAATTTAAAAAAATACAGAAGGGTTTGAGACAACAAAACAGAAGAGGAGGTTACGAGATACTGTGTTTTGTTGAAATCTTGTTGAAATTATAATATTAAAGAAAAAGAAATAGATACTGTGTTCTGAATCCTCTCCAGTTCTGACCTTTCAATCTATTGGACAAAATAACGATCATCGGATGAAGAAAAGGACATAAACGTAAAAAGCCCATTCTCGTCTCTACTCGTTGCCACGTGGCAGTAATATGGGGCAAGATAAAAAAATATTTCTAAATTTTTTATATATTGCTGCAGACTGCTGTACAATTTGAACGGCCTCTCTCATTTGTATCGTCGTGGGGGTTGGTTGTTGTAACTTGTAACTTACCACCATACGTTAATTGAATTCTGCAAAATCTATCTAACCAACTTAGTTTGATGATTTTCATTAATCTGAAAAGTCGAAACATTCAATGAAGACGACGGTGGGATCAAACAGTAACTTATCCACAACAAACTTAAAATTCAAAACAGTGTGGACGGCTTTTACAAATCGGTCTGATTTTGGTTTACCAAACATCACAAGTCCATACACCTTTTACAGTATCACTCAAGTGACGAACAACACACATAAAGCATATATATAGTCAAGAAGCTCCTCCATTTATTATCCCCTCCACTGATCTTTCTTGTTCCGGATTTCCCTTAGTGTGTCAATGGGGGACTTGCAACCGAGTTTCTCCTGGAAAATTAACCATTTTGATCCCAAGATGCGACAAGAGTAAATATCAATATCTAGTGATAACGATCAAAATGACAACAGAATAGAGTTACTAGTAACCTGTATCTCTGGCTTATCAGCGCGCATAAAGGGATTTGTTTCGAGCTCTTCCTCTAGTGTTGAAGGGATTGTGGGAAGATTTGCTTGGCGCTGTTGACGGGCCCATGATAACTTCTGCTGTATCTTCTCATTGTTTGGTTCCACAGTTAGAGCAAATTCCAAGTTCTTAACGGTGTACTGCAAATCATATAAAATTGGAATAGCGGGTTATTCGGTTTATAGGCATCCATTTTATGAGTTAAGAAATCAAAAGACATATTAAAGCTGCTGTATTTTTTTACCTCGTGGCCGCAGTAAACCTGTGTCGTTTTAGGTAATGCAGCCAGAGTTAAACACAACGACTGATGCATCTGTTCAGCTGTCCCTTCGAAAAACTTCCCGCAGCCAGCAACAAACTATATAGAGTCAAAGTAAACACATATATGGAATTAGTAACAGAGATTCATGATCTGGTAGAACATAAGGCAAAAATGTCGAGGATTTGTGTGTGTGTGTGACTAATGTGAAAGCCTTAATAGATTTGACAGCATGAGTTCTGACTTATTACTATATCCAATTAGACATAAAATTGCGATAAATATTTGTGGAGAACATATAACGTCAATGGTAGGGGAGAACAAGAGGATCCAGATTTATGTTACCACTTACAAGTGTATCTCCGGTGAATACGGCTGGGGTTTCTCCTTCTTTGCCAGTCACATGATAACTAATGTGACCCTTGGTGTGGCTGTAACAAGAGAAAATGACTGAGTCAATCAGATCAAACTTGAGATTATATGCATCTAAAGTCATGAAACAGGAACATACCACGGGGTGTGGAGCGCCAAAATGTTGACATCCTGACCCAAAGACACTTTGTCCCCATTATCAACCGCATCAGTGCATCCCTTCACCTTATCCAGAGAACCTCCATATACTTTGATCCCAGGGACCAACTGCTTTATCTTCTCGTTTCCACCAGCATGATCCCTTTCATCACATCAAGCCACCAATCAAAGAGTGAGTGTTAAACTGAAAGTGCCTAATAACCCCAGTTCATCCAATCCAAGGAAACCATGCATATGAAATAGTGAATACATAAATCATTCAGGTTCAACACATTAAATACTAATGAGCCTACTTCAAAAAGTACCCAAATTTCTGAATCTGAACGATCAAGAGCATCAGACTTAAATTTCAAAAAGTACCCAAATACTCATTCAAACGATCAAGAGCATCAGAACATAACTTGGTTAAGAAACACCACCACGCACGAAGATGACTACAGTAATCACTAGCTCAGTTGAAACTGATAGCAGAAAAAGCTACATATGGTGGGAAAACCCCTTAATTCGCCGGACATGTAATCATAAAACTGAGAGACTCAAGCAAATAAGAAACAGTTTTAGAGCTCTACTGATGTTGAATTGTTAATGAATCAAAATTTGACAAGTTACCGACTTCTGGAGAAATAGAGGGAAGTGGGTAAATTTCTTACCAATGATGATGTGTGGTGAGCACGAACTTGATTTTAACCTGGTGCTGCTCAGCTGATGCGATCAGCTTCTCCGGATCAACTGGATCCACAACCGCCGCGTCTCCGGTGGTCTCATCAATTATCCTGTTTTTTTTTCACCCATAGAAAAAACAAATTCAAAATTGATGATGAACCGACTCAGAGAAAGAAGAAACAAAAACTGAAGAAAGAGACGCGAAATAGCTCACAGATAAGAGTAGTTGTCTTGTAGACAAGGAACGTGGAAGATCTTCATCGTCTCCTTCGATCGATCGTCGTAATCCTCAACCGCCTGAACAAGACCAGCTAAATCACATTTATTGAATTATATCTCACTCTCTAGTCTCTACTAAACTACAGGAGTTATCAAACTCGGTTCACCAGAACCGGTTCGAACCAGATAAATTAAATTCGTAACTGTAAACCGAACCGAAATCGAATCGAAACGCACGCTTTTATTTTCTTTTTAGGTTATTATTATCAGAAATTTTTGGGGGAGATTCGTCGTCTCGCGTTACCGTGAATTGTTGTTGCCTTTGTTGGGATTGTTATCTGGGAAGAGAAGAAGAAGAAATGGGGAAGCAGCCGGTGAAATTGAAGGCGGTGGTTTACGCACTTTCGCCGTTTCAGCAGAAGATCATGACGGGTCTCTGGAAGGATCTACCGGAGAAGATCCACCACAAGGTCTCTGAGAATTGGATCAGCGCCACTCTTCTCGTTACTCCTGTCGTTGGAACCTACTGGTACTCTCCCTCTCCTTCTCTCTCTCTTATCAATCGATTGGAAAATGAATCTTTCGAGAGTGTTCCGATCTGGTGATTTTTCGTCAATTTGGTTAGCTTCGAGCTAATGTATCGCAAATGGATTTAGGGTTCGTCATTTGTGACGATGTACCCTTTTATGGGTTTGTTCTTCTTATATGAGGACATAGGAACAGAAGAGAGATGATAGAAAATAAGTTAGCTGGAGAAGAATATTAAGTATAACCTAGAACCACCATGGTGATATGGGTAACAACTCTTAGAGATTTCTCCATTGTGAGTGTAATTTTGAACACTGAGTGAAATGAAAGAGCTTCTCAGCTTGAAAAGTCTATCAGGTAACATTTAGTATTGAGAAATTGCATTTCAAGATGTTTAGGATTTTAATGGCGCTCTAGTCATTAGCCTATTTGTGGTTCCATTAAACCAATCGAGTTCTTACTAAGCTAGAAATTGCTTGATCTATCTGAACATTACTGGTTTCTAATATGAGAAGATTACTAAGTTTCTCGTCAATGTCTGTACTAAATCTTCAAACACACGAATGAATGCAGGTATGCTCAGTACTTCAAGGAACAAGAGAAGCTTGAGCACAGATTCTGAAGCATGAAGTCACTCTCCGTTCCTACAAGAACTCTATAGTTTGAATTTCACTCCTTTTGTTTTTATTTTGAAAACTCATGTGGGAATCGTCTGAGTCAGTTTTTCTGAACTCTATTGATAAATAAATGTTTTGGTTTTATGACAATGACTGTTGATGTTCATCTTTCTTGTTCTTGATATGGTATGGAATTGGATTGAAACGTATAATAATCTATTGAGAGGTCAAACGTAATCGCTGTGTATGTTCCCTCAAAACATCAACTACAAACACTAGGCTTGCGTTTTCATTTATAGAGACAATATTTCCATCACATTAGGACTTCTTTCTTTTTTCTTTTACTTTTACTTACATTGACATTGAAATTGACACAGTAACTCAGATAACAAACACACTGCAACACACCAAATAAGAAAACAGAGAGGATACCATTACCAATGTTCAAAAGTCAGAACGCTCATCAACAGTTGATTCCACATAACATCACATCTGGTCCGGTGACTCTAGATGTAAACGGATCAATCCTAACCCACAACAACGAGAAGATCGAAGCTAGGAGGACCGACCAAACCACAATTATGGTTGGAGTCCGGTTCTGTCGGCCCATCAAACCCTTGAGGAATGGGTATAAGTGAACAATCACCCAGAAGGCAAAGAAGAGCTTACCAAAGAGAGGTCCCCAAGACTGATAGCCACTATTGATAGCGTAAGAGACTCCTGCAACCACTCCTACAAGGTTTATAATGAGCAGCGTTGTCGGTGGGACTAAAAGTGTTGTCCATTTGATCAAGTACAGCTCGGCGGAGTCACCATCTTCATCTGAGGCTTTTGAGGTGACTGTGAAGTTGGTATCGATACCAGCGAGGACTTTGAGTAGACCTTGGAAGACTGCAAACAAGTGAGCTGATACACCACCGATAACCCAAAACTGCTCGTTTCTCCACCATTCGTCTATGCCCACACCGCTCCATCTCATTTCCAGTATACCCGTTGCAAAAATGGAGAGGAAGAGAGACAGAAACCAAATACTTGCCAAGTTACTTATCTACAAATAAGACAGTAATTGAAACATCAAACAGCATAACTTAGACCGTAGGTACTTTCGCCACTTCTCTCATCCGGTGAATATCTATGTAAGACAAACCTAACATTCAAGAGAGAGAGTGAGAGCAAACCTGAGGAATAATGAATTGGTTGGTGAAGAGACAAACGGCAGGCAATGTGCAATACATGAGGAGAGGAATGGAGGTGACTGGATATATGGTTGTGTTCACATATGCAAACCTCTCAAGAAATTTCAGCCTCCCTCCATAACCGTACCAGATTGGACAATGCCGACTGAAGAGAATCTCTACTGAGCCTAGAGCCCACCGGAGGACTTGGTTCAGTCGATCAGAAAGATTAATTGGAGCAGATCCTTTGAATGCAGGTCGTTTAGGCATACAGTAAATCGACCTCCAACCACGGGCATGCATTTTGAACCCGGTGAGAATATCTTCAGTAACAGAGCCATAGATCCATCCGATCTGAGCAACGTCAACAAAAAGTCAGAGATCAGAATGTAGACAGAGAACACACAAAAAAATATAATAGAACTGGGAAGATACCTCAGTTCCCCACTCTGTTTTGTCCTCATATCCACAGCTAATGACATGAATAGCTTCTTTCAGAAGGTTTTCTGGAGTTGCAGATGGAGGAACACCTCCATTTTCCATTAGGGTAGAAGCAACAAAAACAGCGGATTTTCCAAATCGCTGTTCCAGGCTCATTTGCGACATCAAGAGTGCCTTGTCATCGTCCAAACCAGCATCTGATTTTGCAAAATATTGAATGGTAACTGATTAATTTAGTTCATATATTCAAATGCATATTCACTCAGCATGTGTGTTAGATCAATGATGAAGTACCAAAGTCTCAAAATCAAAATGTTGATATAACAGATAAGACAGAAGGTGAAAACAGGCTTACCTTCAACTCCCTCTTCTATATTCTCGAGGTTGAACACAGGAATGGTTGAGTCCGTCTGCTTCTTAGATTTCTTTTTGTCAGTGTCTTTTTTAGATTTGGCATTCTTCTTTCTCACCCCACAAAGTCTAGAAATAAAATTTGCTTTCTTGTGTTTTGCTTTTACTGGCGGTTCATAACCATATAAAGCAGTTCTGTTGAAAACACACCCAGTTCCCACATATACAGGTCCTTGAATCCCATCTAAGCCTCTCAAGTTTATCTGAAGAGCATATTACAGAAAAGTCAGAGCAAACACTATAAAATGTATCGTAAAATAGACATAAATTAAGACAGCTCAACTTACATCGAAGAATACCGTATTACGGTTAGCATATCTATCGTTTTTATCAATACCATCAAATCTCTGTGGGAACTGGACATAACACACTTGTTTCCCAAGGTTTGGGTCCATCAGGAAGCACATAGCTTCTCTCAAGGCTTTGCTGTTATTAATGTAGTGATCACAATCAAGATTCAATAGGAAAGGTCCATTAGTAAGGACTGCTGAAACTCTAACCTGTTCAAGTGAAGAGAGTTTGCTCATTAGATGCGACAATAAACACAAAAGGAAATGGAAAATTCAATGATCAGAAACCTACAAGTGCATTCATAGCACCAGCCTTTTTGTGGTGCTGGAAACCCGGTCGCTTTTCTCTAGAAACATAGACCAAACGTGGGAGCTCGTTGCCCTCTGCGTCCAATCCACCATTTTGTCCTAAGAAAACCTGCACTCAACAAATGATATCTCAATGACAACCTTTACTCAAAAAGAGCTAGCTTTCAGAGAATGAGGGAAGAAAGTTACTACTAAACCAAGCAAACAGGAAAATGTTAGTAATAAGTGATGCCAGTGGAATCAACATTTAGAGGCAAACAATGAACTGAAGAAGTAAAAAAATAAAAGCAAAGTCCCAGTCCCAAAATTCCTATTCTCCCTCACCTGGATCATTCCTGGATGGTCCCTAGTGTTGTTTCCAGGCCATGGTGTACCATCTTTCGTAACCCACCCTTCTTCAGGAACTTTCTGGGCCTTGGAAACAAGTGCATTTATTCGGATCTTAAATTCCTCATACTCCCTCTGCCAGAAACAGAACATATAGTTATAGCATGGCAAAAAAACAAGTAGGGGTGTTTGGAACGACTAGACTGTAAACTTACCTTCATAGCTCTGCGATCTTTGACAAATGATGGATGAACTTTATCCTTCAGGAAATCAATTTTCTGAGAAAAGTACCATTCTGGTGCTCGAGGCTCAATACTATATCTCTTGCAGAAAGGTACCCATTTTCGTGCAAACTCAGATGTTTCTGCTAGTGATTCAAATGATAACATAGCAGCACCATCATCAGAAACATAACAAGACACCTTATCCACCGGGTAATCAACCGCCATAATAGAGAGTACTGTATTGGCTGTCACCAGAGGGGGCTCCTTCAATGGGTCAACAGTACTCACAAAAACGTCCACTGCAGCTAACTGTGATGGTTCGCCTTCGCGTTCGTATCTGTAATGAAGTAACGGATTAGGAGATATCCCCACCACTATAACATAAAAGACAAAAGGCAGCTACTATTTGAATAACAGCATCAGAAACAGAGAAAGAGAGCAGACCTTAAAGATAGCCTATCAAGGTAAGTTTCCCGGTTAATAGGATACCACTTGGGGAACTGATCTAAAATCCATGAAATGGCGAACCAGATCTCACATATCACTGATACCAGCCATATACCAAATGCATTTGGCACTGGATTTGTGATACGATAATGTAAGAAGAGACAAAGGATTACGAGCCGCAGCATTATAACCATTCTGTAGGGATTTATACGTGATGATGGCACAGATACTTTCCTAGAAAGAGGTTGTCGTGCTTCATCATTCCTGCATGATTGGGAAGAAGAAAACAAAAAAGATCATTACATCACTTATTTTGGAAAGAGAAGAAAACACAGGACATCACTCAACACAGAATATCATCAAGGACTAACGAGATAACAAAACAGTACTCACAGCAAAGCCTCGTCAACAAAGACATCAGTACTGGCATCAATATCCCCTAAACCCCTTTCAGAAGCAGCTTGAGTGCTCACAGGACCAGATTTGTTCTCCTGCTTCATTTTCCAGCCATCAACCCTCTCCTTCCAGGCTACATTGCCTAAGCCTATGGAGCCAAAATCCCTAGCAGGATCAACAATCCTTCTGTTTGCTGCAAGACAATACACAACAGGGTTTAGTGCTGATATAATTGAGAATCCTTGGTATGCATATGATGGTCAGGTAGTAAAAAAAAAAGAAGGTAACTACGTGATTGACTGATATCTGAAGAGTAAGGAAGCTGCTTTCCACCAGCATTAGTAGAAGATACAGACAGTCGTTCAGGTGAAGCAGCAGAAAACTCTCCAGAAACCTATCAAAGAGCATGAGACAAAGTCAGATCCCAACATTCACAAGGTGACCAAGCTTGATGTGAAACGCCACAGAGATGGAGAAACCAAAATGTCTTACCTCTTGTCTACTAGTAAGACGAGGAATAAGATTGTGAGAGACCTCTTTGTCATACTCAGAGTCTTCAATCTCCTTCTCTTTCCCACGAGTAAGACGCCATCCAAGCATCCGCTCTGATATTATATCCTTCTGTGGCTTTTCTGTATAGCTAAACTCACCAGCACCTTCATCAGCAGCATCAAAGCCATCACCATCTTTATCACCGGGAATAACAGGACTACCTAACCACAGAAATAGATACCTTAACAAAGATATCAACTCATAAATCACAATGACAAAAAGTTAACTCATAAAACCAAAATGTACCTTTGAGTCTCTTATATCTGGTCTTGCATTGAGGACAAGACTGGTTTCCATCTTTCCTTTCATACTCGTAACAAGGTCTACAAACTGGGAATGAACAAAAAGCACACGCCACAAAGGGTTCTCCATCCACAGTCTTCCCAAAATTGTCGCTACAGATCCCACAAATCAGCTCACCAGCGTTACTACCCATCAGCTTCCCCTACAAATATCGTAGAATCAAAGACAGCTAAACCCAATTAGGAAACCAAACGATTTCTGCAACAAGTTAACCACAGTAGAAATCAATGTCTCCATATATAAAGATATAAAAGATGAAGAGACGAAACAAAAAAAGACAGATACCGCCGTTTCTCCTTCTGGTTCCATCATAATTTACTTTCTTCTTTCCACTGAAGCGTCAGAACTGTTCAAATCTTCCCGGGAAAACAAAACAAAACAAAACACAAAATCATAATTTGGTCGGATTTTGTTGACTGTTGTTAGCTCATCAAAATTGTCGGCGACGAGAAAACCCGAATTGTAGAAAAAAATAGAGTAACAATTTACCATGAAGATGCGGAAAAATCGAGAAATTTGAAAATAGAGAGATAAGAGTGGTTTCGTCTTCGTAATGTAAGAAGACTGAAGACTCACACTCTCTCCCTCTTCTCTCTCTCAGTGGATCATCAAACTCTTCTTCTTCTCCAGAGAGATTTATGGAGGAAGGCTACACTAAAATCTCCCACACCGACACCTAATCACACTTGTCTTTCCCAATTACACACTCTATTTCTTCTTTTTCTCCATCTTTCATTTCAACACGATTAGCCAAAATTTAATTCGGGTTTAACGTAAACCGGTTTCATTCCAAAGTAAATACTTTCATTAATTGAGTTTTATGACGCACGACAAAAAAAAATTAAACCCAACAATTATTTTCCTTTTTTCAAAATCATTAATTTTTAAAAATGTCATAACTGGAAGAAAAAAAAAACAAATAACGCTCGCAGCTCGCTCTAGTATTGATTAAAAATAACCGGTTATTAAACAAAACAGAATCCCTTAAACAATTCTTAATTTTGGTTTTAGATAGAACCGACGGAAACGGCAGCTTTGATGAGTAAACCGAAGAGAACAAAAGGGTTAGAGAAGAAAGGAGAATGGTCGCTGTCCAATTCGTAAGCTTGAGTCGGAGGCCACCGTCTTATCATCGCCTCTTGCTGCTCCGGTTTCATAACCCGGTCATGTATCGTCTTTATGTACACGCGCGGCACCTTCACCTTATCCTCTTCTTCTTCTTCTTCTTCTTCCAGTTTTGCTGTCGTTAACGCCATAATTGGTGCTGGTCTCATCATTAGTGCAGCCAATGAACATTCCTTTACACAAACAACAACAACAACAACGACCATAAAACATAAGGACAACAAATTTTGGACATATGTTGGGAACAAACACAAATACACAAAGATTATCGGATCTTTAAGCTTTCTATATGAAATGAAACAGTAGAGAAACCTGTTGGGGACTCATGTGGTAAAGGAGTTTCCGTCGGAATTCAGGTTTTATAATAGCACTGGTTGGAGGATTCTCAGGTCCTAAACCGAAACCGAGCTCGTAGACATCACCATGTTCTGATAGATCAGGCACTCCCTGCAACAATGTCAAAGAAACATAACGTCACACACAAGTTAACTTGGTTTTTCAAGAAATTTTATTGTATCTCTTTACATCTTTCATATCTTCATCGGTCCGGAAACCGTATTTGAGCATTGAAGCACCAATATAGACAGCAAGAGAAATTTTCTTAGGGAATCTCTGTATCGCGCTTGTCACGCTAAGCCCTCCTGCACTGTGACCCACAAGTATCACCTGACAAAAAAAAAAAAAACCAGAACAGAGAAAAAACAGAGTGAGTTTGCTTCAGATTCAAGAATCAATACAGTAGAGTTCTGAATTATGTTTTATTACCTGTTCGTGTTCGGAGGAAGAGGAGAGGAAGTCGATGAGAGGTTGGTTATACTGGTCGAAGGAAGTGAGAGAATCGGCTGATGAGGAATCGATGCCGGAGGATTTGAGGTCGATGCAAGTGACGTCGAAGCCAGAGACTTCCATGAGACACTTGATCTTGTACCAGCACCATGATCCTAAGCTCATGCCATGTATTAGCACAAAGTGTGGTGGTTTACTTCTTGGTTTGAGTTCGAGGGTTTCTTCTTGATGATTCTCATCCGCCATTTGGAGTTTCGCCGGAGGTTTTATGGGTGTTCCTATTACTTCCACAGAGTGATCTGCGTGTCTTGTCACTTTTGTCAAGCTCATATATAATTAGTGAAAATAATATTTTGCATCTTTCTCAGTTGGGTAATTTTCTTATAATATATAAATATAATAATGAATAATTGTGTACTATTAAGAAATGACCAGTATACATACCCTAGACAGAAATTTTTAGTAAGGAATAGAGAATCTGCAGGATTTTTTTCCTTGTTTATATAACTTTTAAGCTTAACAAATCCAGATTTTGTCCAAAATCAGTCCGAGCTGATAAGTTCAAAAAATTAATTTAGTCAAACTGCATACAAATAGAAATAAATCAAATTAAATAGTAATTTGTTAAAAAGATATTCCAGAAAAAGAACCAATTTTTTTAGCAAAAGAATAAACTTTATTACCATCACCATGTAATAGACATTGGTTCTTTGAACAATGCTAGTTTTTTTTTCCCATGTAAACACTTCTTTTTGCAAAATTCTGAACTTGACGCAGCTTTTAGTCGTGTGTTGTGATCAAATTTTAATCTTAAATTAGGGGTTTGTTAGGAGAATTAAAAGAGAAAGAAAATTGAAGGGTTTTTTTTTTCTTTTCTAAGGGAAATAATATGGTTTCGGTGTGTGGATCCGACATTTGTATATTGGTCACTTGGGGGGCTTATTGCATATTCTTATAGTTGGGGTAGTCAATATGAGTAATAAGTGTGTATTCTGACTATATTCTTATCAATGGGTACTACATTATTTACGTTTCATCCGCACTGATTACGTTTCTATCCTCTTAAGTCTACACAATTTATGACTAATGACGTGCCATTTATTTAATATTAATATGTTCAGAATTATATTCGACGTTTACGGTTACCAGAAGGTGATGACTGATGAGAGGATATCAAGATTCTCAATCCATTTGATAGCCGGGTTTAATTAGAATGTAATAAAGAAAATAACTAAATATTACTAATAGTCAACGTGATTATAAAATGTTTACATAGATTAAGGTATGTCACGTGTGTTATCAAAGACCCGTGCTATGATTTTGTTTTGTTATTTGATTAAAGTCTATATAGTCTATATATATCCGATAGCTTAATTTATTACTATCTAGGGCGGGCGTGACAGTAGACAGTAGTCGTAGTGTTCAGGTCAGTTTTTGTAACGCAACTACGCAAGAAGATGGGAAAATAAATTGCATTGACCAATTCTAGCTAATGCTCAAAGATAATATTGGCCAAAATCAGCTCTTCAGTTCTCTTTGTTTAGAATTTGAATGTTAATTAAAGTGAATGCAACGCTAAAAAGTAAGGTAATTGGCTAAAGAACATAAAGATGTGTCATTAAAGTTTAAAAGTATGCAAGTGTAGAACCATGAAATTTAAAATGGAAAGAGTTGTGACTTTTTGTGCTAGCTGTATTCTCTTTTATGTAATCTTCAAAGTCATATTATTTTGCTGTTTAAAATAGAGAATGATGCTAGGCTAGTATAAAAGCAAATAATGAAACACTGATTGAAAATGTATTTTTTTTAGAATAAAGGAGAAAGTGTCGCAAACAAAGATGAAGATATCTCTCCTCCTCCTCCTACTTTTCAGTGGGTATCGAGAAAGCGTCTTTCTTACTATTTTCTCTTTTGTTTTGCCCACATCTTCTTCCCTAATTCTCGGTTTATTTTGTAACTCAGCTTATTTTCAAGTTTTCTTTTCGGTGCGATAGACAAACGAACGTGTAAATGAAAGTGACATATACTACAAAATTTGGATTAATTCGTGTTGTTATTTTCTAGTATGCACAAATATTCCATATGCTTGAGGGGTTTTCTACACATGCTTTTCTTTTTTATTTCCTTTCCCTCTAGCCATTATTAAAGTTCTAAAGTATAAACATGTAGTGTTTAAAAGTCGGGAGAAACATCCAAAAGAAAGCCAAAAACGAAAAAAGAAAGAAAAGACTAGAGACAACAAATCCAAGAAAAAAAAAACTTCTAAAAAAAATATAAGTATGTCATATTATAGATAACATTCTCAACATCCATCAAATGTTCACAATTTTTTGTGAAGTGATGATTGTATATGATCTCAAGCTATTCGTTCCGTCGACGAACCTATATCCTGATCTCATTCCACAAAAGCTAGCTTTTATATATGAAAAGGAAGAAAGAAAAAGATGCAATAAGTGGAAGAGATGACATACATGAAATGGTCAGACGAGAGACATGTGCCGAAAGGAAAGTCTTTTCGCCATTTGTCAGTGTCTTTGTGGACAAATCGAATCAGATTCATATATGTAATTTTTTTCATTCATTAATTTGGTGTAATTTTTTTCATTCATTATAGGTTTCTTTCATTTCATTAATTTTTTGCCATTGTATACTAATTTGCTTCAGTCATATTGTTCGTTTTTGTTTGGAATCATCAAAACGTACTTCTTTAACAAATTGTATCATATAGTTAGAACAAAGTTAAATTGTTTTTTTCTATCGAGCTAGTTCCTTAGGTTTGAGACCAGACACCTCAAACTAGATGATACATACTATGCAATATGCATGCATGGATTCATATTTTTATCAAACTAATTATCACTCGAAACCTATCATTTTTACTCTCTTGACCATGCAAAAGCAAATGATTATACTGAATGCCTGAATATATACTATATCAACAGCTGGTATAAATCGAACTAATTTGGCTAATCGATACAGTACGTAATAATGGCATGTGAGATTGTGTGAGGCGGAAAAAGAAATATGCCATGCGTATTGGGAATAGTACTTCTAGTAGTAAGCTTAACTAGTAGTAGTAGTGGAGGCTATCCCATTTCCCTTTGTCTGAACTGAAAAGTTCTTTTCTTTATAACTGTTCAATCATTGTTGATTCTCTATTATCATTGAACAGTTTTTTTTTCATATAATAATCATGAAAATGCTTACTAATATTTAAATAGACAATGCATTTTTTCAAGTAAAGTAGCAAAAGAAAATTTGAAGTGATATTGGGAAATGCGTGGTTGCCAAAGTGCATTATCCATCCCATTCTCTCTCTCATTTTTTTTTTTTTTTTTGTGTTTTTAGGTTTTACAATTTTCGAAATTTTGAATCGTAATAGAAGCGCCATTTTCTCGTATCCCTAATTTCAAAATCCTCTTCAGTAGCTACTACTACTGTTCAGTTTTCCCCTGTAAAGCTCCTCCTCTAATCGACAAAATCTGAGTTTCCTGTTTCCTCTTCCCTACAAAATCAAGTTTCTCAGGTCAGTAATAATCTATTATCCTCTGTCTCTCTTGGTAATCCGAGTATTCTCGGGGATGAGATCATTCGATTTGTTTGGATTAGGGTTTTTCTAATTCTATTCGTCTGAGTTTTGCTTTTGGTTCTTCTTCTGTAATCATATGTTAGGATGGATTTTAGTTTTAACACAGCAACAGAATCGGACAAGGTCGACTCAGCCTTGTGGCCGCATAATTCTAAGTCATTAATAGCAGATATCTTAACAGGTAACCAGATCCGTTCTGTTCTGTTCACATATGAGTTTCGTTATTTTCTGTTCAAACGCAACACTCAACAGCTTACATGTTGTATTTGCATCCGCAGAGATTGATCAGAATGTTCAAAAAATGCTGATATTGATTAAAGATGGTGAAACCGAGTCAACGGAGAAGTTTCTTTGCTTATATCAATCTCTTGGTGAGACTTACAACGATTTGAACCAGGAGCTCCTCAATGGTCTTCTCAATGTTGATTTTAACGTGCCATCTTCAGACCACAACAACGCCTCTTCTCTTGCAGCAACTCCACTGAGCTCCTTTAAGTCAGGAGGAGCCTCTCTTAAGAACCAACTGGTCTCACCTGGTAGCGAGATGCTGCAGAGCTTGAAAGGAGATGGTGATGTTGAGAAGAACCACTCTGCATTTTTGCTTGCTGATATGTTTTGGGCCGAGCTTGAAACTGCAAGGAGAGAGTTAGAAGCAAGGAACATCGACATTGAGACTGAGAAAAAGCATGTGCTTGACTTAGAAAGTAAGCTTTCAGAATCGTGTTCCAAGATTAAGAATTTAGAAAGCGAGCTTGACGATATTAAAGGGTGTTTAGGTGTATCAGAAACCGAGGTTTCAAAGCTGTGGGAAATGTTAAATGAATGCAAGACCGAGAAAGAGAAACTGCAGGCCGGTGACGCTGCTGACTTGTTAGATAGCCTAAGAGCAGAGTTGAAATCAAGGGAAGACCAGATTGAGCAAATGGAGGAGTATTTGAACCAGGTGTGTCTTAAAGAGACTGAGATTACGTCTGAATCAGGAACCAACAAGAATGTTGTGGAAGAACTGAGAGCTAGAGTTGCAGTGCTGGAGAAACAAGTGGAGTCTCAGAGAAATGTGATAACAGAACGAGAGGAAGAAAAAAGAGAGGCTATAAGACAGCTCTGTTTCTCCCTTGATCATTACATGAGCAGATATTCAGAGCTTATAAGATCACTTTCAGACAACAACAAAGGTATACCTTGTTAAATAACTTGTAGTAGAGATTATGTGCTTTTGAGTGATGCAAACTAATATCTGACTTCATCTCATAATCAGAACTAGTGCAGATCTAAACACATGTTGCATTATCTTCTTCTTCATGTTTTTTTCATTGAAAGAGTTTTATAATGCTGAGATAGAACTTTAAGATATCATTTCAGTGATTGTATATAACTTAATTTCTTATCTTTTAATATTAAATCGTTAACAGTAGCAAGTGTATTAATGCTACATATATATTACAGAAAGACGTACCCCTATTTAAACTTTAATTTTTGATTTCGCGACTTTAACCTTTCTTTTCGAAAAAGCAAACTCAACTTCCGTGAATCCTCACTTATAATATTAACCGTCGACGAGTTGTCACTAAGTACAATGGCGAGCGAATCTTTAAAGTTGTCCATGCCGTCACTAATCAGGTGCCAAAACCATGCTCCCGTGGCTGCACCGCCTTTTTGCGCAGACTCGTAGACGGTGTCATACGTTGCCTTGAACACGGTGTCTCTCTGATCCTGCGTGTAGCCTGGTGTGTTTGTTGGTTTCCCGAATTCTCCTATGATTAGAGGTTTTCTAAGAACGTTCTGCGCATCTTCGATGTGTGCTTCCAGCCATTTTCTTAAGAAGTCCAGTCGAGATTTCTCATCCAAGTTTGGGAACCTGCAAAATCAAAAAAGTTGGGAAATGGTACTTAGCTAGATGAGATGAAGTATGATACTAGGAAGATGAAATATAAACCTCTAAACATTAAATTTTGATAATATAAGATGGTAGTAATTTGGTAAAACAAAGTTAAAACTCTAAATTTGTAAACTAAGCTACATATGTTTTTTTTTTTTGTATTAGCTAATGTGTTAACTAATGCTCTAAGGAAAAAACACAATCAAGAAACATCAATATTTCTTTGTTAGTCTAAATGGATGTATAAAAATTTTGTATAATATTGGCATTATAACTTACCATAAGTCAGGGTAAGAGTGAATCGATGCAAAATCAATGGCATCGATATTGTGATTAGCAATGAAATCAGTTCCAAGAACGTTGGCTGCATCCGGATTTAGAGTTGCCTTTCTTTGAGGAGAAGAGTCACCATAGAAGCCTTCAAGACCAGTGGAGAGGAGATGATTTGAATCAACTGATTTCACATAAGGAGCCATTTCCTCAATCCAAGCCATAAGGGTTTTTCCACTTGGATCTGCTCTGCATTGTGGCTCGTTAATAAGCTCCCAACCCATAATGGTTGGTTCATCTTTGTACGCAACTTTGGTGATTGTATTCAATCTGTTCACCATAGTCTACATCAAGAAAGAAAATCAAAGAGATCAAAGGTTATATAATTCAAAGGTTTAACTCTAAAATACTCAGTAAGATTCAAGAAGATATAAAGGTTGAGTTATATATGTATATATATAGTATTTGTACCATGACGTGGTTCTTGTAGTACTGTTTAACAAGAGGGTTTGTGTAGAAATCGTCATCTGAAGATACGTTTTGGCCACTAGTTTTAGCCCAATCCACGTATTGTTTCCTCCCTCCGAAGTCAGAATAATTATTCACAAACGTGATTATCATTTTTAATCCGAGTCTTTTTGCTTCGGCTATCACAAAATCCAAACCCTTTTTACATCACGAAAAATTTATGACAAATTAATTAACAATTTTTTTAAAAAAAATCCACTCTTTGAACAATTAACAAGATTTCGTAATATTTGCTTTGAATATCAAATCTTGATGACATAAAGAGTGAGTTAATTAGGAAAGCTACTAGGCTATGTATATGGAAATAAGTTATTTTTGAATAAATCTCTCGATATTGATTACTCTATATAAAAGATCTACTTACCTGAAACGATTTCTCATCGTATGTACCAGGGGCAGTCTGGAGACCGCGGTATATGGCACCATCTCGGAACCCCCATGTACGGGCGATGGCCAAACCGTGACTTGTAGCATTTTGAAACGCATAAGTGATCTTAAACCTTGCGGTAGGATCAGTGGCTTCGTACGTGAGCCAGTAGGCATTGAAGCCATTAGCGTAAAATGGTTTCCCATTGAGAATAAATTGGACGCCTTTCCTACCCACGAACCCATCACTCGAAGCAGCTTCTACTCCTCCTAGATCGGTATGGTTTTGTGCGATCACAATCGCTAAAAACACTACAAAACTCAAATACTTCATATTCTTTTTTTTTATCTTTCTTGTTTTATTTTTGTGCTATATTGTTTTCAATGTGTATAGAGTTATATATAGAGGAAATATGTGCTTTCTTCCAATTACGATGCATGAACATTCACTAATTCATGGATTTACTTATTTACACGTACACAACCATAGTACATAAGAAAAAAACAATTATTATTAATTAATTACATACATTAATCAGAATAATAACAACTGTTAGTACTTAGTACTATATACACATAATATAAGAACATGCACATTACAATTTTGTATAGCTAAAGAATATCACCTTGTGGTTCAATTAATATTAACAATAAAGGGTATTTTGTAATCTTTACTTACAAAAATGTTTATTGACTTACTTTCATTGTAGTCAACATGTTGATTATCTTCCTAATCAATATTGGCTGACCATTCTGATTCTTGTAATCATCTTCTTTGTTTTTTTTTTCCCTTGATACCACTTTAATCTCAAAATTCAGTGGTCGTGCATTCCAATTATGCTGATTTAGTGTAAGTTTTTAGATGACAAAATATATTAGTATTCTATTTAATTTTAAATTAAAATATCTTACCAATTTTAATGCTGCATTTCGTACTATATAGTAAGAAGAACCATATATATTTCTGTTAGCATCCCAAAATTTTAATCGTTTAATATTTTCTTAAATAAAGATTAAAAATATCTTATAATAAAAATATAAACACAGAATTATAAGTTTTAGACATTTAACGTTTAAACGTTAGATGCAAAGTCTAAAGCAAGCACATACTAATACTAAACACAATGTGTGAAGCCAGCACAAAGATAACGGATAACAACAGTACACGAAAACATATACGAAGCTAAATGCAATATTAGAAAGAAAAAAAAAACACGAATGCACAAATGTTGTCTTAAACGCAAACACATTTCAAATGTTATTCTTAACTCTGATCTGATGCATACGCAGAAAAACAAAAAATACAAAACGACAACAACTTTAGATAATAGCGCAGAATGTAAAAGCTGAACGGATAACAAAAATACAAAAGTGAAAAAATAATATTTTTTTAAAACTAAACAAAAACGCTAAATGCAAACATGAAACATGTAATCTATTATATGTATTTTTTGTTTCCCCCGATCAAAAACCACAAACGCAAAACGTAAAACTAACGCAAATCAAATACGCTGTAGAAAGACAAGTTTGGAAGTGGTTAGAATTTTAAGATTGTTTATACGTTTTTTCATTTTTCGTGAACTGGATGATTGTTTATACGTCAACATTAACAAATCTGAAAAATGAGTTTTCCATTTGTAAAAATTATAAACGTGGAGCTATAAGCTATAGCAGTACCACCTCAAAATGATTTTTATGCACCACTTATACGAGAACGCTACTTAATTATAGTGAGACCCTATATTAATGCTACTGCCAAGTATCAAGTAGAGAATGACGCAGTACGCCTCCATAGAATTAGGAAGGTTGCGGAAGTTGCCACTGAATGTTATCAAGTATCTTTACGGAAACGGAAGTATGCCTATGTTAAGTAATATCTTATAGCTAAACACACAATTAGAGAGCTAATCAAACACATGTAATATATGTTGCAGCAATTCTTCTTCTTATTAAGTATTAACTTTAGAGTTGCAATCTATGACTATGCTGAGAGAAAAGTTAGATATCATTTTGGTATACTTTTATCATTTATTTATTGTTTCGTAAATATATGAATTATTACATAAATATATACCCTATTTTAATAGTTTAGTTTTTGATTTTGCGGCTGAACTTTACTTTCGCATTAATTAAACCCAACTTTCGTGTCGCCTCACTTATAATATTAACCGTCGACGAACTGTTACTAAGTAAAATGCCCGAAGGATCTTTAGAATTGCTCATGTCATCGCTAATAAGGTCCCAAAATAATGCTCCTCCGCCCGAACCGCCTCTTTGCGCAGACGCGTAAATGATCTTGTAGGTTAAGGTGAAGATGGCATCTCTCTTAGCCAGAGTGTAGCCTCGTACATTCGTTCCTATCCCGAATTCTCCTAGAATTAGAGGTTTTTGAAGAATGTTATGTGCATCTTCGATGTGGCCTTCGACCCATTTTCTTAAGAAGTGCATTCTTGTTTTCTGATTCAACTTTTGAAACCTGCGCAAATCCCAAAAATAGCTTGAAATAGTACTCGATTTGTAAACCCTAATAACAATTTTTTAATATCATAGCAAACCCTGGTAATAGTTTCTGAAATATTTATTTTCTAAATGAACGTGTATGTGAGTTTATCATTAAATATATGGGTAATGTAGCATACCACAAGTCAGGGGCACAGTGAATCGATGCGAAATCAATGGCATCAATATTGTGATTAGCTATGAAATCAGCTCCAACTACGTTGGCTGCAGGCGGATTTAGAGAAGTCTTTCTTTGAGGAGACGAGTCACCATAGAAACCTTCATGACCAGTAGTGAGGAGATGATTTGGATCAACTGATTTTACATAAGGAGCCATCTCATTAATCCAAGCCATAAGGGTTTTTCCACTTCGATCTGATTTGCATTGAGGCTCGTTCATAAGCTCCCAACCCATAATGGTTGGTTCATCTTTGTATGCAACTTTAGTAAATGTATTTACTCTGTTCACCATAGTCTACAATTAGAGAGGAAAATACCATTGGTTATTATAAATTAGGTCTAAAATATATCTCTGTAATGAAATTTTTGAAAAGATTAAAGAGGATATACATTTTGATTGATTTGTAGTTTATTTTTTACCTTGACGTGGTTCTTGTAGAACTGTTTGGTAAGTGAGTTTGTGTAGAAGTCGTCATCGGAAGATACCTTTTCGCCTTTGCTTTTAGCCCAATCAACGTATTGTTTCTTCCCTCCGTAGTCAGACCAGTTATTCACAAAGGTGATTATCATTTTTAGACCGACTCTTTTCGCTTCGGATATCACAAAATCTAAACCCTATCAACCACGAAGACGAAAAAATTAACAAATATTTGGGTTGAAAATTAAAGGCTTCACACGTAAGACATACCTGAAACGTGTTTTCATCGTAGAAACCGGGTGCAGTTTGAAGAGCGCGGTATGAGGCACCATCGTTGAACCCCCAGGTGCGGGCGATGGTCAAACCGTGCCTAATCGCGTTTTCACACGCATGAGTGATCTTATATCTTGCGGTAGGATCAGTGGCTTCGTACGTGAGCCAGTAGGCATTGAAGCCATCAGCGTAAAATGGTTTCCCATTGAGAATAAACTGGACGCCTTTCCTACTCACGAACCCTTCACTCGACGTAGCTTCTACTCCTAGATCCCTATGGTATTGTGAGATCACAGTCGCTAAAAATACTAAAAAACGCAAATACTTCATATTCTTTTCTACTTTTTTTTCTTGTTTTGTTTTTGACTATTGTTTTCAATGTGTTATAGAGTTATATATAGAGGGCATATGTGTTTTCTTCCAGTTACAATGCATGAACATTCACTAATTCGTGGATTTTAATTACATGTGACAACCGTAATATATAAGAAAAACAATTATTATATAATTACGTACATACATTTATCAAAATAATAACAATTATTATTATTACTACATACAAATAATATAAGAACATATTACAATTTTGTATTGAGATAATATAAACTGGTCATTGACTAACTTTCATTGTGGTCATTGGTCAACATGTTGATTATCTTCCTAATCGATATTGGCTGACCATTCTGATTCTTGTAATCTTTTTTTTGACCCTTGATTCCACTTTAGTTTCAAAACTCAGTCGCTCATTCCAATTATGCTTGTCAAGTGTAAATTGTTAAAAATGAAAAATATTCGTATTCTATATTAAAAATAACTTAAAGTAAATATATAAACACGGAATTATTAGTTTTAGACATTTAAATTTAAACGTTAGATGGAAAGTCTAAAGCAAGCACATCCTATACTAAACACAATTTGTGAAGCCAACACAAAGATATTACTACATAACAACAACAGTAAACGAAAACAAAGACAAAGCTGCCGATACTGAAGAAAAAAAAACACGAATGCGCAATGTTTTTTTTTTTTTTTTTTTAAATGAATGCACAATGTTATCTTAAACGCAAACACATTCAGATGTTATCTTAACTCTGATGCATACACAAAAAAAAAAAAAAAAAAAAAAAAAGAAGCAAAACGACAACTTTATGTAATAGCGCAAAATGTAAAAACTGAACGAATAAGACAAATACAGATAAGTTTAGTATAGATGTTACTAGTCTACTAGAGATAAGTGTCAGACAAAAGTAAACAATATTTCTAAAACTAAACACAAACGCTAAGTGCGAAACATATGTATTTTTGTTTCCCCCAACCAAAACCACAAACGCAAAACGGAAAACGCAAATGAAATACGCTCTAGAATAATTATATAGCCAATCAACTTGTTAAATGGAAATGCCATGAATCTTTAAGGTTCATAAATGGATTTGGGAGATACTCTTCGATCTGGAAAAAACAAATTTGCTTCGGTGGAGTTCTATTGGACACAAAAGAACAATAACAAAGGATCATTCGCAAATTATGTTCTGTATTATTTTGCTCCTTATTTTGAGGACCACACTCCCAATTAATCAATCAAAGCTGTAAAAAAAAAAAAAAAAAAATGCTGTAGCTAGAAAGACAAGTTTGGAAGTGGTAAGAATTTTAAGATTGTTTATACGTTTTTCATTTTTCATGAACTGGATGATTGTTTATATACGTCAACATTAACAAATCTGAAAAATGAGTTTTCCGTTTATAAAAATTCTAAACGTGGAGCTATAAGCTAGCAGTACAACTTATACGAGAACGCTACTTAATTATAGTTAGACCCTATATTAATGCTACTGCCAAGTATCAAGTAGAGAATGACGCAGTACGCCTCCATAGAACTAGGAAGGTTGCGGAAGTTGCCACTGAATGGAACAAAGACGAGAAGGACCGTTGGATTAGTTCTAATATAAACCCATGATGGAATAAAACTTTAAGCAATAAACTGTTATCATGATCTTTCCGGAAGTATGTTTATGTTAAGTAATATCTTATAACTAAACACATATTGCAGAGCTAATCAAACATATATATGTTGCAACAATTCTTGTTCTACGTATTAGCTTATTGAAAGAGTTACAATTTCTATGCTGAGAGATTAGTTGGATATCAGTTTCAGTATATTCTTATCATTTTATCATTCTTCCATACATATAGAAATGATTGCATAAAATATATACTCTATTTTAATATTTTAGTTTTTGATTTTGCGACTGAACTTTACTTTCGTATTAATCGAACCCAACTTTCGTGTCGCCTCACTTATAATATTAACCGTCGACGAACCTTCACTAAGTAAAATGGCGGAGGGATCTTTATAGTTGCTCATACCGTCGGTAATAAGGTCCCAAAACAATGCTCCTCCGCCTGAACCACCTTTTTGCGCAGACGCGTAAATGATCTCGTAGGTTGCGGTGAAGATGGCGTCTCTCTTAGCTAGAGTGTAGCCTGGTACGTCCGTTCCTACCCCGAATTCTCCTACAATTAGAGGTTTTTTAAGAATGTTCTGTGCATCTTCGATGTGGCCTTCGAGCCATTTCTTTAAGAAGTTTAATCGAGTATTCTGATCCAATTTTTGAAACCTGCACAAAAAAAAAAAAGAGCTTGGAATAGTATTTGATTTGTAAAGCCTAATTAACATCTCATCATTTTTTCATATGATAGCAAACCCTAATAATATTTAATGAAAGACTTTAAAAAAATGAACGTACAATATAAAACTTAGTTTGATGAATATTTGAATTTATCAATATAGATATATGTGGACAATGTAGCTAGCATACCATAAGTCAGGGGCACAATGAATCGACGCGAAATCAATGGCATCGATATTGTGGTTAGCTATGAAATCAGCTCCAACTACATTGGCTGAAGGCGGATTTAGAGAAGTCTTTCTTTGAGGAGACGAGTCACCATAGAAACCTTCATGACCAGTAGAGAGGAGATGATTTGGATCAACTGATTTTACATAAGGAGCCATTTCATTAATCCAAGCCATAAGGGTTTTTCCACTTCGATCTGAATTGCATCGAGGCTCGTTCATAAGCTCCCAACCCATAATGGCTGGTTCATCTTTGTATGCAACTTTAGTAAATGTATTCACTCTGTTCACTATAGTCTACAAAGATCGAGATAAAGAGATCATAGGTTATTATTAAATTAGGGTCTTAATGATATTTTTGTTACGAATCATTAAAATTATATCAAGTTTGGCTCATTTGTATATTTTTTACCTTGACGTGGTTCTTGTAGAACTGTTTGGTAAGTGAGTTTGTGTAGAAGTCGTCATCGGAAGATACCTTTTCGCCTTTGCTTTTAGCCCAATCAACGTATTGTTTCTTCCCTCCGTAGTCAGACCAGTTATTCACAAGAGGGATTATCATTTTTAGACCGACTCTTTTCGCTTCGGATATCACAAAATCCAAACCCTTTTCAACCACGAAGGCAAACAAATTAACAAAAAAAGTAACAAATATTTGGTTGAAATTTGAAAAGGCTTCACAGTTTTGACTTACCTGAAACGTATTTTCATCGTAGGAACCGGGTGCCGTTTGAAGAGCGCGGTATGAGGCACCGTCGTTGAACCCCCAGGTGCGGGCGATGGTCAAACCGCGACTAGTCGCGTTTTCAAACCCATGAGTGATCTTATATCTTGCGGTCGGATCGGTGGCTTCGTACGTGAGCCAGTAGGCATTGAAACCATTGGCGTAAAATGGTTTCCCATTGAGAATAAATTGGACGCCTTTCCTACTCACGAACCCACCACTCGACGCAGCTTCCACTCCTAGATCGCTATAGTTTTGTGCGATCACTATCGCTAAAAACACTACAAAACACAAATACTTCATATTCTTTTCTATTTTTTGTTTTGTTTTTTTGTGCTCTAAGTTGTCTTCAGTACATGTGTACGTAGTTTATATATAGAGCCATAGAGGGTTATATTTGCTTACTAATTCGTGGATTCACATTGCATAATTATGACATCCATAATATATATAAGAACAATAATTCTTACATATTTTTATCAAAATATGATAACAATAATTCTTGTTATTACATTATTATGATTTATTACCTGTAATAAGAACTATTTAGAATTTATATTTGAGAAAATATCACCTTATCTTTAAGTTAACAATTGTATGTTATTTTGTAATTTTTAATTATAAGATTTCAACTGACTAACTTTCATTTGATCAACATTCTGATTAAGTGATTACCTTCCTAATCGACTACTGGCTTAATAATATGAGCCTACATTTTTATTCTTGTAATCAATTTCTTTGTTCTAATTGTTCCCTTGATATCAGTCACCAAGGTAATTAAAAAACCTGTATTTTTTTCCATTTATAATAGTAGTTTAAATTTCAATTTTCATGAATTTTATAATTTAATCTAAAATTTAAAATAAGAAAATATTATTTAGAATGAAATTTGGAAAATGTTATTGAAAATTTCTAAACGTGAAGCTAGCTAATATTATCTGTCCCCCTCAAAAATGATAATTGTGGGCAAAGTACGACATATCGAGGCCCAATAAGGCCCGTACATTGCCATTGCCAAAAAGTTCGTGAAGCCGTGAAGGGAGTGGTTGTGGGAGTTGCCACTGAATGCAAACACGAGAAGGGGCCGTTGAATTAATCGTTCCCATTATATTTTCAAAATATTTGTTTTTATTTTGGATTTTACTTTTCACCAAATAAATTACGGGTAAAAAGTTTCAATAATCTCACATTCTTTATGCATTAATCACTCTTTTTATTTGTCAACCATTCTGTAAGGAAAACTCCTAATCACCGTATCTCATGTTTTTATTATGTAACTTGAAAAAAAAAACTAAAAAAACGTAAAAATTAGTAAAGACTTGATTGATTTCAAGAAACCGCATCACACTAAATTCACCAGAACAAGAATATGTGTAAATTAACCACATTAGTTTGCACACACGAAAAACAATTATGTAACCAACCAACAAAAACTAATCCCACTCGAGAGATCGCATATAGTTAAGAAATCACCAATTCACCATATCATGCATGTCCCTAGCTATATGATGGAAACTACCACGGCGTCTTCCGGGCGAGAAGCAGCGATCGTCGAAGGTTGCTCAAGGAGTAGAGATTGTCTGCAAGTAGGGCAAGAGGAACGCGAGACCAACCAAGTATCGATGCACCTCACGTGGAAGCCATGGTTACATTTAGGCAAAACCCTAACTTTCTCTCCATCCACGAAATCTCCTAGACATATCAAACACTCCGTAGCTTTCATGTCAATGTTCCCTGATCCGTACAGTCCCACTGGGATTTTCTCTAACGCCTGTTTCTTGATCCCCGTGGTAGCCGCTAAACGCCCTGAATTTGCATTTGCGTTTGCGTTTGAAGCGTTTGCGACTTGATCATCCGAAGTGAATCTCCGAGTGATGCGAAGCATGCATCGCAAGGCAGAGTTGAGGCTTAGAGCACAGATTAAAGCACAGAGCAAAGCAGCTAAAATGATGACCATGTTAGTGTCGAAGTAGGTGTCGTTTAAGCCTCCTCTGGTTTTAGGGATTGATTCCGCCGGTGCGTTTGCTTGCGGATCAAGTAGCAACCGACCCATCTTTGAGGTTACGCTTGAGAAACAGAGAAGAGAAGAAAGCTTGATTACTTACTTCACCTTCAAGATTCTTCTTGCTGCATAAATCGGATAACGGAAGAGACTGAGAAGAGGGAATCAATATCCCTGATCATGTCCACAACGAGTTTTTCTCTTTACTCTTTATTTGCGATTGTCGAGGCTATGTATGATCTTCTTCTTGGATCTGAAATCAAATGCTTCTGAGTTGTTGTTTCTTCCTCGTGACTTGTAAAGATGAGTGGGAGGCAGAAATATTTATGTCAGGTTGTAATGAAGGAGTCATAAATAGATTTATGGGCGAGTACTCTCTTCAGTTACAGAGAGATGATGATGATGTGGTTGGTCCTAGAAATTGTTTGGTTAAAAAAACATATAATTGTTAATATTATTTATATGTGTAGCAAGTGAATGGTCACTATTGATTTTGTTTGTATTTGTTAAGGTCAAAAATGAAATCAAATGTTGATATCTTGGTCAGTTTCTTATGTTTTGAATAACAATGTGCGCTTGTAATATTCCAAGATTAGTCTAAAACTTTATTTGCAATTTCTGCTATTAAAAACACACAAAATACAAATCAGAGCATGTATTGAGCCACTATAAATATCTTTTACCGTAATTGTATATCCGAAAAGTAATATTGATTCTATTTGATGTGGGATTATCAATTTGGATAGATATAATAAAAGATAGAACAAGGAAGAAGACAAAGAAGAAAAGGATTAGTTTAGTAGATATCATAATTGACAACTAACAAACACAATATTAGTGGATTTAATAACTTTGGAATCAAGCTAAAAGGAATTAATTCTCAAAAAAAAAAAAAACGACAAATGAGATTTGGTTAAGAAAAGCAAATACTGGATTATAAAAACTGTATGGTTGGGGTATCGTATTCCCAACTAATCATGACGAATATAATTAACTTATCATAGATTTGTTCCATCCATGGTTTTGGTTTTCTTATGGATCGGAGTAGAGGTACATACACATAATTATTAACCTATTTGGTTTTGTGTAGTTGGTCAAGGTCCATTAGTTTGGTCCTTGCAAGTTTCATGTAATGGTATGTAAAAATTTAGAAGATGAACATTTTATGTGTATGTATGTGGTTGGTTTACGAATTGAATGGTCGATACGAAGTTCATGTGTCACTTAAGGGTCCACAAGTATAAATAAGAAGTCGAGTTTCAAACGCTCACTAATTAATAAATGGAAATTGAATAGAATTACGAGTTCACGCAAATGTCACAACTGATCACAACACTTGTCTCTCTTCAGGCGCTTTCAGTATCTTCATTAGTTGACAACAACACTCCAACGTGTGAGATCCATCAACCCCTCCATACACGAGTCTTCTATTGTGTGTATTAATTTACTATGTCTATATATATCGGATTCAAATGCTTGGTTAGAAGATGATCCAGGTCTCATGTATTCAGAAAATTTAAGGTACTCGTATATAATTCTTCTATTTAATAGTATAAAATATACGTAGTAGGTGGTCACTGAGATAGGAGAATATCCATTTTTATTATATTATACATTATACATACATAATGAAATTGATAGTAGTTGAAACTTGAAAGGGAGAACATGAGAAATAAGAATGTAGGGTTTGTAGGAATACGTAATAGACCTCATGGGATTGATTACCTACTCATTCGTAATGATAGTCATTACTTGTGTAGTAGACTTTTAGCATTGTTTTTGTTTTGTCGTCAGACTTGCCATGCATTAAGTATTAACTAGTGCGATTAAAATTGTATTAAGTGTGAGATTCTTCTGTTGATGAGTTTCGTACAAGCAAAGCTTATGCGACGTGGACAAGTGACCAAACATATGGGCCTTTATAACGTTAGGCTGGTCAATCCTTCTGAATTTTGTGAGAGAATATTATGTCCACGCCACGACGTCGCTTTCAGGCTCTTCTATACAAATCCTTTCTAATAGTGGTGATCTAGAAAAAAACATGAGTTAAGGTGAACAAAGAAACCATCTTATATTCATTCTGGGTATGGCGTTTAGTTATACTACACATGGTAAATAACAAGAAAAACAAACTAGTGAAGTTAAAAAACTAAACAAAAAAACAAGTAAAACACATTCTCAGTATCACCAAAGTTGGTAAAGCTCATGAATCTTTATCCTTGGATAAGCTCCACGAGAGTCTGCTTATAACATTTTCGTCCACTAATTTGTAGTGGTGAGACAACCGCCTGTGTATTGACCCGCAACACTTGTCTACTCTGCTTTGATATTTACTGTACAGAGCCGGTATTGTTACAGATAGGATAGTCCCTGTTCACACCATCAAAGAAGAAACTTTCATATATATGACTTTTTGTTCACTGCATTTAAAACAGCAATGTCTACTGGAACTAAAACGAGATCAACAAGCAACTGCAAGGGATTAAAAACCATATAAGCTTTTTCTTTTTCATTTGCATTTTAAGGATTAGATTACTAACCGATATAAGCAAGAGTGCAGAGAGATATATAGCTACCAATGGCAGAGAGAAGCCACAGACAAATCACCACCTGCTAAAGAAAAATTGTCAGACCAGTTATTCAGATGCTTAATTGTTCCCATGTTAATATAATTATTATCATTGGGAGTTTATGAAAGGGTTCGCTTCATAACCTTGAAGAAGAGTCGAAAATCGTTGCCGACAGTGACATCATGAGCCATTACAAGCAAGTGATTGAGTTTTATACGGAAAGAAGCTGCAGCACTATTCACCATTTCCTCTGACAGAACAAGCTCTGGTAACGAATGCACCTGTCTGCTTATAAAGAGATAACAGGTAGAACTCATCAGTCACACAACAGCAAGGAATTAAGAAAAAGACTGGTGAAAAGTAGAGCGCACCTATTCCTAAAAGCAGAAACCCGGGCATTGACAAATGATATTATGATCCCGATCAGTAAGACATCTGATGAAACAGATAAGAAAGGCAACCCGGAAAGCTCGAATATAAGCCAAGCTACAGTTGATATAATGATAACCCCCAAAGAAAGATGACGTTTCCTCCATAAGAGCAAGTCAGCAGCTGCATCAAGGAACATCAAAGCCAGACAAAATCGTTGAGAAACTTACTCCCAGAGAGGTTCTTACAACTTAACTTTGGCTTTTTGGCTTGAGCTACGAACTAGTGTACATCCAGATTTGATATTCATCTATTTCTCATTCAAGATCAAACCTTAACCTAACTTTCCCCAAAAAATGCTAAATGTACTTGCACACATGACATCTTCATAGCTATAATAAGAAACCCTGACAATTTCAAGTACCATATCGAATGATCATCGGAAACTAGAAGTGAGACAAACTCAGAATAAGAAATGCGCTTGTCAAGCAAAATCAGAAACCCTAACTTTCCAAAGTATCATCTTCAACAGGACATTCTGAAGTTAATAAATCTGGAAAATTCTCATCGGAAACTACCCCAAACGATGAAAAACAAAAAATTCCGAAGAAAGAACTTGCCTTTGCCACCGCCCATGAACTGATGAACCGTAATTTGCCGACCCAACAATCGATAATCCGATGAAGATCCTCCTTCATTTCTTCCATCGTAATCACCATCGTTTTCACTTAAACTGTCCATCGGACAATTCTATTACCCGAATCAACCAAATCCTCCGACTTTTGCAGAAGCCAATTTCGATCCTCAACTCCTAATTTAAAAATTTCTTGCCTTATTAAATCTACGATCTCAGATTCTCTAAGGTACAGAAGAAGGTAACTAAGATTGATCGAAGAATGAAATGACAACGATTTAGTTATCATCAAGGAGGAACCAAATAGAATTGGCTTTTACATGCATTGATGATTCCTATTTTCAACATTTGTAAAATTCTCCGATTCTAGTCAACCTCCCAACATTTCTTTATATTTTCATGTTTTTTAAATAAAAGAAAAAAGAAAAAAACGCCTTCCGCGAAGAAACTTATTATATTGAAAGGAAAGCCTTTGGGCTCACTAACGGCCCATGTCTCTATAGCGACACACATCCACGATCACATATTTACGTGTCAAGCTGTCACTTTAATTATACGTGACAGGCAGTGATTTTATCAGTCCTCTCCACGTATACACACATTTTCATTTCTGAGGAAGGAGAACGAATCTTCTTCACAGTGTATCTTCTCTATCTAACAAACCAAAACAATGGCGATTCGTTGTGTTGCGAGTAGAAAAACCCTAGCCGGCTTGAAGGAGACATCATCGAGGCTTTTGGGATTCAGAGGAATCCAAACATTCACGCTTCCTGATCTTCCTTACGACTATGGCGCTTTGGAGCCGGCGATTAGCGGAGAGATTATGCAGATTCACCACCAGAAGCATCACCAGACTTATGTTACTAATTACAATAATGCTCTTGAGCAGCTTGATCAGGCTGTGAACAAGGGTGATGCTTCCGCTGTTGTTAAGCTACAGAGCGCTATCAAGTTCAATGGTGGAGGTGTGTATCTGACTTTTTCCTTCTTCTTTTTTTTCCGATCTCGATTTTGATGGATTTGTTTGTATTGGATGGAGTAGTTTAAATTTAAAATTTAGAAACTTTGGCATGTTACTAAATTGAACCTAAGAAATTAGCAATTGCAGCAGTTGTTTTAATAGAGAAAACTTGGTTTGAAATATGAAATTGATGATTGATGTTGATGAATAGAGTTGAAACTGGTCTCTCAGATTCAATCAAAGTTTAATCGGTAACACTAGCTGGCTTGGATTAGAGGTAGTACTTGAGTTTTGCTGGGACTTGAGCTCGGAACCAGTAGTACTGGTTTGATAGCTTTGGAAAATAAGTTTTGGATTCTGTTCTGTGCTAGAGGATGAAACTCATTTGGTTCTATTTCTCAATGTGCAGGTCATGTGAACCACTCTATTTTCTGGAAGAATCTTGCTCCTGTCAAGGTGAGTTTTGTCTTTTGAGTTTATCTTATCTAATTTGTCCAATTAAAATTGTTCTGCATTTAATGGTGTGTTTTAACATATTGCAGGAAGGTGGTGGAGAGCCACCAAAGGGATCTCTTGGCAGCGCTATTGACACTCACTTTGGCTCCCTTGAAGGTTTGGTGAAAAAGATGAGTGCTGAAGGTGCTGCTGTGCAAGGCTCAGGATGGGTGGTCAGTAGTCTAATCTCACCTTTTTAAATTTCATTGGCTCACATTGTTGAATTATTGTGCTTTACTTTTAACGGTGATCATTGATTTCCTTGTATCTGTTGATTGATATAGTGGCTCGGTCTAGACAAAGAATTGAAGAAGCTTGTGGTTGACACAACTGCCAATCAGGTACTTGTCCATGATCAGTAATGCGTTATCGATCTGCTTAAAGAGATTTTAGCTTTCTTAAGATCCATAAATATATGTGATTTTGATGGATTTAAAAGAAAAAAAAAGACTTTGTTTGGGTGCAGGATCCATTAGTGACAAAGGGAGGAAGCTTGGTTCCTCTGGTGGGTATAGATGTTTGGGAGCACGCCTACTACTTGCAGGTTACAACACTTTTGATCACCTAAAGACTCGTGTGACTAAGCTTATAAGATCAAAGCTCGTTAACCACTCTTTTAATCTCTCTCTTGCAGTACAAAAATGTGAGACCGGAATATCTGAAGAATGTATGGAAAGTGATAAACTGGAAATATGCAAGCGAGATTTACGAGAAGGAATGCAACTAAATCTTTCCGTAAAGAGAGAGAGGAGCCAGAGTTCCAGCTCGACCATGTGTTAAGGTTGTCTGAAATAACACACTTGTGATGTCCCTCTTTTGGTCTTTTGAGTTAGCTCAAGTGAGTTGTTTGGTTATACATACGTTGTTTGACGAATACTCCCAAGTTCCAAGAATAAAAAGTTTTTGCTATTATTTTTGAAGACTTGTTATTTGTTTCTATTGAGAGAAATCACAATAAGTCCCAGTCGAGCCTAATTTATAACGTCGAAAGGGTTGAATGAATGTCATACTTTTACTGCTTTTCTATATATAGTTTCCATCGTTTTGAAAAGCAATTAACCTTCTCTTGTTTCACTAAAACTTAGAATGGTTCAATAATGCAGGCAAACATATTCTGGTGTATATTAAAGAGACTACCAAACATATGGGGGTTTTGTTATATAATAAGAACTACTATTATCTTATCTCTGGCTGCATTGTGGAAAACGTATCATAGTCAAAGTATTATTAAAAAGTCAAATTTTACATATTTTTCGTTGAGACTTCTCATTCGTTACACTTTGGCCCCATTATGACTTTCAAAGATTCTTTTAGCTATTTCTAAGAACCACCATACATGATACAACAACAACACCATGACAATTCAAATGATATCTTTGAACATCTTAGGAAATTAATGAAAAGAAGCTGATAAACAAAACATTTATCAAGAAAAGATTTGATAAGATCGAGATACAAGATGTGGATTTTAACATTCTTGACCAAAAACAATCCTAATATTCTAAACTTTTACTGTAATTCTCTGTAACATTTACAATATTGTCTCTACTAGAAAAATGAAAGAATCTCTAAAGACCAAAAAAAAGAAGAAGGTAAGAATTAGGACAGGAACAACAAAAGAAGAGAGACACAAAGAAGAAAGAGCTCTTTCTTCTTCTAAGTCAGGACGTCGTTAGTTTTCCTGCTGGGTCCAGAACCCGGACGATACCCTTTCGGAAGAGCATTCAACACCAACGACCCGAATTTCCCGGCGACTACCTCTGGAACAAAAGTTGAATATTCCGTCTTCGTCTCCTGCTCTCCTCCGCAGCCCACCACCGCCGCTGGTTGAGCAGCAGTAGGGATCTCGCCGGAAAACATGACGCCATCTACGACCGGAAGAAACTCTCCGGGTAAGATCCTAGCCGTCGATAAAGAGACAGAGATGAGAAGAAGGATCAAAACCAAAGATCTGTCAATCCCCATTTTTATTTGTTTTCGTAGAAAAAAAAACTTTTGATGGACTCTGTCTTTGATTATTATTAGTCTGCTTTGGTTTGTTTTAAAATGAATGAAGTGGGTGAAGATCAAAGAGAGAGTGAATGTTATATATATATGGCCCTGATATGGATGGTGATGCCGTGATGGTGCTTGTGAGGTGAGAATGGTCAATGAGAGTTGGAAAAAACTTACGCGGCAAGTGTTTGGACGACTTTATATTACACACAAATAAAGTTGAATGAATCGGTCCTTTCCTTTTACCTCGAGTCGAGTCCAACTTTAAATATCAATTTTTTATTTTGTAACGAGTTAATGTTAGTTTTAAATTACATTTTTCTGGGTTGATATGCAAATCAACAAAGATGTGCTCACTTATTTAAGACTAAATTAAAAATACAAGAAAACCAAGAGTGTGAGAGAGACCATTGAGTAACAAAAAACGTTTTATAGATGGATTCGGATATACGATATCAATTTTTTTATTGTGCTGAGATTGATAGATTGATTTGTCTTTTTCTTTGTTTATAGTGCATGGTCTTGTGTATTACATCATATCGACATTTTTAATAACATTCACGAGTTCCATCATCAAGTATAGAATATTAACAAGAATAATAAACAGGTATGCGTCTATTTTTTGTTAAAAAAGAAGAGTGTGTGAACTCTTTATTTTGTCGTTTAGATCAAAACTATATAAACATTTACATACGACCAGTACTGCATACGACTTGAAACAATACAAGTAATAAGAATTTAAAGAATGAACTAAAACATTTTCTTAATGTCTTACATATATATCAAATCAAAAATTGAAAAGGAGATAAGATAATTGTATACACTTTTGAAGCCATTAATGGAGTTTTCCAACTGCTACCAACAAAAGCCGAAGAAGCCCACCGTCACTTTTGACCGCGTCCTTCTTCTTGTTCCCCAAGTCTCTCCCGCACTCTCACCGTCACACACACACACACACATTGCATTTGCACTTTCCTGATATTAACGTGTGTGTGAACTGTGAACATCATATAACTATTGTCTCCTTTATTAGATGAGCCAGATTTTCAATAGTATTTAGTTGTACGTACGTAGCACGAACGTCATTTATGGATATTTTGCGGTGGGTACTTTAAAGACTTTATTATGGTTACTCAAGAGAGTTGAATATTATTTGATTGTTATTTATTTTTTGTGCGTATAAAGCTGACATATTTTGTTGTTAGGTAAAGGTGTAGCAAAAAAGCAGAGTTTGATAGATTCACTAATGTTTTCGTGTGGTCGTTGGGCCAAAAGCATAGACCATAGGCCAATAACATTGGAAACGGGACAATCATTCATTTACATGACTACATGAGCTAAATGTTGTCTTATGTCCCAAGATCCGATCAGGCGATCACTAGTTCAGATGAGTTGTGCCAACACTTTACCAAATGTTATAAATACTTATCTAAGTATATAGACTTTAGCTAGAGTTTGAACACTATAGATACCTCATGTTAGTAAGACCTTGGTAATAAGAATCATACAGTTCATGACAACAAGGTTTCTTGCTTAAAAGGTTTCGTCACCATCGGTAGATTTATTTAGAATATACAAAAAGTCGAGATTTCTTTTATTTGATACAATAAATACATATAAGCTCTACTGATTCTCAGGTTCCACGGAGGGCCTGAACACGTTCTTGAATCAATTTCCTTTCCCAATCTGCAACGTCCTCGAATGCATTCTCAGGGAGACTCTCAAATGGCTCTTTCCAAGGGTCGTTCTTGGCAAGATCGTATGTTGCGCCGCGGATGGCTCCTTTGTTAGGCCCGCATGGACGCTTCGATACCAATGTGTCATAAGCCGTGTTAAGCTGTTTGAAAGAAAGGAATCAGATTACAAAAACGTTTGAAGCTTTCTTGTAGTGAAGTTGAGTGCGACTTTTTTTGTACTTACATTCATGTTGCAAAACCAATACATATAAGCAATCGAAACCCCTGGAGCTCTTCCCAATCCGGCTGAGCAATGCACGTAGACTCTTCCTTTACCTTCTGAAACCGCCCATTCCAAAGAAGAAACAGCTTTTGGAAGTTGGCTTCTCAACGAAAGCGGATCGAAGTCTTTAGCCTAACAGAATTAGAAAACCAAACTGAGTAAAACATAAAAATAGTATGATTCGACAGGTTTGAGGATGCAAGCAATGTTCCTTACAGGCCTTCTCATGTGACGGATTCCGAGCTCCTTACACCGTCTAACAATGGAGTCTAGATCGATTCCCCAATAGTCAATGTCCTTGTCCTGCTGCAAGTTAAGTATGTAAGCAACATTCTCTTCCTGCTTCAAGTGATCTATGTCCTCAGGTTTCTGTGGCTGCGACCCAACAATCAGTTCGTCTCTTATCAATGTATAGTTCATACCTGAAAACAGAACAAAGACCAAAAATGTGAGAAGAACCATCACATACAACTTGTATCCACATCAAACACTATACCTTAATAACACAGCTATTGAATGTTCATCTAATGTATTTCCTAACATCCACTGCCCTGTATGATTCTAGCTTCAGACAAGACACTAAATCAATGTAAAATGGCTATCAATTTCATAAATCAAGCTCCAAGTTGAAGAAAACATAACCTCCAAAATTCTTGGAACTCAAACAACTAGTTTTACTCAAGAAAACTCTTTCAGTTCAAATGTAATTAAGGAAAAAATTAGATATAAATTAGCAACCAAATCACAAAGTAAAATCATAAACTCTGAGATTATGAACAAAATCTAAGGAAATAAATACCGAGATCATGATGATACTCATAAGGGCTTCTCATCAATCTCTTCATAGCTGTATTGTAATCCTCCATTTTGTTCTTGGAGCTAAGAGAAACCCCATTAGCTCCTGAGCTTTCTCCAGAGACTTTGCAGTAAACTCCCGTCATACTTCTGGGAAATCTCAGATCAAACGAAGATTTCTTGATAGAAGAAGTGAAGCAAGAAGATTTCTCATTTTCTCGGGAACATCTAGTCACCGGGAAAATACAGCTCTTGCTTCCAATCACACTCATCGTCTCTCGTTCAGTCGTTCTTCACCTGATGCAACATTGGGAATCTGCAGTATATGCGTTTTACAATAATGATCACACAAAACGATAACGACATTGTGTTTTTGGGCTTTATATTTTATGGGCTTTTTAATTAATAGATTATAGCCCATTGAATAAACCCTAATTTCACCTGCATGTATATTTATTGAAACGAGCAAAACCTACCCCTCTCCTTCTTCGCCGGAGCTTTCCCATCGTCTCCTCACTAAGCCGGCGAAAATGGTGAGTTAATCTTCTGTGTCGTGTGCCTGAATTGAATCTCTCCGATTTTAAACTATGTATATTTCATTGTTCTTGATCATTAGATAGAGAGATTTCAATTTGTTTATTTGGAGATAGTAGAGGGATTCAGTGAACTTTTATTGCGAACTTGTTGCATCTCCCAGTAATCTGGTTTCATAATTCTAGATCATTATATTAGATATACTCAGGTCGTGTGATTATGTGAACTGTTATTGCTAGATTTTGTACTCGATTGTTCCATCTCCCAGAAAATCTGGTTTCAATTACAGTGTCCGCGATTGTTTTAGGTTTTTGTCATTCTTGCAACTTATCTGTCTTTTTGAATTTCAGACCAAGAGGACGAAGAAGGCTGGAATTGTCGGCAAATATGGTGAGTATTCAGAAACCCATCCTTGACTATAGTATTTGCTTTAAAGTATGCAACTAGAGAATTCTATCGATTTATGTGTTGAAAGCCTAAACTTTGTTAGAATTGGCTATATCATTTTCTTTAAAGTATGGAACTTTTGAATTCTTTTGATTCATATGTTGAAAGATGTCTTGTTTCCATGGTTAGAAGCATTAGTATCTGATCAGGAACAAAGATGTTGAACATCTCTATTCTAATTGTTTGGATTCTCAATCTGAATCTGTTGAATTTGTTATGCAAAAGGTACACGATATGGTGCCAGTCTTAGGAAGCAGATCAAGAAGATGGAAGTGAGTCAACACAGCAAGTACTTCTGCGAGTTCTGCGGAAAGGTACGCTCATTACCATCTCCTGAGTAAAAACATTGACATTGAATTCATAAGGCTTTCAGTCTGCAAAGCTCTTTGAGTTGTTTGTTGCATTTTCTAAGAAGACTTTTGGTTTTGTTGATGTTTGCTGCAGTACGCCGTGAAGAGGAAAGCTGTTGGCATTTGGGGTTGCAAAGATTGCGGGAAAGTGAAAGCAGGCGGTGCATACACAATGAACACAGCTAGTGCTGTGACAGTTAGGAGTACCATCAGGCGTTTGAGAGAGCAAACCGAGTCCTAGATCAGGACTCCTAACTTCAATCAGTCGGAGAAGTTCATTTTTGTTCTATCATATACACAGTTCCATAGGCTTCTTCTTATTTTACTTTCTCGATTCAGATTAACTAAGAGAAGAGAAGTGCCTCCTTGACTCCTTTTGGGGTTTTGCCTTTTATTCGTTTCTGTATTGAACCTTTCAATTCTTTTTCAATGAAGTTGTTATCAGTTTGGAGTAATCCAACTGAAGCCATTTTTCAAAAACTAAGCTCAAATGCCTGACCTTGCCATTGTCTCCAATTTCCACAGTTTACTTTATTTCTCTCCCCTCACATTTTTACACTTGTCTTTTCAAAAACTCTACAAGAGAAATAAATCAATAATGCAATCACCTGTCTTTTCTTCCTAAGAAAGAAATCTAAAAAACAATAGTAACAAAAATGTGAAAAAAAAATCCTAAACGGTAGTATCACTTTCACTAGCTTTGACAACTCCATTATTATCTTCTTCTTCAACTTTCCTTTTCAAAAACCCTAATTTCACCAAACCTTCTTCTCCCCAATCCCATAGATGCAGCACGACGTAGCTCCCGATCCCTCCGATCAATCCATACGCGACGGAGTAAGTCAATGGCATCAGAATCATCGTCACGAATGCCGGAATCGCTTCCCTCATATCTTCCCAATCGATCTCCGTCACCGATTTCATCATCATCACTCCCACTAATATCAAGGGCGGACCAACCGCCCAAGCCGGAATCGAAGCTAGCAGCGGCGTAAAGAACATAGCCAAGAAGAAATAAACAGCCACCGTGATCGCTGTTAGCCCCGTCCTACCTCCTTCTCGTATCCCCGTCGACGATTCGATGAATACCGTCACCGGAGATGTTCCGAGCAACGATCCGATCACAATCGCTGACGCATCGGACATAAACGCGAAATACTGTCCGGCGAAATCTCCGTTCTCGTCTACGAATCCGGCGAATCTAGCCATGGAGTAAAGCGTCCCCGTTGTATCTAAAATATCTACGTAGAGGAATGTCACCAGAGCTTCCCAGAAATGTCCCTTGTTTATCCCGGAGAAGCTCAAAGCTCCGGCGGTGTGTTTAATGACGTGTACATCGACGATCTTTTTGAAATAATCGTGAGCGGCATTTCCTGCCGATGTGTTCGGAAACGCCGTTACCTCGGTGTTACGGAACCACGAGATCGCCGTCACGAAGACGATCCCGTAGATCATAGCTCCTTTAACGTTCTTCACCAAACAATAAGCTATGATCACGAATCCGACTATTCCTAACCAGAACGTCGGACTCTCCATTCGTCCGTGAAGGCACATAATATCGCCGGAAACTGATCCCCCGGCGAGTAGACTGACGGTTCCGTTAGCCGACGTTATAACGGGAGCTAACGATACTCGGGCTGAGCTTGGACAAGCGGCTAGAGTGACGAGAGTTGATGGACTGTAACCGACTAAACCGATTCCTTGATTGTTTTGTAAACCGATGAAAGCGAGGAAAAGCCCGATTCCGGCTGAGGAGCTGATTCTGACCGGTTTAGGAACGAGTTTGGCGAGCTTTGCTCTGAAACCTATGGCGGAAATGAAGAGAAATATCAAGCCTTCGATGAACACGGCGGCGAGTGCAGTCCGGTAGGAGATTGAACCGGATCCGTGAAACCCGACGACGGTGTAAGCGAAATAAGCGTTAGTTCCCATTCCCGGAGCTAAAGCCAACGGGAGATTCGCCATGAATCCCATGATTACACAGCCGATCAGCGACGCAGCTACGGTGGCGACGATAAGATCCTTTCGAATCCCTTCAACGCATGCGGCATAACCGGGATTAACCGGGTTGAATTTACAGGAAACGTCTGGTTGGAGTAATCGAAGACCCGGTCCGGTACACTGAGAAGGGTTGATCGTAGGGTCAGAGCAGAGAGGGATGCAATCAGAAACAGAGCAAGTACCACCGGAATCAGAGAGGATGGAAGCGTTGACGGCGAGGATATAAGCCATGGTTAAGAAAGTGGCAGTACCAGCGCGGAGCTCGGTGGTGAAAGTTGAATTACGCTCGGAGAGTTTGAAGCGTTTGCCAACCCGGCTGGAACCGACGTAGGTGTTGAGCCGGTTAAGTAGCTTGGGCTTGTTGGGTCTAGTAGTACTAGTAGAAGAAGGTAGTTGTTGCTCCATTAGAGAGATCACTCGCTCGCACAGACACAAGTAAAAGAAAATGGTTTTGTAATCTAGTGAAAGAGAGAACAGGGTTACTTGATATATATATATATATATATGTATATTATATACAGGCTGTATAGGAGGGGAGAGGAGATTAAGGGAGCTTTTGATATGATTAGAGAAAGAGGAAAGATTCTGGTTATAGAGGAATGGGATCTTTTTAGAAGAGAAGTATCTCACATGTAACCATGTGTCCGCGATTCTTTCTCACCCTTTTTTTTGTTTTTCATTTTCTCTGTAACAACAGTTTTTGTAATATTTATCTCTGACTTATTGAATTTGTTCAGGATTCTTTTAATTACTATCCCATGTATTCACACGTTTTTATAGGTTTGAGTGAAAATTAAGTACTGTGGCTTTGTATTAGATTTTTTTATTTTATATATATAGTGGTGATCAGTATATAAATACGTAGAAAGATTTTTAAATTGTATAATATGATTATGGTGTGTATGGGATATGTGGCAACTACACGCAATTGCGGCCAAGAAGGTCACGTTACAAAGTTGGATTTACAAAATAACAAATGTGAACAACTCTTAACTAACTCATATTATATATTTGACCAATTGACTTTGACCCCTCAACTTCTTTTTAAGTAGATGTCTATATCCAATATTTTCTAATTTGGATGTCTTGAGTTATCTCTAATACATACTATAGTTTCGTAATAAAAACACGATATGTTGTTTGGTTTTGAAAGCTCATTTTTTTTTCTTGCAAAATTGAAATTTTGTTGTAGTAGTAGAGATCATCATGTTCAAAGGCCGCCTTACGAGTGAATTAATTACAGCGTTTTTTTTTTTCTTTTTCTTTGGTATCATATATATGAGAATTGATCATTTAGGATTTAAGTGGATCATATGGTTTGATTTGAGTAATCAATCGTTTAACTCCAATATGTTGGTGGGGAAGTCAAAGATATCGGTTTGACTACGATGATCGAGTTCGAGTGGATTACTTTATTTAATCCTACGTACCTTGCTTTCAAAAACATAATCTCATAAAACTACACTAACATTTATTTTTTTAAACGACAATCCAAATAAACAATACTAATTAGCAGATATTGGTGATAGACAAGAAGATCATCAGAAATAGACATAAATATAAATTATATAAAGTATCTTCATTCATATTTCTATTTTCAGCAGCACGTGGACATAAATAAAAATGAAAAACTCAAGTCTGTAATTACTTAATACAATACAGAATATTTAGTATTGATATTGTCCACGATCAATTTTAGGCTTGTTAATATATAAATGGTAGTATTTGGTACGTAAAGAGAATTAATATACCATATGTCTCATGTGTAGCTAGCCATTTCGATCAAAAACCTAAAAAAATATTTTGATTCATTAATAAATGATAGGATGATAAATAATATATTTGAAGGAGAACAAAATTAATGTAGATTTTGAACGTGTGAGATATCTTTCGGGGACCATACCATTTGTAAGTGTGTCTTTGTAATGAGTGCCAATGTTAATTTATTGTTTGGGTCTCACTATCATCAACAACTTATACAAAGCTACAACCAACTACTCTTATCGATTTCAATTTATTTGCATAGGCCGCTGTATTTATTTCCAAAACCTACTACATAAGGAACGTAAACATAAAACAATGATATGGTTATTTTACCTTATGCCATATACGATGATGATGAGGATCACGACGAAGGATAAATCGGAAAATCGAAGACATATATAGACATATAGTAGTAATAATAATGGATTTGTAGTCGTCGTGGAGGCTTTAATTTATATATGTAACGAAGACGTTCACATTTCCAACCGCTTAAAAGAAACTAGACGATGTGTTTATATATGGAAAGTTTACAGAATTAGGTCATGATATTGTGTGGCACAAGGAAACAGAACACAAAGGGCGTCTCGCTTCATCACGAAGTAGACGAAGATTATATAAAGTTTCATCGATGCATGGACGAGATATTTTTGTACAAGTCCTAAATCATGTTTTAGTGACATTTCTTAGCTAGTTGCTATATAGTATCCCTCACAAGTAGGTAACTCTTATCGCAACACAAAGTTCTAGACTTGTGATAGATATTTTAAAAGAAGAGAAAGGAACTCTTTGAAATAGTTTCGTTAGTTTTACCATCTTAACTAGTCCAAATATATATATTTTCAAACGTTCATGTATTGGTTTGTAAAATTTATAGTATCAATAATTGGACAAAAAAATAGATTGGTGGTGGCCGACTTCACGTGAGGAGATGCCCTCATTGGAGAGTCATATTTGCTTTTGGAGTAATGAATTTTGCAATTAATAAATGCATTTCACCCACTTGTATGGACAACAGTTTGAGTTTATATATTGTTTGAGTTTTGGGTGAAGAAGGGTTCAGACATATTTATGTTTTCTCGATCATATATAATAATCCAACGGCTCCACCACCTTTGTCTGATAATTTTTCATCTCGTCCACATAACTAAAGGGTTGGTTTCTAGATCATCGATCGTACTATTCATTCAATAGATTTAAAACAACAAGCAAAAGGCGATTGTACTTAGTTTGAGTGTTATGAAACTCCATTAGCTTTTGTTAATAAAGTAAAAGATGAATAAGCAAAAATGAAGCAAAGATGTGTTTTGTAAAGTAATTAAAAAGATTGGAGGGATATGGTAATGCAGAACAAAGAGACCATCAAGGTCTCGCATACGGCTAGCAGGAGATGTGATTATTCCTTGTGGATTAGAATCATTCTCTGTATACATTGATGTACTAATAAAGATATATATATATATATACAAGAGATTTATATATGTGTAAGTGATAGTCAATGTAAAAAATTATTCTAAAAGTCGATTCCTCATATGTATAGTCGAATTTATCATTTATCCATCAATACCGTCAACAAAAAAAAAATATAAGACACCCATCAAAATAGTTGTCTGCCATTTTGTCACTAATTTGGTTATGTTTATGTTTTGGTGTAATGTTTTTAGCTTATTGTTAGAAACATAATGCCGTTCAAACCTTATTCTTGATGATCCCAATTATAATAGTGGAAAAAAAAACTATACGGATAGTGAATTGATTTTTTTTGTTATTTTTCTTATAAACTCAATTTATAATTAGAAGGTTCGTGACACAATATCCTGTAATCTTCATTATTACGTTTCTCTAGTTTTAAAAACTCCTCGTAGCATTTTGTTTTGTCTGACTGTTTATACTGCACTGATGATTACTAATTGTATCATTTTTGCGAATGATAAAATACCTACGAGTTATACGATCATAAGATGCAACATCAGATTATCATAGTTTACATTGAAAGCTTACAAATTTTAAAACTCCAAAGCAAAAGAATAAAAAATAAACCGACCACCCCCACGACTTAAAAAACACAAGAGAGTAGTTTGGGTCGGTAAAAGGAACACAATTCGACATGTTTCCACTTTGTATATTTCCCAACTTACAAATCCTATTTCTTTCGGTTCTTTTTTCTTCCTATTTGGATAACAGTAACAAGTACAGTATATATATCTATCGTAACTTCGTAGGTCCTTCCTTATTGTATTTTTCGTTAGAATTAAGCATTATCGTTTTTTTTATAGAAGCATTATGAAAAGTCTCATTAAGCAATTAAAAAAAAAAAAAATAGAAAAATAGAAACGACATATATAAATTAAAAAAAAAAGAAGTTTTCATGAGAAAGTATATATGGTTCGACCACTCTTTTTGCGCTGTCAGTTTATTGTTCGTCTCCCACATGATTTTTGACAACCAACAAGGCACTATCATATGAATCTTTCTCTTCTTCATTTTTCATCTTTTTCGTTACATTTTCTCTTCGAAATTTCCTTCTCTCTCTCTCTTTTTTTTTTTGCTTCTATGTTTGTATTCTTTATAGGTGGTATAGCTGAATACGAAGATGATAAAATTTATGGACAAGTCAAAAGAAGAAGAAGAAGAATACTAAAGTTTTTTTTTTCTCCTTTGTGTGGCATATCAATATTAGGATTATCAAAGTAGTTATTCAAATAATTTATATTTAACTTTCTCTATATTTTCGGAAAATAAAAAATCAAGGTATTACATGATATATATGAATATGAAAGAAAAGGACAAAATGGAAGCATAATGGAGAGTTTGGGCTCAATCAGTCACTTTAGAGGACTTTTCAACAAAGTCTTCCTGCAACATTTTATTTGTTGGTCGTTTCCTCTTTTCGAATAAAACAGATTTAAAACGAGAAAAAAAAAATATATTAATTGTTTTTTTTTATTATATATTAATTGTTTGTTTTCCTACTATATCTAACTAGATCAATATTTAGCTTAATTCATTCATTCATTCGGTTAAAAATTACACACATGTTAAGCAGCTACTGTTTCATGCAAGTATATGTGCATTTATGTTAACCTATGATTAGATGCAGTGGATTTGGGGAGTGAAGTGTGTGTGTGAATATAATTTTGAAACGAAGATGGAGTTGGCCAAACCAAAGTGATTAGATGCAGTGGATTTAGGGAAATTATAGAAAGTTTAATAATCAGTGGAGGGGTTTGAACTTTTCTGATGATGGAGTTGGCCAAACCAAAGTGATTAGTGGCAAAGTGTTGTCCTCTACTTTTGTTTTTCTACCCCTATGGTGTTTCAACTTTCTTCTTTTTCTGAAAAAAAATAAACCCACTGAAAATTCATATTAAATACATTACTTGTCACTTGTTAATCATTAACATTTTTTTGTGAATATTTTAAATAAGCAATGATACAGACAACTATTTTTCAAGACTTTTTTGGCCACACCATTTATTAGATTCGAAATTGGTTCGTTGTACTCGGTAGCTTACGGCTAAAACAAATATTCTTAAGTAAGAAATGTAATGATGAATCAATTGTAATTGAAAATACTACACTTTTCATTAGGATTTTGAAAATTTAATCGGGTTTCTAGACGACTTTTGATCCAATTTGTCTCTAAAGTGTGTAGGCAACACAAGCAACATCTTGTCCTCATGCGTGTGTGTTAGTTGGATTATTTGACTTAACCAAATATCTCTCTTTCTTTGAAAAGTATTTTCTAATATATATGAAACCTATATATATATACATATAGAGAGAGGGTTAAAAAAAAACACAGTTGATCAAAACTTCAGTCAAAAACGTATAACTAGGGTTTTAACCTTCATATCACAATGATTCGTTAGGATATTATAAAGAGTTCAAACAAAACACAATGGATCAAACCTTTATCAGAAACGTATATCTAGGGTTTAACCCTATCATATTGTTTCCACATCACATAGATTCGTTAGGATATTATATATAAGGTTCAAACAAAACACAATGGATCACAAACTTTTATCAAAAACATATATACATGCTTCGTTAGGGTGTTTTTCATACAAAACTCGGTGTATTACTTTGTTGTAGATTTGTACTATATGATTGTATTGGTATCTACAAACAAAGATATCCACTTCTGCATGTATATTATGCAAGTTGGTTCTTTATTATAAGGTATGACAAAGAAAGGGGAAAAAGCTAACTACAAATTGTTACAAGAAATAATAATGTGGATGATGATCAGCATTTTAATTCATTTCATATTTATCCTTTTTTTATATGTCAAGATCAACGTTTTTGCTGGCTAGGGAGAATTAAGTGGACCCTTTGTTGTGTGTGTGTTATGTTTTTGTTTGTTTGGACAAATTCGTTTAAAAGTCGCATTACATATAACCACACCCATTAAAATTCATATGAGAATAAATTAAGATAAGCACTGATCCAATTGGGTGAGTACAACAAATTTCAAATTCTTAAGTCCTAACTTTCGTATTTGCATCTACTTTTTTTTTTCCCCCTTCCTTTATTCTAGCTAGTGATCGTATCTTACTTTGATTGCTTAGGAGAAACGTGTCATTAACATGATATCATTTTAATTAGTTTCGTTAATTATCTTAGGAAAACCACTATACTGAAATGTTCATTTTGTCGGATGAGAACTTTGATAAAAATATCCACAAGTAATATGGAATATTTATACGATACAAAAGGGAAACATTTCGAAATCAAAAGAAATTTTAAATTTGTGTAAAACATATGGAAATGATTATCCTTTTGATAGAAAACTAAACTTGTATTCTAATCACCACTAAACCAAATTCATTGGACTAGTTATGTTCAAAACTATTTTTCAATGCATTAAAAAGGAAAAAAAATACAAGAAAGGCTAATAGCTAGCTAGCTAATGACAATTGGGAAATCTAATCATTACAAGTTTAGGTTTATGGACAATGGAACAAAGAATAAGTCTCTCAAAGAACATTCTGATTATGATTAGTACATAGAGAGACCCCCCACTTTTTCTTTTTTCTTTTTTAATATAAAAGAAAGAGAAAAACCTCCCACCCAATAAAATGTGGAATGAGTTAAACAAAAAAAAAAAGCATTCATTAACTAAATAATTAAGAGATAACGTTATAAAAGTTTAGCGATTTATGCGATTCTGTGGAGTACAATTAATAGGGCACATGTCAATCAAATTCGCAAAAATTGAATCCAAAGGTCCTTTTGGATTTACTTGTAACAATCAAATTGCTCCACTTATCCATTTCCCAAAAAGTAAATCCTCTTTTATTTTTATTCTCTTCATAATTCGACCTACAAATATATATATGCATGTAGTTTCTACATTGTACTTAGTTTTGTTAGTAATTTGATACAATATAATTCCGGAAAAATAATAATGGTAACTTATAATATAATTTTGCCATTTGTTTCTTCATTTTGATGCCTATTCTTAACCTATTTTGATATTGTCTACTAATTGAATGAGACATGATGAAAATATATAGCTAGGCAATACTGAAACACAAATGGGTAAGTTTCAGTTTCATCACTTCGCCTTACCAGTCACTGTTTCAGTTTCGTCTTTTGGGTTTCTACTTTGAAAGTATCTGATTCGTTTCAACAGCCCACCATTGATGCCATTGTCCGAAGCTCCAAGAATGTTTTCTTGGGTCCACTTTCCCATCGCTTTCTCAGAAAAATCCAACAACATTGATCTTTGTTACACCCAAAAAAAAACCCCAAGAAAATATGGTGATGACAATAAGCTCGATATATCACCCAACAGATATGATATGGTTTGCGTCTGGTATCAAACATGTATAGCCATAATAAGACAAGAGCTTTAAGAGATTATAAACCTAACCTAACTACTATATGCTTGCGGTCCAATGCTTTTAGAATATGGTATCAATGGTTAGCTTTCTTTTGGGCGGCGATTTTTCTATGATTTGTTTCTCGTGCTCCATAAATGTAGATCCTTTGTTCGCAAATAATCTTCTGAGGTTTATCACTGATAGTTCGTAGAAGTTTCCAACTGCAAGATCAGCCTGAACCAGATCATACCTGCAAATTTGTTTTTGATAATGTTAGATGCCAGACTGCTTCTGGTTCCCAAAGATGGAGAAAAACTAAGTTCTATACTTACGCCCGATGAGCACCGATTAATCCAACTGCCATCATTGTACAGTTATGAGCAGCGGTAATACCCCGAGGGTCATCCTCAAACACAACACATTTCGACGGTTTTCTATCCAACTGCGTAAAAGTTTGTAATCCTTCACCAACGATTCTCATAAATTTGCTAGGATTCAGAATTTAATTGTGATAGTACCTTCACAGCTGCGGAAAGAAATCTGTGAGCTATTGATTCCATACCATCTTCCTCGGAAACCACTGCCTGAAATAGAATATGAATACAAGTAATCAGCAAATATAACCATTCATATGCAAAACTGGAAATGATTCTCTAAAGCCTATTACTCGCCTGGAAATACGTTTGAAGTCCCATCCGTTCAAGGGCACTAATCATGGTTTTTCGATCAAGATTTGAGACAACAGCACAGGGAATGCGAGCAGTTGAGACAGCATCCAGCCAATCTCTAAGTCCCTCTTTTGGTTCTGTGAGCTGAGATATAGATAGCAAAAAAAAACTCAGGAAACTAAAAAATAACAGCATCTTCGTGAAGCAAAGATTGATAAAGAAAGAACTTACTCTGTGAAGATTATCACAATATATTTCCGATAGCCTGAGTTTCAATCTGTCGATTTTGCTTTGCGTTTTCTCCCAGAACAACACCTGAAATTTTTTGGAATCAACCGTGATTAGAATAAACCCCTTTCCTTCTGAATGGATCTAGCAGACACATAAAGCTTGTTAGGCCTAACTCGTAAATGTAAATGAATACTATGAGATAAGAGATTCACAAGAACATATATGACATTGCTTGTTTAGAATTACATATCCAAGAATATGGCAACTGAGAGCAGAAAGATCAAACCTTACTCAGCACATGGTCAGCGCCAGCATAAAGTATCAGTCTTTGGATATCACCCTCCACTACAATTTCTTTTCCTGCCAAACAAATTCATGTACATATCTAATTTGAGAAATGGATTGTTAGATATAAGAAAGATAAAAGCAATGCCTTTGAAGTTTTAAACCATAAAGACCAAACACACGATATTATCTTAATAGAGCAGTTCACATATCAGACCTCTACATAACAAGACAACTATGTGACATACTTCTTCACATGTTATTATTAGTACTAGGAGACACTGAATTTGTACTAGAAAAATGCAAATTACATGTCACTAGACACTATATTAACAACTAACGTACAAGAAAAATGCAAGACAAACACTTGCGGCCAAGAAGGTAATCTAACGTTTGAGTTCATTGATGTCTTTGGTCACTCTCTTGACATTCCTTAAAAGGGTGCATGGGGAGTACTAAACATATATTAGCAGGAATTGCTTGAGATCTCTTTCCACTCACATGTATGCAAAAAGTACATTACATGTGGTAAAAAGTTTAAATGCAGAACTGCAAAGAGCAATAAAAGCTTACCTTCTTCTGAAGCGAGCTGCTTCCAAGCTTCCAACTTAAGATTTCGAGTATCAGCCTACAAAGTTTGAACCATAAATGGAAAAATGAGGTCAGTCTACTATAGAACTCATGAGATTTACAAACCTAACAGGAAAAGCATCATCTCAAGAAGCAACTATATTCTATAACTTTTGTCAAACCCTCAAGCCATACAAGAAGAAAAGAAACTATACCTAAACTAGTATGCCAGGACCACACAATTCTATCCTAGAACTACCAAATAATAGGGCGGCATCATCTAAACAAACTAAAAACCAATATTAACAAGACAAATCCTCATGCCCCACCAGAAGAAGAAGCTATCGTAGGCAATCTAGTTATAAGAGCAACAAGAACTTCAAACTAAGAAACTTGCAAACATAAAGATGGTGTCAAGGAATTACCACAACATTGTCCCATGAGAAAATAAGTCCATAGGCTTCATCTGGTTTCATTGCGTAACGTATTCTTTGAAGAAACCCATCTTGCAATTTCTCATTCCAGAAATCCTACTTACAAGCAAAATAAAACCGAGAAGTCACATGTTACCTACAACCCAAGATTTCCATAAGAAGCTTCTGATCAAACTCTTAACAAATGATAAAACATTCATAGCTTTAGTAGCTCTTACCACATCCACTTTGAGAGGACCATCCTGTCTAAAAGTCCCGAACCCTTCTCCATACTCAGCTCCAATCGCCTAAAATTCAACAATCAATAAATTCATCAAATTTCCTTTTTTCATCAACCAAAAACCCAAAAAAAACAGAGACTTCTCTAGTTCCAGAGCTATTTGAAAGGCTTACCTCTTGCGCAAAGAGTTTGTTTGGTTTGAGAGGGAAACCATTAAGGTCGCCGTTTTGATCATCAGACCCAGAAGAACTCCTCACTACCAGACGCTGCTTCACAAGCTTCGTCTCTTTCGGTATCTGAAAGGAAAAGAAAAAAAAAAATCCCAGAAATTTAAAACTATACTCCATCGATTTCGAATCAAAGATAAAGCAGGACAGCTAAGGATACTTAAACAAACCAAAAATTTGAGATTCGACGCAAAATTAGAGCGAGGGAAGCGAAAAGATGGTTCGGAAGAGATGAGCAGAGACGAAGAGCGAGTACTGCATGAGCAGTCCATGATAAATTTAATTAGGGTTTCTTCGGGATCAGAAACTGGGAAGATGATTGAACAAAGAGAACAAAAGCATTCGTCTTTTTTAATTTATATGTCCGAGGTTTATTGAATAATTAATTAGGGTTCGAACACGGAACTATCTAAAAGCCTTTGTTCTGGTTCATACGTTTGGAGCAAGAGAGAGCGTTGAGAGAAGGAGAAAGAGAAAAATGCAAATATCCCCAGTGGGTCACGCCATTGATGCCGTTTTACTATCTCGGTTCAAAACGTTGCGTCGTTTTTAAGGCACTGAAACAACATGAAGTCTGCATCTGACAAACACTAACGCTTAAAACTTTCGGATCAGTGTTAAATATGGGCTTTATTGGGTATTATTATACAAATAGGGACATTAATGGGCCAGTCAATTTTTTTTTATTTTGACAGCGTGGGCCAGTCAAATAAAATATGAATTTTTGGGGTAAACATATCACTTCTTATGTTTCGTACTTTCGTTTACGAAAAGACTTCTCCTCGTATTACATGCGCTGATTACACTTCGCCTTCTACATAGTACACATACTACTACGTATTTTGTTTCTATCATTATTTACATATTCACCATTATTGTATTGAAGCTTTTGGAGAAATGAACAATAAGATAATATTATTACTGATTTATTATATACACTCTATATTGATGAGACCATAAATTTCGTTCTCATGACAGATCGCATGGTTAATCAAACAAATGGGATTAACTCTTATCTGATGTATATGCATCACATGCCTAGCCATATCACTATCACACTAAACCACAAACAAGTTTACTCACGACACACACAAAAACCGTGAACGATAAGATGGTTATACTTCAAACACCATAGATATTATGCATTTTCAAGAAAATTGTATTTTCCAGAGGTCAAATCCAAAACTTCGTCTACTGGGATGACTTCGATTCTGACGTTAATATATATAAAAACACACATTAACATGTGAGAGCATCTCGCTGTAATCGAGCTTGTTATAAACTTATGATATATACTTTCATTTGGAAGGTGGAAGGACTTTATTAATCAGGTATCAATGATCAAAAATCCAAAGTACAATGTGGAAAACGTATTAGTTGTAACAGTGTGTGAGTAATAATAATTATATGCATAAACTTCGAACGAATCCAATAATGCGATTTTATTAATAAAAATGCATTGGGACAATAATGGCGGCCTGATCAATGCTAAGTTAAACTGCTACCAAGAGAGGAAAAAAAAGAATCTGAGACTTGTTCTTCCCCAACGACCAATCTTACGTTCCATCAATTTCACACCAAAAAGCCTTTACCTTTTGATTACACGCTTATCGGTTCTTCTTCAAAGTTTCCTCTTTTGAAAATTCTTAGGTCTCAGTTACGCTTCTTTCTAAATTTTTCTGGGTTTTTGTTTGTTTGTCTCTGTAACTGCAGCTGGATTGAATTTTGGGGGGCATTTTTAAATTCGATTCAACGAGTTTCCTAATTGAGGGTTTGATTCCTTTTCGTATCAATCTTTGTTTAGTCAAATCTGAGGTTTCAACGTGCTGAGAGAAGCTTCATTGGCAAGTAGGAATCTTTTCTTCTTTTTCTCTGTGTTTTATATTCTTTGCCAACAATGTTTAAGCTTGCAAAGCAGCATATATGCCTTTGAGAGTAGCTGCTTTATTCCACAAGATTTGATCAGAGAGAGAGAGAGAGATATATATACAATGGGATCGAATTGTGATGGGAATTTGAAAGCAGAGATTGAGGAATCTAATGGTTCTTCTGGTAAAGCTAGTGTTCCTCCTTGTCCTCTTGATCTTTCTACATCTCGAAGAACTCTGATTGGTGATGGTAAACCTAAGAGATGGTCATTTGGTGCTTTGCCTGATGCTTCTAGTAGACTCAAGCTTCTCAAATTTGGTTCTCCTTCTGCTAAATTCAAGAAAATGGCTGAGAACAGAGACGAGGTTTCACGGTCTGTCACCAGCTCAAGTAGCGGTAGCAGCCATAATTTCAGGGAAAGAATCAGTGGTGTGCTTCACCGGAAGATCGATTGGAGTTCTCTGGTGAAAATGGGGAAAGAATGGATTAGGAATCCTATAAACATGGCTCTCTTTGTGTGGATACTTGTTGTTGGAGTCTCTGGTGCTATTCTCTTCATGGTTATGACTGGTATGTTGAATCATGCTTTGCCTAAGAAGTCTCAGAGAGATGCTTGGTTTGAAGTTAACAACCAGATCCTTAATGGGTTGTTTACTTTGATGTGTCTTTATCAACATCCGAAACGGTTTTATCACTTAGTGCTTCTCTGTAGATGGAAGCGCGATGATATTACAAAGCTTAGGAATGCTTATTGCAAGAACGGGACTTATAAGCCGAATGAATGGATGCATATATTGGTTGTTATCATTTTGCTTCACTTGAATTGTTTTGCTCAGTACGCTCTTTGTGGTCTTAATGTTGGATACAGGAGATCAGAGAGACCTCCCATTGGAGTCGCTGTATGTATCTCTTTCGCGATTGGAGCCCCTGCAGTTGCGGGTTTGTACACTATATTAAGTCCACTTGGGAAAGATTATGATGAGTCGATTGAAGACGAGGAGAATCAACTGCAGCGTGAAGAAGGGTCTACGAATCGCCGGTTTACTCTAGAGAGGAGGTTTTCGTTTGCTTCTGCTTCCACGGGGGTTGGGGATGGAATGGTTCCTGTGAGTAATCCTCAATGGAGTGGTGGGATTTTGGATATTTGGGATGATATTTCATTGGCTTATCTTTCTCTTTTCTGCACTTTCTGTGTCTTTGGATGGAACATGGAGAGAGTTGGGTTTGGGAACATGTATGTTCACATAGCGACATTTATTCTCTTTTGTTTGGCACCTTTCTTTATATTCAACTTAGCTGCGGTTAATATCGATAATGAGACAGTTAGGGAGGCGCTTGGTGTATCTGGAATCCTTCTTTGTGTGTTTGGTTTGCTCTATGGTGGATTCTGGAGAATTCAAATGAGGAAAAGATTCAAATTGCCGAGTTATAAGTTCTGCTTTGGTAGAGCTGCGGTTGCTGATTGTGCGCTCTGGTTATTCTGTTGCTGGTGCTCCTTAGCTCAAGAAGTTCGGACTGCAAACTCTTATGAGATAGTGGAAGACAAATTCTGCCAAAGAGCTGAAGAGAAGAGTATGGTATCTCCTCTGCCTCGTGAAGATGGTGTGTTTGATCCTCGGTTTGGTCTCGGGAGCTCCCCCAAAAACATGAGCGGAGCTAGTTCTCCGAGCCCGAGCAGGTTTTGGAAAGAGGTACATAGTCCAAATGTACAGACGCCTAGAGTAAAAGAAGAAGATAAAAGTGAGGTTGTTCTGACTCCACCATCTCCGCTGTCAATACACCGAGAAGCTTGATATGGAATCCGAATCCACTGGTAACTCTCCTTCTTTCGCAGGTGTTGTATAAGTTTGATGTGAGGATAGCTTTTTGTATACAAGTCTCTTTGAATGTTTACAAAGTTTGATGAAGCCGGTTGATTCTTGTGAGTTATAGACAATATCAGTCTCTGGTTCAGAGAACTTTAGCGGTTGCTTTTGTAATGTAAATTGTTTTTCTGTCATGCTTCAATGAGACCTTTACAGGCTTGATTTTTTATTTTTCTAATACAAGGGTTACAACCAGGTGGCTGGGGAAGTTGTTGGCTTTTGTTGTAAAGTAGTAAGAAGCTGGGATGGGTTCTTAGATGAACCGTGAGAGATTTTGAGTCGGTCATGTTTCATCTTTGGTCCAGGCACATCTTTTTGAACATATACCCATTTTTTTGGTCAACAACATATTCAATTTGGTTCTAAACAGAATAAATATATGTATGAAGTTTATAGTTCATTCCGATTAGCTTATGGATGACACAAGAACGGAAACCGAGCTAAACTGAAAAAAGAAAAACACAAATTTCCTCACACAAATTATTTATTTACTTGTGAGTTCAAAATTCGGCTTGGCCTTGTGGTCAGGTTCGGGTTCAAATTCTAAGTCTCAGTGGGTTGCATAAGGGTGTCTCACTTATCTATAAAATATAGCAACGTATCGATAATGGTGGTCTACACCAGCTTTAGACGATTTTCAAAAATGTTAACAAATCATATAAAACTGTAATACTATATATGATATCAGTATCGGTATGCAGTATTAGGAATTAAGCGTCGCTGTCTTAAAGAGTCATTATCGTGGAGAACCACATCAGTAATCCACTTATGTACATTGTTATTTGTTTATGTAATCAACTTTTTGTATGTTCTTGTGTAAATCAATCAACTTTTTGATGTAATAGTTCAAGGCTTGAAGCTTTTAAATATTAAAAGCTTGCCTTTATTTTCCTTACTCTGCATAAATATCAAAAAAGAGAGTTATGACAAAATTAAAGTTGCTTTTTTATCACTAAAAAGGTGGTTAGGTTTCTTAATCCTATCAAATTCTTTAGTTTCTAGGTTTCAAAGTGTTTAAAGGAGCAAGAAAAAGAAATGAACCATAATTGACAATATCATAGCTTAATTTCTGTTGCTGCTCGACATAAAGCTACAAGACTGTATATTCATTCACAATCTTTTAAACCAATTTAAAACTCTTCTATCATTCCAAAATTCTTCAAATACATTCCCCCAAAAACATACGTATTATTATTATACTAGAAGTGTAAGACATCGAAACGTGTCATGGCCATGGGTACACCACCAAAGCCACATGACTAGATGAACCTATATGTGGCCAATCTGCTCTACGTGAGACTCTCTGAACGACACGTGCGAAGGTGATCATGCATTTATATGCTTGTCTTCTTGGTTCTGAGTTCTGAAAGATTTGCGATGCATTATGAATTTATGACCACCCGACCAAACACACTCGTTGAACACGTTTCTTTACATATTTCTTAGTTACTCTACCAATCATTTTAAAAGAATACAAACAAGAAATCATTTCGTTACTTGTATAAAACTATAAATGAATAATGATCAGTAAAAATGTTTCCTCCAATAATATGAGCATAGAGAAATATGAAGAACTGGTTGTTTCTTCAAAGTGGGAAAGTCATTATTGAAAAATAATTTAGAAGTCTATTGGTTAGTGTATGTTAACTAAATCTAAATAAAAAATATGTAACTAGTTGATCAATGATTTGTTACAATCAAATTATGTGTTTTTATTTTTTTCAATAATTTCTAAACACTAGCTAAAAGTTAGTGTTATTCACTAGTTGACTTTTCATTAGATTTAATAAACCTGTTACACCTTTTATTTTTAAAATTTTTATATAAAAACTGTACATAAATAAATTTCCAAAATTTGTGTTTTTACAAAAACAAAATCCTAAACTCTAATTTAAAAAATTGGAAGAGTTTTTTTTTTTTTTTTGTGGTTGTCCTCAAATGAATTAAAGTGAAATAGATATTTTTTTACTTACCGTAAGCAAATTCAATTAACCTATTAAATAATTCACCTAAATACGACGACTGTGGGGTCAAAATATTAGCTGGCGCAACTTTCAACGAGCTTTATCGCCGGGTCCCACATTCCAGTTTAACCCAACAAAAAATAGACACGTGTCAAACCGAAGCTAAATATCCAAAAACCTCAAAAATAGGATTGGTTGTACAGAATCATATCCCAACCCCATAGCCTCCGCCTATATAATAAATCCCAGAGTGTTTCTTATTATACACAACACCATTTTCAAAATCCTCCAAAGACTCGTCGTTTCATCTTCTTCAATAATAAATAACTAGCTCACTTCAATTCTAGGAACTCGCCAAGAACTGGATACTCTGGCGGAATCAGAGATCAAGAACCGAGACGTGGTTCTGAAGCTGTATGAAGCCCTGAGATCTCGCGACGTCGACTCCGTTCACCAGATCCTAACCCCAGATCTGGAGTATTGGTTCCACGGCCCTCCGCCGCACCAGTTTTTGATGCGCATGCTCACCGGAGGTGTCTCTCCATCTTTCGAGTTCGTTCCTCTCTCCGTCGTCTCCTTCGGGTCCACCGTCATCGCTGAAGGCTGCGACGCCGCCACCTCTGTTTCTTGGATCCACGCTTGGACCGTAGCGAATGGGATAATCACTCAGGTGAGGGAGTACTCTAACACTTCTCTCACCGTCACGCGGATCGGTAACGTTGTTGCTGGACGACGCTCCCCTGAGATTGCTCCCTCGCATTGCCCCTCCGTCTGGGAAAGCCAATTCTCGGGTCGGGCTGGTAAATCCGTACCCGGTTTGGTTCTCGCGATTTGAATAGGATTTGGTTAACAGCCACTTCAGGTGAAGGAATATTAATAAAACTAAAATAAAGGCTGCTTACGTGTCGGTGTGTGTTTGGTTTCTTTTGTTTTATGGGTTGAAAAAAAAAGGATTTGGTTGCTGTTTTAAACGCGGTGTTTGCGTTTGAAAAGCTTACGCTGCGTTTGGCTGTAGCTAGTTCTTTTCTTTTTCCTAATTGCTTTAAAATTCGTGTGTGTGTGTGTGTGTTTTTAGTGGGAACAAGAATGGGGAAACCCAAATGGACTTGTTGTCCCGTTGCGTCTGATGTAACGTTTGGTTATGTTATAATTGAAATAAAAATGTGCTTTTGGGATCTTTTGATGATATTTTATATCACACAAAACTATATGTTTGTCTGAATTTGATAAACGAGTTAAGTTTATTAAGCAAGATAGACACACGTTGTATAAAAAAGAAAAGAAGTTAAATCCGATTTTAGTTAATGCGTATGTACCTCAAATTTGTAACCAAATCAATGCATGACATACTTTAGTTTGGGTTTGAATTAAACTCGATATATATAAGAATTCAGATTAGTTGCTAATCTAAAACAAGTTTGATGATTGTTGTAGATTATATGGATTTGACATCATAGTTTGTCTTTTCTTAATGGGAAAAACTATAAAAATCGATAAATTGCAATCGTGGACGCAAATCATTTTTGTAAAAGAGAGAGTGGGGTAGTAGTGGGAAGCAACGAGGAAGGTCACTAATGCGTCTTTATGTGGATGTGGACACGCATTAATTGGCGTCATATATCTCACTTTTTTTTTGGCGTTCGTGTGTGTATGGTCAAAATGGTGTGACGACGAGTGGGACGATAATAACAACAACAACAGAACGGAACTAATAGAAAAATACATTAATCAAGTTGTTAGATAAAAGTCTACATGGGCGTATTCATTATTTATGTTCGTTCATTATGTGTGATGGAGTGCCCGCAAATATTGACAATTCATTGAACTAGATGTGTCTTTATGATAATGTCCCATGACCATATTAGTCTTCAAATGTTATCCACAATACTGATGTATATATATGTCTATTACAATCCATTTGTCTAACTTTTGAACAATATGTAGGTATTACTGTAACCCGCTGACATCATCAGTAGTAGAATTCTTTGTCTAACGTAGATTAGAAGTATCATCTGTGATTACAAGTAAAGCCACGACGAGTGCGAAATCTACATATGGATTGACTCTCACTTTGAAGCAGTAACTCCCTCTTATAAGTCCTCCCCATGTGAAATCATGAACCACCTGCATTTGGATCAAGCTCTCACTTATCATTATATTCCTTCTTTTTAACTAATATCTCCTTCGAACAAAAATCTATTCATATATGGGAGAAAATGGTGGTGGCTAGCTAGCTAGAGGAATAATCTAATAAACTCCAAAATAATTTGCAATATCATATATATAACTAGTTTGAGCTAGAAAGCAAAGAAGGTAGGGAATAATGAAGGGATGACATACCTCAGCAAGAAGAGTATTGTGAATTGGCTCAAATAGTTTGAAAGAAGATCCGATATACCGACCCAATGTTCGAAAATCTGGCTCGATACTAGTGACGTCTGTTGAACTCTTGTTTGGCGGTAGAGTGACATCGAGTGATGTTTTGAAGGATAATAGATTTGGTTCCCTTGCTGAGAAAAGAAGATCTTCAGATTCTGTGCTTTCTCCTTTGTATACTTCCCACTTGTATCTCATTGTTACAACTCCCTGATACATTCATGTACATTTCTTATCTTTTTAGGATACACCTCTAAACATACATATCTAGACATTCATCTTTCTTTTGAATTAAACAATTAGTCATTCCATTTTCTGAATAATCGGTAGGAAATTAATATATTATGATTTTAAAACTGTTGAAAAATATATTAAAGACAAAAGTTGGCAATAAAAATTGGGTTTGGACTTTTAGGCCATTTACCACTCAGCCGGTCTATTGACATCTACCAATTTCTAAAGAAAATGAAATTAGGCGTTGCTACCTTGTTATATACGTGTAAAGCTAGGTTCTAAATTTGGATAAATTAGGTTTATGCAGCCAAATCGTCCTTACGATATATATATATATATATTTACTTAGTCGTTCCATTAAAACCGAAATAGCTAGACTTCATGTAAAACAATTAACAAGTGATGATCCCCTTAACAATACACAATATAATGATTTCGTAGATTAAATAGATGTGGTTAGTAAGAGGTTTGTGTGACCTTGGTGCGCATGGAGAGAACAGGAACTCCCGTGGCGTCACGGAGTACACGTTTACGGCGGATGTTCCAAATACCACCGTCGACGGTGAATATGAGATTGTCGGAGTGATCGAAAACGTCGTAACGATCCGTTTTCAGGCTCTCACGCCGCCTTCTCACCACCAGCTCCGTCGTGTACGGATTACAAAACATCTCTCCCACAACACTCACCATTTTTTTTTTATCAAAGAACGTTTAGTTCTTGAACAAGTCTGACTTTGATCCAAAAAAGAAAAGAAGGAACAAGTCTGTCTGAGTCTGATACAAGAAATCTAATTAAAAGATGCCTCTATTATAACTCAAAGAATCGCAGTGTCTTTTTGAGTTTTTCCTCAATTTTTATATTAATCAAAGAAAAGAAAAGTCGAGTTTATCATATAAAAGTTTTATTTTGATCGGATTTTATTATATAAAAGTTGATTAACGCGGTTCTTAGATTACTTGAGAGAGAAGAAAAAGATGATTTCATTTACTCTTTAATAAAGTACTTTTTTCCGGGGTTTTGTAAATCTGACACGAAGAGGAATAATGAGTTCCAACTAGTATTTTATTAAGCTTCTAGATCTTGTGATTTTTCTTCATTTTGACTAAGATAAAGAGATAATATATTTTTTTAATCAGAGAACATTTTATGATTATTAGAGCATCATTATGGACATAACCCCAAAAATGCATTTCAGGAGATGTTTAATATATTAGTAATGTAATAGTTAATTTTAAGAACCAAACAAAATGTGATAGTTATTGGTTGAACTTGTAGGTTTTTAAATTTATAATAATAAAATAATGTAAAACTTATTAATAATTTTATTAATTAATTTTATAATTATAAAAAAGAAAAATATATAACAAAAAAAAAGATACAAATTAGAAACATCAAAGATACAAACTTAAAAATTAAAAACATAATTTTTAAGACAATGCCGCTACGGTTAATATATTAATCTGATCGCAAAGAAACTCAAACCCGAAACAAACGGGCAAAAACCAGAGAGCTCGAGAATTAACCACGGGATCAGCAATGGAAGCCATGAGAAGCAGAAGACAACAACGATGTTTCGTGGATAGACTGCAGAAGCTAAGGATTTTGAGAACTGAACTGAACCTGACTAGCTTGCACCTGAGTAATTTCCAGTTGTTGAATCCATGTTTGGAGTTCTCTTCTGTAGAGTAGCATTTTTGCATGAACCATAAGCTTCCCCTGGCTGTAACATCAAGAACCAAATTTTGGGTAGCCGTTTTAGATGGTTTCCATACCCGAAAGTAATGTTAGCGCAAGTAGACAAGCTATTACCTGGCAAGCAGCAAGAGTCTGACAGCCGCAAAGTACGGGTCCATTCATTCTATCCAGAATTTCAAAAACGCCGCCTCCATCACTTCTCTACAATATTATGGTTTTGTTAGCAAAATCTCGCAAAAACTGTCATGTTTTAGTTTTATGATTGATTCAATACCATGTAGAAGTTAACAACTATAAAGTTTGGCATTCTAGTCCTGACTTGAGACAAGTCCCAACCATCTCAGCAATTACAATAACCATACATGTCGTTACATGCCTTACACAACCATAACAAAGGTATTCACACAACTAGTAGCTGAATCTACTTGGAGCACTAACAAGACTAATCTTTTCTCAAGGCAACGCACCAGCAGAACAATTATCTTCCTGAACTCATCATACTAAGATATAATGTTCTCAGTGATTCTTCACACAAATTCTCCTACTTAACGGTCAAACACATAGTTACAGTAGAAGACAAAGGTGATACCAAACTCATGAAGCAAGCAAAGCATCAAAGAAAAACCAAAAAAAGCTATATACCTTATGAAGATGGAACTTCACATCATCAACAACAACATTGATATCACTTGACAGTCCTGTCTTACAAAACCTGCATATTTGCAATCCAAAGCTCTCTTTAATGTTTCCAAAGTACAAAATTTCATCTTATGTACTAATCTAATCATAGCCTATCTTCCATATTAGGATCCAAATTGGGTTAAGTTATTCTCTTTGTGCATCTTTAAAACTGATATGACAAGTAAAGAATTGTAAATAAAGCTGCAAACTTTAAGGTCTCTGAGCTACCGACATCATAAATTAGAACAATTGAATGAAGTTAGGACACAACCCATGAACTTAAATCGCATAAACAACACACACATACATGCAAGTAAAGAAGGAAGAAGATAAGAAGTATGTACCAGTCGTTCCCTTCTCTGTGAAACTCAGAGACTTTAGCAACATGTGACATCTCACAAAACAGAGAAGTAACCCAACCCCCCAAAATCCAGAAAGATGATCACCAATAAAAATTGAAACTTTCAAATCTCACAAGGAAAAGAAAAATCCTACCAAACCCAGAAATCCTTCCTCGTTTCAATCTCTCCATCTAGGGTTCTAGAGAGGAGAATCGATTTGGGGGTTTATTTTTCTTTTTGACAAAACAGAAAAAAATTATATGGTTTCGTTTATTTCTTTTTTTAGCCTATCAACGTGTTGCGTAAGAAGCGAGTCGAAAAAGATCTTGAGTAGCATCCGGATGGTCTTTCCCTTTTTACTGTTTTCAATTTTTGGGCTTTTAATATTAGTGTAAGCCCCGATCGAATATAGGGATAATGATGCCCTTAGATGTTGTCCGGCAAGTCTAACGATCAATAGTCATTAGTCTTCAGAAGATTAACTTCATCAGGTTGATGACGATCAATAGTATTATCTCTTTCCCCTAAAGTTCTTAATCAGGTTCTTCTCTTAGTATGGTGTGTTTTAGACACAAATTAAAAAGAGTGAAAATATAATGTAATATTATTGTGAGATGGATAACAGTAGTACATAAGAAAAAAAATAAAATAATAAGAACTAAACGATCCGTATGATTAGAACTTAATAGCCTAAAATCGTCAGGCTGTAAAAGTTAGTAAATTCTTGGAAAAGCTTAATGTTCTTCTCAACACGGTTAGAAAGATGTATCATCGCTTACCTTACCGTTAAACACTTGCATTCCTTGTATCTCAAGGTTTACGATCGTGTTTCTCTCAATATTCTTATAGTATAAGACGTAGGTAGGCATGAATGCATATGGGCTGTACGACAACACAATGTCAGTGGTGCCAAGCTAAGGAACACTAGCCTGGTATCTGTCTCCAACAAGACTCTTCCACAAGTGAGGAGGCAACGACACTCTTCCAGTGTCATTTCCATTTGTGGATATTCCTGTGTCACCTACACATACTCCTTCAGCACTTGTATATCTAACAAAACTACTATCTATGCAATTTGGAGAGAGAGGAATGGAAGATGTCATGGAGGACCATCAACACCAGCTCCTCAGCTCACTATTTGGATTGACAAGCAAGTTAGAGATCAATTATCTTCCATTCGACGCGCGGGAGATAGACGTTACGACGACGGACTTCAAGTTTGGTTCCGGTCAAGAAGTTGATTTATTTTCTGAACTAGATCAAATTATTGTTGTTTTAAATTTTTTCGAAAAAACGTTACACTAGTTGTACAAACGATTAATTTTTCTTTTGAATATAATTTAACATTAAATTCAAAAAAAAAAAGTAAGGGATTGCAATTATTTACAGCCTAAAAGGATAATAATCTATATATGTTTCACAAAAACAATGTAATTTGAAACGTACAGAGAAACCATTAAATATCGAACTTTGTCTTTAGCTACCAATCACAATTGCGGATAAAACAAACGATTAATATATTTCATTGATGTACAAGACGTAGATTATGCTGTTATTTTTGTATTTTTCAAAGTACATAACGTTCTCCGCCTTGTAATTCTATAAAAACTTACCATATTTCAGTCAAAGTAATACTGTCATATTTAAACCTTATATAGTATCATAGTTCTCACTTCTCAGTTTGCTGCATTACCCATTTTTATAAACTTATAAGTTATAACCAACATCAAAATTGTTTGATTTTTTTTTTCCGCAAACCTTGCTCCCATTTTCTGGAATTAAAGAAAAATGTTTTAAGTTGAGAAAATAAAATTAAAAAGATAGTAACAATTTTATTAGTATATATACTGTATATATAATATATTTGGTCAAGATGCTACTAATTAAAACAAATCTCTACTTTATTAATAACAACACAGAGCATTGACGTGATGGCCGTGCAACTGCAACGTCTCTCTGCATCCTCCGATAATGAATATTACGGTAACACCCCTATAACTTGCCATTTTGGTGTCACATCCCAAAATCTCAAAAGGGTATAATTGTCTCATAAATATTTCTTTTTCGCGCTTCATCTTTAATTTCTTTGTCTCCGGAAAAATAAAATTTGCAGTGTGTTTCTGTTTTCTGCGAATTTTCCAGTCTAGTAGTACCCTTCTTTTTTAACCCTCTCTCTCTGTCTCTCATATCAGCCGTTACCCAATCGAAGAAACCCTAAGATTTTTTTTTTCTCCGTTTCCGATTCGATTTCTCTGTTGAATATTTTCTTCATCTCGATGCATCTTTGGAGTGAGATTTGCAGGGATTTGAGTTTCTGAAGATTCCGTTTGCTTTGTCTTCTTCTGTCTCTCGATCATTCAGGTAAGGAGATGTCAACTCGCTTTACAAGGATGTTTCTTTCTTATTTGAAATTTCTTTGATATTTATTCGAGAATGTGCTCTGTTTGCTATTTTTTTTCCAAGCTCTGAAACTCTCTCTTCGGTGAGTGAGAACGTCTCCTTCAACTTCGAGGTAGCTGTTAGCTTAAGGAATCTGAGGTATCATTTCGTTTGAGCTTCACAGATTTGTTTTAATTTCATTGCGATTGCTGTTTCGTCTCTTTTACAAATCTTTGATTTTGGTTTGTCACTGAGCGTTGCTGGGGAAGAACACATGTGCGTATGAGATTTTTCATCTTCCTTTGGTTTCTGAAGTAGGAACTGTTATTAAAGTTCAGTAATTTTAGATTCTCTCTGCTTAGGGTTTCTGAACTTAGTAGACAGAACAAATTTCACCATGGTTTCTCCCGTAGTCAATAGAATATTTAGGTTTAAGTGTAGTCAAATAATGTCTCAAAATGCAAACTGCTCCTGCTTAGGATATCTGGAAGTGAATACTTTAGAGAATATCTGCATATTGCTTGATGATTTTGGAGATAGTTTTGTGTTGACGTTTCACTATTCTCAATATCAGTTTTGCTTTTCTTACGGTTTCGTTTTTGACATATATGTATATTGGTTCTTTCTAGTGAGAAGCAATGGGTGCTGGGAGGAAGACAGAGACCTATACATTGGCTCCTGATGGCCAATACATATCAGGATATGTACCTATGTGCGTGAGGAATCTTAAGAAGGGAGATCTTTGTGGGGTTATATTTGGTTGCAAGTTCAGCACTATTAAAGAGTGCTATGCTAAGAATTTGTTTGGTTAGTTGGCTATACAGTCTATTCAACCTTTGCGGCTTGAACTTTAGTGACGACCGATTACGAAAACTGATGCTTGTTTGTGAATAGGTTTACCAGCCCCTCACATGGCATATATCAAGAACATTGATCCTGGTTTGACGCTGTTCCTGTTCAACTACAGTGACAGAACACTTCACGGAATCTTTGAAGCTGCTAGTGAAGGAAAACTGAATATTGATCCCAAAGCTTGGTCTCCAAATGGGTCAGATCCAAGTCCATATCCTGCTCAGGTACCTTTACTTAGAGCACTTCCATAAGTTGATCGGTTGATCCACCAAATGTCCTCTAAAGTGAAATGTATCTCGTTCTTCTAATTTTTGTCACAGGTAAAGGTACGAGTCAGAGTGCGGTGTGAGCCCTTGCCTGAAGAAAAGTTCAGCCCAGTAATTGCAGAGAATTACAAGGATGAAAAGATGTTTTGGTTTGAACTAGACCGAGGCCAGACAAACAAGCTGCTCCGTTTGTTTTCACCATCACCATCTGTAAGGGCACCTTCAACATCTAAAGATGCTGTACCGCCACCCAGAAAACCTATTCCGGCATCTTCTCTTGCACAGATAGGTGACTTAGGAGCAACGCGTGTTGATAAGTGGAGCAATCTGTTCAAATCATCAGATGAGTCTACTGAAAACAAAGAAAAGGACTCAAACAAAGGCGCATGCGGGGCAGGTTCAAGATTAGTCAATCTTGAAAGAACTCAACCATCAATGTCACAATCTGGTACATCTTACTCATCGGTTCTGAGAAACACGACTGCTTCTTCAACTGTGGAGAAGAAAACTTCTTTGACAAATGAAGTTTCATCTCAACCATGTAAAGGTGTTGAAAATTCTTGGACATCTGCTTCACGAGTTCCGTCTTTCCGCCAAGACAGTGGAGGTCTCAGAAATTGTTCAAAGGAAGGTGAAGATGTCAAAGTGAATGCTTATCATCATCAAGAAAATCTTCATCCACAACACAAGGGAACATCTACTATAGCTAACAATGGAATAGGACCTAGCAGTAGCAAGGAAGATCCTGCTGAAGATACATATTCAGTCATCGATTGGGATGCAGCATCTTCCTTTCAAGTTCATCTGGATGGACTGAACAAGATTTTGGAGGATCCTAAGGATAAAGATAGTTTCAAGAGCTTTGGGGGTAACATGGGAGCAGCTTCTTCATCGATGGTGCCTAATTCTTGGGAGGATGAGAAGATTTCCTGGGACTTTGAGGAAAGAAGTATAGCTAAATCTCCTTGTGGATCCTCCTATGTTTCCGCCACTACAGGAGAGGTGGTTGATGACATTGGACGTATGGATCATTTCAAGGCGGAAATGGGATCTCCCACCTTCGTGGATATATTGACTGAGGTAAGTTTAGGTCATCCATTGTTCTCTAAACTATAGAAAAAACAAACAGTTGTGCTTATGACCTTCTAATGAAACTACTATGAATATGTTTTTCTACGCTAGATATTGTCGGAAGTCAAGGAGTTGAAGCATACTCAGATGAAACAAGCTGAGAAGATGATTACTTTGGAGATGGAGCTGGTAAAATTACTTGGCAAAATTTACAAATTGATTACTTCTGTTACATTTATGAGCTTCAAGTACAAATTCTCTAATCTTTTGTCTGGGTACTTGCAGCTTGAATCAAGAAGGGAGATACTTCGGCTAAAAGGGAGCAATGGAAGTTTTTAAGCACATGATAAGCTCGAATTAAGAACAAAGTGCTTTTCTAGCTACTTCTCTTGTCTTTTGAACAGATGTGAAAAAAGGAAAAGAATATGGAAATGATTTGACTCCCCAAGGAATACTCTCTCTTCTGTTGTTGCTAATCCTTAACTTAATATGCTTCAGTTTCAGTATGTATTGCAGAAAATCCAATATATGGTTTGGGATTTAAAAAAAAAACTCACTTCATTTGTTCTTGTAATAAGGTTTGATTTAACTACCACATGAAACTTACATGGACATTAAACTAAAAGCTTTAAATCACACCAAATATTGTACATGCTCTTCTGGTCCACTTATTCACAAGCAAAATGCGCTAAGAAAATTATTAACTAGACAGTTGAGAAAGAAAGATCTTTGCCAGTTTTGGTCAAGCACCTGAAGTTTTCATCCTTGTTGAATAATGGAGACAATGAGAGCTGATAAACATTAATGCAGATAGTATGAGCTTCATTTCTCTATGCCTCATTCTTGTTGTTATCTTGGACACCCTGAAAGCACCAAAGGACTGTGTTTGTAAATAAGCAACCAGAAAAGCTTCAATGTGAAGTACAAACATTGAGATATTTAACAGTCTTAAAATTCAGCAGTTCAATCACCGATATAAAACTTATGATTATGTCTGGGTGTTAGTATACACATAAACGATAGATCAACGAGATAATTTCACTTTGACACAAAAAGAAAAGAAGAGGTATTTCAATCATGGACCTATTTAAAAAAACTTATCCACCTAATTATTCTAATGTCTTGTTAACAAATTCATTTAAAAGACAGAACAATACCTCTCTAGTGAGTTGCGGTGCTTCTCCATATACGACTGTTTCGGCCAAAAGGGTTAATGAACCACTGTGGCTTGTAGGAATGCAATATGTATCCAATCATAAATCCAAAGGAAATACCAGGTACGAATCCTCCTACAGCTGCTATCCAACTAATCACCTCTTCTTCGTCTTGTTCCTCTGATTCCAGCGTTTCATACTGTTGATGTGATGCTGTCGTGTGAATATCTCTGCAAACTTTTTCAAGGGAAGAGCCGAGAAGTCCTGGGTTATCCCCAAAGGAAGAGCAAGGCTGCGTTTGAAACTGATGGCCTCCTGGTACTGGACCTGAAAGCTGGTTATGAGAGAAGTTCATATACGAAAGGAACGAGAGGTTTCCTAGCTCTTGTGGAATTTCTCCTGAAAGTTTGTTTTGGGAAACGTCCAACGACTCAAGAGCTGTCAGGTTCCCCATTGAGGAAGGGATGCGGCCAGTGAAAGCATTGTTTGACAAGTTGAGTACATGAAGCTCTTTCATTAAACCGATGGACTTTGGAATCTCTCCTTCAAATTTGTTTCCCGAAAAATCGATTGCTGTATAGATTTTTAAGATACGTACTAGCTCCATCTCTATACCTTTATTCATCAAAACCATTGAATCATGGTAATAGCTTGATCCACTATCTCCCATGTACATATCGTCAGACCCAACTTCGTTGTTTCCAGTTGAGGACATAGCACTCCACTTCACAAAGTACTCTGATGGCAAAGTTCCATAGAAGTAATTATGTGATATGTCGATGATTCTCAACTGAGGGAAAGAGGCTTGATGCATTGGTCCATGGAATGCATTGGAGCGAAGGACAAGAACTTGTAGCTCTTGTAGAGAACCCAACCAGAACGGAAATGTGTCGTTGATTTTGTTGCTTTCCACGTTCAAAACTTGAAGAGCAGAGAAACGATTCAAAGATCTTGGAAGCTTTCCCATAAGTTGGTTATGACCGACGTCAAAGGACCTTAAACTTTCAAATATATGCTCTGGAAGACCTCCGCTTAGATTATTCTGACGAAGGTTTAGAACAGAAAGAGTATTCTTGAGGTTTGCTAAACAACGAGGGATTGAACCATTAAAGTTGTTTTCAGATAAATCGAGAGTTTCTAGAGAACGCAACTCGCATATGAAAGAAGGAATATGTCCCATGAAGTTGTTGTTGGAGCCAAACAAGTGCACCAAAGATGTTTTCCCGACAGAGGATAGTCCTTGTTTCTTCTTCGATCTCTGGAAACCGATGAAAGTGTTGTTGGAAAGATTCACGTACGTCAAGTTTTGTAGAGTCCATAACCAGCCAGGAACTTGACCTCCGATTCTGTTGTTGGAGATGTCTAGAGATTTCATTCCATGATGGATTTTTAGCAGCTCTGGAAACCCAATGATACCGCAGCCTGACAAGTTCAAAAATCTAACCAATTGTGAAGGGGGATTTGAAACTGAACTTTTGTTTGTTGTTGAAACATGGTTGCCTGAGAGATCTAAAACAGAGAGGCTTTTGGAATATGATAAGACTTCATTCAAATCAATCGTAGTGGTGGTGTTCAAATAGGATAGGTCAAGATCTTCGAGTGATTTGAGATGCGAGAAGATACTGAAATCAACTGGGCCTTGCGTGTCGAAATGAGAAAGGTGAAGTTCCGAGAGGTTGACAAATTTGGAAATGGATCTGGGGATTGGCCCTTTGAAGTTGTTGCTGCCAATGTCTAACTTTCGTAGGTTAGATGGTGAAGAAGATGTATTTCCAAACTCAAGAGTGCCATTGAGTTGGTTATCACTCAGACGAATAAATATCAAAGAAGGAATGGTGAAGAGAGGAGGAGGGATAGTTCCAGTGAAAGCATTCTCACTTGCTCCAAAAGCTATCAAGTTGGATAGTGAAGTGATATTGGGAGGAAGCGCGCCAATGAACTGATTGTTGGAGATATATAAATCTGACAGCCCTGTCAAATTCAGTATTACAATGGGAAAATACCCACTGAGCTTGTTGAAATAAACAAGTAAAGAGGCCAGCTGGTTTAGATTGCCAAAAGAAGATGGGATTTCACCAACGAGATTGTTTATTGAAAGGTCGAGATAGGTGAGTTGAGAAAGGTTTTCAATAGAAGACGGGATTTCACCAGAAAATTGATTCATAGAAAGGTTGAGAGAGGTGAGTTGAGTAAGGTTTCCAATTGAAGGCAAAATTTGACCAGAAAATCGATTATAAGAAAGGTCGAGAGTGTTAAGATTAGAAAGGTTGCCAATCCAAGATGGAATCTGACCACTGAAGCCACTAACCCCAAGGGTCAGAGTGGTTAGATGAAAAAGGTTTCCAATGAAAGATGGAATCTGACCACTGAAATGATTTTGTGAAAGGCGGAGAGTGGTAAGATGAGAAAGGTTTCCGATGGAAGTTGGAATCTGACCTGAAAACTGATTATAAGAAAGATCGATACTGGTGAGATGAGGAAGGTTTCCAATGGAATATGGGATTTGGCCATTAAAATCGTTACCCGAAAGGTCAAGAGTGGTTAGAAAAGGAAGGTTTTGAAGACTGGTATTGGAATGAAACTGGCCATGGAGAAAGCTGCAGCGAAGGTGTAGCTCGATCACATCTCCGGACTTGACATTGCACGTTATACCCTTCCAACTACAACAGTCGCTGTTATTCCCCCATGACTCCGTCGTCCGATGAGTTTCAAAGCTAAAAGCCATACAATAATCACTAGGCTCCCCAATCTGAAACTCGTTTTTGAAAGCGAGAAGAGCATCCCTTTGTTCGGGACGACACAGATGCCTCGCAAGCACGTCTTCAGAATGATAAACGAAAAAGAAAATAAAACAAAGAGTAATAGGAATGATGACACCCGTTGAGTTCGAAAAGCCTTTCATTTTAATTTTCTTGATTTAAACAAAAAAAAAACAATGAAGAAAAGAAGGAAATTGTGATGGTAGATAATTAACATGGTTTCCTGCACATCTCTCTTTTATACACAGAGTTATAATACATTCTACTCCACAAGGATAATAAATCCAACACAGCTTGACTGACTCCCATTATAAACTAGTCTGTCTCTCTACCAAGTGTTCTTGACGTTAAAATGCAAAGACTTAAAAAGAGTCTTTACATTTGAATAATCAAGTTCCACACCTTTTGTCTTTACTTTTAATAACGTACAGGAAACTTCAAAAGACAACTTGTTTGTTCCAACCCAGAAAAATAGCAATTCAAGGAGAGAGAGACTCTATTAATTTGTGTAGTACTAGTCCTACTGACTGATGATCGACGGCAAGAAAAATCCGAAAAGGCTAGGGCCCAATAGTATGGGTGGATATAAATAAGATCCAGGCCCATTTCACCACATACCACGCCACCCAACTCAGAAGAGTATAAATATTTCCATCTTTAAAAAAAAAGAAATCACATATCCTCAAAAAAATAACAGTAATCATCTTTTCCACCTAAAAAAATATATATATATTTTTCAAAAACACTAACACTAAAAGTTTGTCGAATTTCGAATGACCTCTGGTTGTGAATTTGTGATATTGCTGTGTGTTTTTCGATGCTGTATAAATTCAAATTTAATGTAGATCAACTAAGAAAATACGTATCCTCAAAATCTACGTAATTAAATTATGCATAATATATTGTTAAAAATAATCTCAAAATATTAAAATTTTCTCAGATATAGTTATATTATCTTTATGAGACATTTTAGACATTAAAGCTTTCATTAATATTTAAAATATTCATTTCCTAAAATCTTTCTATTATTTTTTCAATCTAAATTCAACTAAACATTGATCTTGGGTAGCAATTTATTATTTTGAAAACTTTTATTGTTTTGTCAAATTTGTTTATTAAATTAAATATGTTTCTTTATGCGTGCATGTTTTTAATCAACTATGGTAAGGATTCAATTGCTTACCCGTATTAAGAGCGTATTTTTGTGTGGTGAGGCAATTTCAACACGTGTCAATCACCTGGTTATGTTATGATCTAAATTACTGTGTTAATAAGTGCCATGTCACACTACTAGTCTCGTTCAAATATCAGAAATATCTAGACAATAGTTATATATACCACTTCTATTCCTAAATATCTTGTTTTCTGGAAAAAAGTAAAAAATCTTTATTAAAAAAAAAAAAAAAACGAGACACGAGAGAGAAGAACGCGAAGAGAGCTTCAGAAGACGATTTGATTTTTGTCGATTTTTAACAACAAACAACATAGAACAGCTGCGTGAGAAAGAAGATTTTTTATTCCCCATTAAAGAAGAGGTTCGACTCGGAATCCTGGAGTCATTCACGATAGGTATGTTTGAATTTTTTCCTTTCTGATTAATCTTTTCTGGGTTCGTCGATTTTTCGTTGAATTAGTCTCGCCGAAGTCTCTGGGTTTGATGATTTTGGGGTTTTAGATGTTTTCGTGATCATTGATTTGTGAAAATTTTCCTCTTTTTAGGTTTCGATTGTTTTATAAAGAAATTTGGGGATTTTCCCCAATTTAGGGTATTTTATTTTAGACGATTTCTTTAATTTCGAGTTGATTTTTACAAAGTTAGCTTGCTCCCGAAGATTCGGCACAAAAACGAAAAATTGGAAAATTTCAATTCCGATTTTTCCTTTTCTATTAATAAAGTAAAACTTGGTGAGCAAGCAAAATACCCTTGGTGCCCAAGTTGTTTCTGAGCTTCTCTATAACTATAAATTCTTTGTGTGACTCGATAATTATTCTGTTTTCTGGAATTGAGAGAGAGAGACCGAGTCTAAACTTTTTTTTTTTTTTTTTTTTAACCTATCTTGTAGATTCCGTGATTGCAACTAAGAGGAAGATGGCTATTTATGATCAAACCGGAAACAATATACCAAAGAAGAGGAAATCTAGGGCTCGGGCAGATGGTTTAACAGTGGCTGATAGATTAAAGAAGTGGAAAGAGTACAACGAGATTGTTGATGCTTCGACTATTATAGAAGGAGAGAAACCTAGGCGCAGAGTTCCTGCTAAAGGATCCAAGAAAGGTTGTATGAAAGGTAAAGGAGGACCAGAGAATCCTCACTGTAGTTTTAGAGGTGTTAGACAAAGGATTTGGGGTAAATGGGTTGCAGAGATCCGGGAACCGAACAGAGGAAGTAGACTTTGGCTTGGTACTTTTCCTACTGCTGAAGAAGCTGCTTCTGCTTATGATGAAGCGGCTAGGGTTATGTATGGTCCCTTGGCTCGTCTTAACTTCCCGCAGTGTGTTGGGTCTGAGTTTACTAGTACATCAAGTCAGTCTGAGGTGTGTACACTTGAGGATAAGGCGGTTCTTTGTGGTGATATTTGTGTGAAGCAGGAAGATACAGATTGTGAAAGTAAACAGTATAGTCAGGTTTTAGATTTTAAGGAAGAGTCTGGTGAAACCAGGAGGGACAATTGTGGGGTTGGACATCAAGATGCGGATACCGTGCTGGATTATGATTTGTTGAAAGAGTTTGAACAGCGGTATTGGGGAGAAGCTATGACGGAAGAGGAGAGACTGAAGCAGGAAGAAGAGGAGAGACCGAAGCAGGAAGAAGAGGAGAAAGTGAAACAGGAAGAAGAGGAGATGCAGCAACATCAACATCAGCAGCAGCAGCAGCAACTGGATTTGCTTACTGTAGGAGATTATGGTTGGCCTTGGCCTAATGATATGGAAAATGAACAGAGTTCTTGGGATCCTAATGAGTTCTTTGATATTGATGAACTCCTTGGAGACATGAGTGAAGGTATGTTACATGGTCCTGGTCAGAGCGAGGACCAAAACAACATAGATTCTGGTAGTTATGATTTGCATCCGCTTCATCTTGAGCCACACGACGGTCACGAGTTCGATGGTTTGAGTTCTCTGGATATTTGAGACTTCTGAGGCAATGGTCTACAAGACTACAACTTAATCTTTGGATTGATCATAGCATAAACAAGACATAGGTGTTAATGATCTGATTCACAATGAAAAAATATTGAATAACTCTATAGTTTTTGTTCTTTCCTTGAAGTGCTATTTCTCTTCTATTGAGTTACTAATATAGAGAACAGTAGAGTTACTCCTTTTCTCCTCTATGTAGAACAATAGTGTACATCATAAACAGAAAATTTAACCATAATTTACAATTACAGTTCTAAAAAAAATTTGAATTTAGAGAAAAGAATCATGGATAAAATAACTTAGCAAAGAGAAGCTCGTTCCAAGTATCTTGAAGACCAGGCAAGCACCAATGTATACAGTCTGAGTAGCTAGCTGGATTTGCTAGCTGCTCCTTTGTCAATGGACTCCATTGCTTCTTGTAGATTGATGTGTGTGCGTCTTTCCGATAACCGGAGAGTTGTGTAATGTTAAGTACCGTCACCGGAAAATCCACTCTTTGGTCTAATTCTTCTCGTATCACTTTCATTAAAGTTTTGCTGCAGTCTGATGGCCAATGATTCATATCTTGGATCGGTGTCGTTTGATTGTAACAATTCTTTCCTTGTTCGCCTCCCCAATCTTCGCTCCTGATCATAGACGTAGAAAATATGAAACTTTAGTTACAAGCTAAACCTTAGTCAGGTTTCTTCTACTTGCGGATCATCTCAAAAACCACATTTACTTGAACTATTAGAGATAAACCGGATCCTTCTAAACCCCTTACTCATTTCATTCAATACCAAATCCGGACTAGATTATCCTATCTCCTCTCTTTTCAGTTCCTGGTTTTGAATTTGAAGCAACTGTTTATAGATGACTAGAAATCACAGAAAAAAACGAGAAGTTACTGACTTGTAGTGAGTTGGAGACATGGTAGCAAAGAAAACCCTTGTCTTGAGTGGATCCATATTCTTCTTCACCCATTTAACCATAGTCTTCAGTGCCATTCGATATGCATCTTCACTCTCCATCTCAACTATTCTCTTGTTCTCATCCTTGAAAGAACCTTCCCTTCAAATAACAAATTGAAAAAAACAATCAAATCATAAGTATTGAAGTATACAGGAAAAGATTTGAGAACCTCTTATTAAAAATAATGATGAAGAGTTTTAAATTTCATGATTGGGTACATACAAGATCTTCATTTTGAAGCCAGTCCTCCACCACAAGTATGTGTTGAACACAACTATATCAGCGCCTCGCCAATGCCTACCGTGTTTGTTGATCGAGCCTTTCCTCACAATCCGATCTGATACTCTATGAATAGTAGCGTTATCCGAATTTGATTCTAGAAGAAACGGTGCCCAATAGAACTCAATAGTTGCATTATAATCCTACATAGCCACACCAGAAGAAGCTATCAGAATCCTAGCAAGCCACTAACCAAAATCCATCCTTTTATCATATCATAGCAAGAAATTTTAAAATCCAAGCTTAAACATTGTCATTCTCAAACTCAGATCTCTATGAACTGTATTTGTATTCCATAGATTCCACAAGACTTTCTAAATATGAACCAATAAAGGCTAAAGAACTAAGTCTCATTGATTGAATCCAAAATACCTTGAGAGAGAAGACGGTGAGGGAGCCAAACGTATTCATGGATTTGGATTTTTCTGGGATTTGTGAATGAAGAAGACAGATCAGAGAAACATACATTCCTCTGTTCAACGAATCTCCAACAAACATCATCTTCTTCCCTCTTAAGCTCTCTAACATCACCGTCGCATTAAACCTACACCACATTCAACAGCCACAGAGCAAACCGATCTGAAGATCAACCACCGAATCGACCTAATCCCCTTCAAAATCGAAATTGAGAGAGAAAGAGAGAGACTAACGAGGGAAGTGAGCATGATTCAGGCTGCCATCTCCATGACTGATAATCACTATCGGGACGGCCATGCGTTCGGCAAGTAAGCTGCGGCTGAATATATGGACACTCCGATTCTCTGTAAAATGGACGTGTTGACCAGTCTTTGACCCAATTCCCTTTGAACACATCGCATCCTTCCGGCGTCTTCCCCACCGCAAAAGCATGAGGCGGAGGTGAAGGTGGTGGAGGAGAAGGCGGTGGAGGAGATAGTAACGGTGGTGGAGGAGATGGCGGCGGAGGCGGAGGAGGTTCGTCTACTACAACAACGATTGCGGATTGGTGGAGGATCGTTGGTGAGTGGAGAGAACGACGGGAGAAAGAGATGAAATCGTGGCCGTAGATGAAGGCGGCGAGTAAGATGAAAGCTAGTACGGTGAAGAAGAAGTGAGTAAGACGGCGTTTTCTACGGTGTGACGGTGATGACAACGCCGTTGTCATTTTAATTTTTTCTTTATAACGCTTACTCTTTTTTCTCTTTCTTTATGTATTGTAATGACAAAATTTTGATTCGAATTAAAAAAATTGAAATTTGGAGTATAGTGAATTGTATAGTATATGATATAAAATAAACAAAGCTATAGTTTGTTGCACTTGCACGATCCTAAACCAAACCCATGTTACTGCCCATGATTAGGCACGACAGTTTAATATTTCAATTCGAACTTACGATTAGGAATGTATGTTCGTAAAACTTTTAATATTACGAAATTAAATAAGAGTGTTCTTAATTAGTAGGAAACTTATGAATATTTTATTATAATAATTTTATTGTTAATAGTTGGTTAAAGTTTATAATATCAAGAAATTAAACTACACAAAGAGACAAGAATCATGAAAGAAAAAAAGCAAAAGGAAGAAGAAAAATAAAAAGAAAGCAAGAAAGCTACTAAACTTTTTTGCTAATCACAACATGTTTGAACTTTTAGTTAAGAATCAACGACAGCATTTAACTTTGTATAAGGCCTATTAAGCCTTTAATCTCCATAGGCCCATTATAAAACATCTGATGAATCTGCTTTCGTGTACGTGTCGTTAAATTAGCCGTTTACTTAAACAAAAAACGAAATTTTCATGTCGTTTTTAGGATTCACATTAAAAGAATGATAATTTTCATATGCTCTGTTTTTATTATATGGTGTACAAAAAAGAAAAAGAAGAAAAAATAATTAAAATTAAAAAGAAAATACGAAGCCATCGACGACAAAAATAAAAATAAAAATACGAAGCCATCGTCGTCGTCTTCCTCTGTTGACCTCTTCTATCAAAATGCGAGACCTTCTTCGCGCCTATTTCTCTCGAAGAACTCTCGTATCTCTTTACAATCTCTTCTTTGCCATCTCCCGTAAGCTTCTCACTTCATTCCCTCTCTCTTTCCTCATGCCCAATTCCAATGACGCCGTCGCAGAGTCTGATGCCGTTCCGCTTCTCGATCTGTCTAAGCCGTCGTTACCTATATCTTTCCCGATCAAAACTCTTCAAGACCTGAAATCTCGTTCTTACTTCGATTCCTTTCACTTCCAGTTTAATCGCTCCACCGTTCCTCTCCGGCGAAACTCCGATGGCTTACAGAATCGCCCAAGGGTTCTAGTCTGCCACGATATGAAAGGAGGGTATGTAGATGACAAGTGGGTACAAGGGTGTGAAAACGACGCCGGATATGCGATTTGGCATTGGTATTTGATGGACATTTTCGTTTACTTCTCTCATTCTCTGGTCACTCTTCCTCCTCCTTGCTGGACAAATACTGCTCATAGGCACGGTGTTAAAGTAAGTTGTCTTCAAACTTTTGATTTCTTCAACTCCAAAGTTTCAATTTTAGTTGAGATTATCTTTGAATTTGCTGATTAGGATGATTAAATTAGGAGTTTGATTGTCTGTGTACAGAGAGATGAATTGGGTTTTGTATATTGCTGAGGATATTATGAGAAGAGTTTACTTTCTTGTGTTTATGGAAACGTAAAGGTATTGGGGACTTTCATCACAGAATGGAATGAAGGAACAGCTACCTGCAAAGAGATGCTTGCCACAATGGAGTCTGCTCAGATGTATGCAGGACGTTTAGCAGAACTTGCTACTGCTCTAGGCTTTGATGGGTGGCTGGTGAGGTTTTGGTTTGCTTTATTTTTCATGACTTTTATTTTCTAATCATCTGCAATTTTTCGATGTAACCTATCTGTTTCTGGAAACATACTGGTGAAGTGGTGTAAAGACAGGTTTCTCTAACATATAATCTCCCACCTGCAGATTAATATAGAGAACGAAATTGATGAAGAACAGATCCCAAATTTGAAGGAATTCGTAAGCCATCTTACAAAAGTCTTGCACATATCTACACCTGGGTCTTTAGTCATATGGTGAGTTGCTCATAAGTCTTTCGTTGTTCATAAGTATTTTGACAGTGTCATTTCATCTGATAACTTTCTGCAGGTATGACAGTGTCACTATTCGTGGTAATCTTCAATGGCAAGATCAATTGACTGAGCTGAACAAACCTTTCTTTGACTTATGTGATGGAATATTCATGAACTATACATGGAAGGTCTGCCTTTCGGTTCGATTAATCTCTTCAGTTTCAGTTTCTTCTATATGTCTTGTTTTTTTTATATGAATGAATGATGATGTTTCAGGAGAGCTACCCGGAACTATCAGCTGAAGTTGCAGGGGACAGAAAATTCGATGTCTACATGGGAATTGATGTCTTTGGTCGGGGCTCGTTTGGTGGTGGGCAATGGACTGTATGTCTCAGAAACTCTTTATGATATTTACCTCTCTGTTATTTTGGTGACAGAGGGAAAACCAATAATGTGTGCATGAATATTTTCTTCATCGTCCTAATCTTTTACACGCTAGGTAAATGCTGCTCTTGATTTGCTGAAGAGACACAATCTGTCAGCTGCCATGTTTGCTCCTGGATGGGTATATGAGACTGCACAACCACCCAATTTTCATACGGCTCAGAATAAGTAATGCTTTAAATTATTTGCAATAGCCTTGTGGCCTACAAACTTTTAACTACCATTACTGTGTTTGAGCTCCATTTTAATTTTGCTACTGTTGTAAAGGAGATGCTGAATTTATTCATATATTTTCTCTTCAGATGGTGGTCACTTGTCGAGAAGTCTTGGGGAATAGTCCAAACCTATCCACACGTCTTGCCTTTTTACTCAGATTTCAATCAGGTAAGGTGAGATCGATTAAGTCTTTGTTTTTATCTTGTAACACTAACAGCACGGTGAATCATCCACTGATTTTCTTGGTTATGATTATGTTCCGCTATGTTCTGAAACTCTCTTCTCTCTTTTATTCAGGGCTTTGGTTACCATGTTTCACTCGAAGGTCGCCAACTGTCAGATGCTCCATGGTATAACATATCTTGCCAAAGTCTTCAGGTTAAAACATCTTACTGTCTTTAATTTTACTGCACACATCTAATGTTTTACATGAACCAAAAACTTTTCCTGCCACAACATGACAATTGATCTTCTTGATCTGGGTTTGTGTCTCTTCTCATCTGATCTTCGTGTTTGGTGTGTTCTTCACATCAGCCTCTCCTAGAATTCAGTGAAGACAACAAAGATATCATCCAGGTCACTGTTGAGTGAGTTCTGGCTCTAATACTATCCTCATATTTATTTCGGAAACCCAAATAAGGAAAGAAGGTTTTTGACATTTCTGAGCAAATATATAAACAATAAGTACTATGAATTTGACAGTGCTCGAGAGGCATCTTTTAACGGAGGAGGGAACATTACTTTTAGAGGAAAACTCAAGGAAGATGCGTATTTCACAACAAGGCTATTCAAACCTCATATTCAGCTTTCATCTTCCCCTATCACAGTATCCTACTCTGTAAGTCTCTGCTTCTTGATACATCACATTATGAGATCTTGTTGTGTATGCTAATGGAAAAATTGGAGCTGGTGCAGGTGAAATCAGATGAAACCTCTAAACTTGGAATCCTGCTTTCTTTCTCATCTCCATCACAGGAGACTAAATCCATACTTGTGGCGCCACAAGAACCCATCCGCAGATTCGACAACATGTTTTTACAATGTCTCACCACATCAGCGCAGACAGTATCCGAGTGGACGGTACACGAGATGGATCTTGTCATGGATGGTCACACACTGACTGAAATCTCTGCCTTTTGCTACAGACCAGAGAATTCGACAAAGAGATCAGAATATGTTGCATTGCTCGGACACATCTCAATCAAAGATCATGTTCAGTACCAGCAGAAACCCGAGACTTTACTTCCAGCGTCGCCGTGGGTCATCGAAGCTCATAACATAGAGCTTTTACCCAGTAATTCTGGTTCCAAAATCCTCAAGCTTAAGCTAGAATGGAGACAGAAAGACCTTGAAGATTCTGTATTCCCAAGGTACAATCTGTATGCAGAGAAGGTGAAGTCGACTGATGTAAGACCGAGGAAGGTTCTAGAGAAAGCGAGTAGCGAGACAGTGTTCCTAGGGGTGGCTCACGTACCAGCCTATTACGTAGCGGAACTGGTGGTAGAATCGGAAGTGAAAGGAGTCCGCTTCGTAGTTCAAACCTGTGGTAAAGATGGTTCATGGGACAAGCTGGATGATTCCCCTACGCTTCTAGTAGTACTGGAAGGTCTCTAAGATTTGTCCTAGGTTGGTTGAATCTAAAATAGTAAAATCTGTGAAACGATAAATATTGAAAATAGAATCATTTAGAAACTGAAAACAAAAACCATGGCCTGAAACATATTGTAATATACATCAATAAAAATTGAAAAGTGAATGAATATCAAATGTTAATATATTTTTGTTGATATTTCTTGTTTGGGCAGCTGTTGTTCGTTTAATAATATCTTTTACTAATATTATAAAGCATCGTTTTCACTGGTTTCTTTGTCATCTTACGTTAGATAAATTACACGACGCCTTAATTTGCTCAAAGGCCTATTCTAGAGACACCACGCGTATGCCACAAGCCTTTTCCCATCTTTCCACGTGTCTAACGAACAGTAAACCACGTCATTCCCATCTCGACCCATCGCCGTCTCTTAAACCTCTCTCTCTCTCCGTTCGTTCGCTTACTCCGACGTACGTTTAACAGAAACTCTCCTCTTCTTCACCTCTCTCTCTCTCTCTCTCTCTAGATCTAAATAACCAATGTTGCTCAAGGCCTCTCCCGCTCTCTCTCTATTGAGCTCGAGCTCCGGCGGTGGTGGAGGAAATCTGTTTCCTCTTCCGTCGAGAAATTCGTCGAATCTTCTGTTTACTTCTCGTGGATCTACGTTTTCTGTTAAGGCGGCGAAAGGCACGAACACGAAGTCGTTAACCGGAGTTGTGTTTGAACCTTTTGAGGAAGTGAAAAAGGAAATGGATCTTGTTCCCACTACCCCTCTTGTTTCTCTCGCACGCCACAAGTTTGCCGATGATTCTGAAGCTGCGATCAACGATCAGATCAAGTATGTCCTCTCCTTTAGTTTTTTTTTCTTTTGCTTTATTATGTAATTTAATCTTCATACTTTTGTACACTTGTACTGATTCAGCTTCGATTCACTTATCATGGTGCCTCTGTTCTGAATCAAAAATTTAATTGTGCTTGTCAGAATCGAGTTAGCTTGATTAGGATATTGGTTAATACGTGAAGATGAGTCTGAATCTTAACATTTCTTATTTGCTTTGCTTTTGTGTGAATCATCGTAGCGTGGAGTACAACGTTTCCTATATCTACCATGCCCTGTATGCCTACTTCGACAGAGATAATGTCGGCTTGAAAGGTTTCGCCAAGTGAGTTCCTTTTGTCTTAAAGTAAAACGTATTTGTGTCTCTTCAGCTTGTGGATCATCTTATTTTGTTGTTGTATGTTTGACTGATAGGTTCTTTAACGATTCGAGTCTTGAAGAGCGAGGTCATGCTGAGATGTTTATGGAGTATCAGGTAACTACAGTAATCTATCAGATTGTTGATCTTTGATATTGTTACTTATGTTTGATGGATTCGATCTTGAAGAACAAACGTGGTGGGAGAGTGAAGCTGCAGTCTATTTTGATGCCCATCTCTGAGTTTGATCACGAGGAGAAGGGGGATGCATTGTATGGTAAGTTGACTCATATTATACGACTGTGGTCTTTTACATATTATGCTATTGATGGTTCTGACTCTTTTATAAATCAGCGATGGAGCTTGCACTGTCTTTGGAAAAACTTACTAATGAAAAGCTTCTGAAGTTACAAAGTGTAAGGACCTTATCTTTTCATCACTTAAACCCATGATTGCAGTATCACAGAGCACACTTTGACAGTAAAAGAAGATGATGAGAATAATCTCTCTCCCGTGTTTGATCCTACAGGTTGGTGTGAAGAACAATGACGTTCAGCTGGTTGATTTTGTAGAATCTGAGTTTCTAGGCGAGCAGGTAAAAACAAAAAGCTTTCACACTATCATTACTTTAAAATACGCAACGATCCTCATGTGACCTGTAAAAAACAGGTAGAAGCCATCAAGAAAATCTCAGAGTACGTTGCACAGCTAAGAAGAATGGGAAAGGGTCACGGTAAGTCCTTCAAATCCATAAGCCTTAAAACTGCAATTGCACTTTCTTTTGGGTATTGCGTTTAATCTGTCTCCCGGTGTGAACACTGCAGGAGTGTGGCATTTTGATCAAATGCTTCTCCATGAGGTTTAAGGAAGAAGAGCTGCAGCTTTTGATGATGATTCTGATTTGGTGACAACAATCTTCCTTGTGCTATACGGCACCGTTTCTCCTTTCTTTTCTTTGGTTTTGTGTAACCGAATGCTTGCGAGTGTGTTTAATACTGAATAATGTAAATGACTCCCTAGTATGATGATAAATGAAAGTCCAGTGCTTTAATGCGACTCTTTCCATAGGCTTTATTCCTACAGATTTGGATGTCATAACTGTTACTAAATCAAACATATTTGGTTCCCGGAAATCATAATTTTTGGAGTAGAATCGGTGCTCCTAGAACTTTGATTTGTTTAGAAAAAAAGAAAAAAAGAACTTTGGTTTGATTTGGTTTAAATGCCAGTGATTCGTATGCGGTATGCGTATGCCATAGAGATCCCTCGTATGTCAGCGTACGTGTCGTTTATGACATGCTGAAACGGCATAAAGTTGGAGAAAAGATAGTCTCTATAAGAAACCACCAAAACAGAGCCGAAATTGGAGAATATGAAGCGACTGCACACTTCACAGCTTTAAGCTTTATTCAAACAAGAAAAAATGAAAAGCTCTTCGTCAATGGAAAATGTTTCAGCTTCCTCACCGGTCAATCCACACTTCTTCCGGCCTCTTCTTCCTGGATTCCACACTCACCTCGTAATATTTTTCTCTCCTTCACTCTCTTTCTCTGATATGCATGAATCTGTTTGGTTGATTTCTCCCTCTCTGGGTTTCTTCTGTTGTAGAATATTCCCATGGCTTTCTTCTTAAGGCACATACAGGGAACAACAAATGAGGGCAATGGGGTGGTGAAGCTGAGGTCTTTCGTTTCTGATATAACCTGGCAAGTGAAGATGGACGGTCGGAGACTCACCCAAGGCTGGCAAAAGTTCGCCACCAGCCATGATCTCCGAGTCGGCGACATAGTTGTTTTCAGACATGATGGAGACTTGTTGTTCCATGTCACGTGTTTTGGACCAAGCTGCTGTGAGTTTCAATATGATGACGACGATGTCATTCAACTATCATCTGGTTCGACTCTCTCTTTAGCACAAAACCGGATTCAATGTTGTCTATATATACACTTTGGTTGACTTAAAAATGCAATAGTACCTTTTCCAAGATCCTGTTTAATCTAAAATGCAATAGTACCTTTTCATGTTTTCCAAGATTCTGTTTGAATCTCGTTCGAAGTTGAAAGTTGAAATTTGAAACAATTCAGATTATTCAGATTCAGAGAGGAATCAGAACACAGCAGAAGCAAAATCTTCATCAGACGACCCTCACTCTTGTTTTGTAGCATGTGTCACCGAGTCCAATCTACGCAAAGATATACTGGTGAATGATTACTTCTGCATTAAACTACTTCTCCTTAAAGGAGTCTTTTAGAATCTAATTATATAAGTTTTACAGTTTCTCCCAGTAGGTTTCTCATGATCTAATGGTTTGATGAACCGTAAGGGTGAGATCATTTTATTAAATGAACATGGGATACCATGGACATTGATCCTAAGTCACAAACCAGACGGTGAGGTTTACATCAGAAGCGGCTGGAGAAGTTTCTGCATCACAAATCGACTAAGAGCCAACGATTTCTTAACCCTTAAGCTTGTGCAAACCGGTACAACACCTGTTCTTCAGCTTTGTCCTTCCTCTACAGCGAGCCAATACAGATTCTTGACACTAACTCTCAAACCATACAATTTCAAGAAGTATAAACTGGTAAGTAAGTTTCCTTCAATCATTTTTTGACATTAGTTTCAGAGTTTGTAATGTTTTGGAGTTCTTTATGGCAGTGTCTACCGAGGACCTTTGTGAAGACGAATGGTATCGAGAAAGCGAGGAAGATAACTCTTGTGAATCGATACGGGATCAAACGGACGACAAGTCTAAAACCCGAGGACGGATATGGAAGAATGAGATTGGGAAAAGAGTGGAGAGAGTTCTGTGATGTTAATGGAGTGAATATAGGTGATTCCTTCGAGCTGGAACTCATTAAGGAAGGAGAAGATACAGGTAGTCATCTACTTAAGTTCTGCTCCAAAGTCTCAAAATATCCCTGAGTTTGTATTGCTTCTGTCGTACCTACTTGAAATGTATTTTGTTTTGTGGTTTTTGGCTAGTTTGTACCAAGGTTATAGGCTTTTAGCAGTTTGGGATAAACAAAGGAAATGCTAATATTTTGGGTTTGTCTTGGCTGGTTCTTTGGATGTTTCAACTCAGACTCACCATCCTCAAAGTAGTCATCTATTTATCATATACTAGAAAGTAGATATCAAATTGAATAGAGGGTTTTTAACATATCAAAAAGGCAGACACATGGAATGACACCTCCTGTTAACCATTCAACGGAAGTAAGACAAACTGAGTAACAGTTATAGAGTTGATTAATGTCTGAAACTATGCATAGACCTTACTTATAGAGTAACTTATCTTCATAATCTATTAGTAATATACATAAAAAGGGGAACACAGTTAAATGAATACTTAGTTTTTCATCCCAACTCCAAGGCGATACAGCTTTAAGCTAGCAAAATAATTTGCACAAACAATGCTTTTTTGGAGTAGCTCATGTTTGGTGTTCTTTTGCATGATGTCCCTATTAGTAAATATTAATGAGCCAATTTTTGATAAAATTTGCTAAGAGTTGACATAATCATGTCTATGAAGCTTGGAAAGTTCATTTTTTACTGATGAACTGCTAAACGACATCGTTAAGAAAGCAAGAGGTTTCAATGAAGCCTCTGGGACATGTAGAAGGTTACATAGACGCTTGTGGACTTCTTATAGTCTCGTCAAATTGATTCCTCGATTTGCCGAAAACTCGAAATTTCTACTCTCAGTTGCCATCTCTCGGTCTCATGGCGAATCCGGCGGAAGAACTTGACGTGAATCCACCAATCCGAGAACCCGAAGAAGAAGAAGTAGTTGAAGAACTTAACGGAGATGAAGAAGGAGAAGAAGAAGAAGAGGAGGAGGATAACGAAGGAGAAGACGATGACACCGAGTCGAAATCTCAAACGCGCAAAGGCCGATCCAGTGCAGACAGGATCAACGCGGAATCTCTTTTCCGTCGGATGCGAGCTGCTCCTGTGCCGGTGCGTGTTCACGACGTGATTGTCAGAGGAAACCAGAAGACCAAGGACCATATCATCGAGGCGGAATTGGAAGCTGCCAGAGAGGCGACCACGTTGCAGGAGCTTCTCGAAGCTTCTAGGGTTGCTAATTCGAATCTCCGAGCGTTAGATATCTTTGATTCCGTCAACATTACGCTCGATTCTGGTCCTCCTGAGCTTCCTGGTACCACCAATGTGGTAATTGAAGTTGTCGAGAGCAAAAGCCCTCTCACCGGCCAAATTGGCGTCTACACTAGAGCTGAGGTATTGCTTTAGTAGTAACAATTCACTGCTATGTTTCAGTTGAGTTGGTTTATTCCGTATTGGCTTCTATAGAGTGGAATCTGGACTTATAACGTGCATTGCTCTTTTTTATACTTCTGGTTGATCTTATTTCATGAATTTTTATTGTTGGACATAACTGTGATGTTCTTGTAGGCTAGATCATCAAGCCTTGAAGCTTCTTTGAAGTATAAGAACATTTTTGGCTATGGAGATATATGGGACGGGTCTATAGTTCATGGCTATGACAACTCCGCTGAGGTTGGCTTGGGAATGTATCTGCCAAGGTTCAGAGGATTTTCTACTCCTTTTACTTCTCGCCTTTACCTTTCGACTCAAGATTGGCTTAAGTTTTCATCGTATAAAGAACGATCCCTCGGTCTTTCTCTCGGTCTTCTCTCAAGCAAGTATCATGAGCTCGTTTACACGATTGCGTGGCGTAATCTGATAGATCCATCCCAAGCAGCTTCAGCATCAATAAGGAGGCAACTGGGACACACTTTTCTTTCTGCATTGAAGTATACTTTTAAATTTGACCAGAGAAACTCATACTTGAGGCCAACTAATGGATATGCTTTCGTCTCTACTTCTCAAATTGGTGGTCTTGCTCCTGATAGCCGTAGCTTACGCTTTTTGAAGCAGGTTGGTCCCCTCTTCTTTCTTGTTGTACATGAACTTCAGTTAAGTTTGGAATGAATGTATGTTCACTGTGAGAGGAAATAACAAGAATCATAGAACTCTGATACTTTTAGCACCCACTGTCATTTTTTCCTCAGGAAATTGATCTTCGATATGCTGTTCCGTTCGGGTTTTACAACACTGCTCTAAACTTTGGTGTGTCTGGGGGTGTCTCTTTTCCATGGGGAAGCGGATACCAGAACCGACCTTCCTCTGTGCCAGAGAGATTCTTCTTGGGTGGCAATTCATCGCCTCTATGCTCTTTGGGTGGGCCATCCGCACTATGGGGATTCAAGACCAGAGGACTTGGTCCCAACGAGCCAAGGAGGAAAGGCGATAGTGAACGGGATTTTGTGGGAGGAGATGCTGCGGTGACTGCATTTGCGGATCTCTCATTTGATTTGCCAGTGAGATGGTTAAGAGAGAGAGGAATCCACGGGCATGTGTTTGCATCTGTGGGGAATATGGCAAAGTTATCAGAGAATGAGTTTAGGAACTTCAGTGCTCCAAAGTTCTTGGAGACAGTCAGAACTTCAGTTGGTGCTGGAATCGTCTTACCAACTAGTGTATTCCGTATGGAGGTTAGGTTCTCATCACTAATCTTCCTTAATGCATTTTTATCGAATGAAAGTGCAGTGATTAACACCAAAATTATCCATCGTTTTGTTTTGTTATGAGACAGCTTAACTACTGCCATGTATTGAAGAAACAAGAACATGATCAAGCGAGATCAGGGGTCTGTGTGACATTCTCTGCCTCATCCTGAGAAATTTTTAGCTGAAGAAGGTACTCAATATGATATGACCTTTCATTTTTTATTTTACTTAAAACCATGTTCTGGCAGAATCTTTGATACTATTGTTTGATTCGAGAAACCTTTACAAAGAGAGTTGACTCTTTTTTGTTATGTTTGCATGGATTTCTTATTTATGGATCCACGAGGAATGACAATAAAGAAGAAAAAGAAAATATACTATTGAACCATCATTAATTGGTTGAATAGCATCCAGTAGATGTTCTGTTCTGTCGCCTTATTTTCTTTCCTTCACTAAGACGTTCTTTACTAATACTATTTTTTTTTTCAAACAACGTTCTGAAGTTGCGTGTTCGTAATTAAAAATAAGACGCGCGGAAATTGACTATTCAACACGTACAAAGACTTTTAGTTATAGCAAATTGTGTAGGATTTATTTTTGTGGAGTAGATTCTATTATCGTACAAATCTTTATAATACATATGTTATATAAAGAGATGGACACGAAACCATGTTATTTACCATCAGAACTTCCACCTTCGTCTTTGGTTTTTCATTATCGTCAAAGCGAGAAAACAAAATAAATTTAGCCTGACGACGAAACGCTACTCAATGAGTACCATTCCTAGTACTCTTTTATTTTTTTTTGACTATTCAACTCAGATTGCGACTTTTCAAATTGTGACTTTTAGCTTTTATAAGAAATCCATATAAAGAGACGGGTGCGAAACCATTTTACCATCGCAATATCTATAGTTTCTTTTCATCATTGATATTCAAGAAAGTTAAATTAAGCGTAGAGAAGGATGAAAGGCTCTTGGAATTCAACGAGTATGATTCTTGTTACACTTTATTTTCTCCTGTCATTCGTTCATAATTTTGGGGACGTCCTTGCGGCTCCTACTAGGCACTTGTGTCGTCCCGAACAAAGGGATGCACTTCTCCAGTTCAAGAACGAGTTTCAGAGTCAGAATCCATCGTGTGATTACAATTGTTTAATCAATGGTAGCATCGTACACCCTCACCCGAAGACGGAGTCATGGGGGAACAACAACGACTGTTGTAATTGGGAGGGTGTCACCTGCAATGCAAAGTCCGGGGAAGTGATCGAGCTAGACCTTAGCTGCAGCTGCCTCCTTGGCCGGTTTCATTCCAATAGCAGTCTTCAAAACCTTCCTTTTCTAACCACTCTTGATCTTTCATCTAATGGTTTTAGTGGTCAAATCCTGGCTTTAGCTGGAAACCTTTCTCATCTCACTACTCTCGATCTTTCTTTTAATCGATTTTCTGATCTGATTCTATCTTCAACCGGAAACATTTCTCAACTCATGTCTCTTGACCTTTCCTATAATCTGTTTTCAGGTCAGGTTCCATCTTGGATTGGAAACCTTTATAAGCTCACTTCCCTCGAGCTTTCTAGTAACAATTTCGTCGGTGAAATCCCTTCTTCTTTTGGCAATCTGAACCAACTGACAACCTTGGGTGTTTCTCGCACTTACCTCAGTGGAAATTTACCCATTTCACTACCGAATTTGACAAGGTTGACAGACCTAACACTCAATTTTAATCTGCTCACAGGCACGCTTCCTCCTAACATCTCTTCACTATCCAACTTAAAGTATTTTCAGGCAGCTGAAAACGCTTTCACTGGAACCCTCCCTTCTTCTCTCTTTACCATTCCTTCTTTGATTTATATTATTTTGAGTGATAACCAATTCAACGGCAATCTTGAATTTGGCAACATATCTTTACCCTCTAACCTAAAAACGTTAGACGTTAACAATAACAACTTCATAGGACCAATCCCAAGATCCATTTCTAAATTAGTCAACCTTAAGAGACTTAGCCTTTCCCATTTGAATACCCAATCCCCGGTTGACTTTAGCCTCTTCTCCCATCTCAAGTCGCTCGAAGATCTTAACCTATCCCATTTGAACACTCCCACTACGATCGACTTGAATGATGTCTTATCATATTTCAAGAGCCTCCGATTTTTGTATCTCTCAGGCAACCATGTTTCAGTCACAAACAAGAGTTCAGTTTCATATCCTCCTTCGCTATATCAGTTGCGATTGTCAGGCTGTGGTATCACCGAGCTTCCAGAGTTCCTAAGAACCCAACATGAAATGGCGGTTCTTGACATCTCCAACAACAAAATCAAAGGTCAAGTTCCTAGATGGTTATGGACGCAAACAAACTTGGACAGCGTGAATCTTTCCAACAATACCATCACGGGCTTCGAAAGAGCCTCTGTCCCGAAACCATCTATGATGAACTTTTTTGGCTCCAACAACAACCTCACTGGCAATATTCCATCTTTCGTATGCACGTTGCGTTCTCTAAGAATTCTCGATTTATCAGACAACAACTTTAGTGGTTCAATCCCTCGTTGTATGGGAAATCTCAAGAAAACTCTTTCAGTTCTAAACCTTCGTCGAAATAATCTTAGTGGAGGTCTTCCGGAGCATATATTTGAAAGGCTGAGGACACTAGACGTTGGTCATAACCAGCTGGTGGGAATGCTTCCAAGATCTTTGAGATTTTTCTCTATTCTTGAAGTTCTGAACGTGGAAAGCAACATAATCAATGACACGTTTTCGTTCTGGTTGAGTTCTCTGCCAGAGCTACAAGTTCTTGTCTTACGCTCCAATGCATTCCATGGACCAATACATCAAGTCTCGTTCTCTAAGTTGCGAATCATCGACATATCACATAATCAGTTTAATGGAACTTTGCCGACAGAGTACTTTTTGAAGTGGAGTGGGATGTCATCACATGGTACAAACAGTTATTGGTCTGACCAAAAGTACATTGGAGATGACATGGGATATTACCATGATTCACTGGTTTTGATTAATAGAGGTTCAGCACTGGAGCTGGAGCGTATCTTTAAATTGTACACAACAATCGACTTTTCTGGAAACAAATTTGAAGGAGAGATACCAACGTCCATCGGTCTATTGAAAGACATTCGTGTGCTTAACTTGGCAAACAATGCATTCACTGGCCGCATCCCTTCATCTATGGGGAATCTGACAGTTCTCGAGTCGTTGGACGTTTCCCAAAACAAGCTTTCAGGAGAAATTCCACAAGAGTTAGGGAACCTCTCGTTCCTTGCTTACATGAACTTCGCTCACAACCAGCTTTCAGGCCTAATACCAGGGGGCAATCAGTTTCGAAGGCAAAACTGCTCTGCCTTTGAGGATAACCTGGTACTTTTCGGCCCTTCACTTGACGAAGTTTGCAGAAATAAACATACACCGGCATCGCAACAAAATGAAACGCCGGAATCAGAGGAAGAAGAAGAAGAGTTCCTGAGTTGGATAGCAGCTGGAATAGGATTCATACCTGGTATTGCCTTTGGTTTGGCGATGGGATACAAACCAAAGTGGTTAATGAACTTCAAAGTCCAAAGAGCGCAGACTAGTGGCGGAGCCTTAAAGCTAGGCTCACTAACAAAGCCAGTGAAATCTCTTTTGGCCGAAAAGATCGTAGAAGCAGAAGCACCACCACTCACTAGAGAGGTAAAGTTCTGACTTTTAAACGGATTTGTTAGAAAACATTAGAAGAAAACGATTTTTGTTTTAACAGCTTTTTTTTGTTTTAATAGGCTTAGGAACTATCTGAGGAATCTGGAAGAGGAAAGTCAAAGTAACCGGACGAACTCCAGGACGTCAACCAACCACTCTTCTGGCCAACTATGTCTGGTTTATAGATTTCTATTATAGTTCCACATTTAGCGTGTGTATGTCTCTTTTACTCTGTTTTTAGCCAACTCTGTTTCGAACCTTTAGATGCACATGTAAAGTTGTTTATTTTTTATTTTTTTTGCGAGTTTATTTGTTATCAGTTTACATGTATATATACGTATGCCGATATTGTTCATATCGATGAGATACAGATATACAGAGCAATTATAGACTTTGGATATATTAAACCTTTTACATGCATGGATATATTCAAAAAAGTCAGTTGTGTCGTTCGTTCCTTATTAGACGTTGACATAGCTATTTTGCCAGAAACCTTTTTCATTCTACTCATATTTCAGAAGAACTTACAAACAGAATGGAGATGATGAGTATGGGTTTTGATGTGGCTTAAGAGATTAGATGGTAATCTTTGTGAGCTACTAGAAAAGGTTAGGTAAGCCTCTGAGATTAGAATCATTATTAGTGGTAAAGGATTGGAAAGCATTACATTTTAGGGTTAATTTATTAAATGACAAGATAAAGAAGATTTCAATTAGTTGCATTTAGCAATTTTCTTAAAATTTTCACTTGTTTTGTCATTCACAAAGGTTGAAAGATTACAAGATTCTTTGGATCTGTAGTTAAGTTGTTATTATCTTTTTGTGTATTTCATTATAAGGATTAGAAAACTTCAAGATCCTTAACATTTTTGAATGTTTGATTTAACAAAAGAAATTTAATTTGTGTGTTGATATTTCTTGTTATTGGTATATTCGCAGCCATAATGAATGATGATGATGAGTAGAAGAGAGGAAGACAAATAAAGAAGGGAAAATGGATAGTGAAGGGGACGGTGCTGGTGGTGTTGAGTGGTGGGCTTTCTCATTCTCTCACTTTTCTTGTCAAATGTCTTGTCTTCTCCATTTCCACACTCCAATCCTTTTATGCAACCTGTGATTTCTTTATTTATTTGTCCTTCTTTTGCTCAACTATGATGTTTAATCTAAAATAAGAACCCAAAAAATTGATATGTGCCCCCATTTTATGTGGTTTTAAGCATCGTCCACTTTGTTATAATATCACTCTTCAATTTGGGTCATTGTGACATCGATTTTGTATTTTGATTTTCCTTGATTGACTTGCTTCATCTAATCCAAAAGTCCAAAGTCTTGCTTTTTTAATATATATATATACACTGTATCCACCAAAAGGAGAAAATTAGCTGATTGGTTACTTTGAAGTCTCTCTATCTCTATAGTTGTTGTTGTCCTTTGATTTTTCAACATTATACTCAAAAGCTCAATACCAAAAATCTCAAAGATAAACCAGTATATGATTATGATTTATGACCTTGGAGCTTGGACTCGAACTCACAACCAATCATGCAATTAGCAAGAAAAAGCTCAATCCAACACAAATGATGCAGAGGCCCATGCCTTGTCCCATTTGTTCCCTTCTCTCTATTACTTTCAAAAACAAAACACACTCTTCTTCACAAAAAGTTAAAAGACTCTTATTAATATATAAAGGAAGCACGAGATAAAACTTGGGAAAAACGAGAGCCTAACATTTACCACCCAACTTCAAAACAAACAAACAAAAGAAAGAGTTTGAGATGAGAGGGCATGAGCCACGATCAAGCTCATCTTGTGCAGCCTGCAAGCTCTTGAAGAGACGATGCACTCCCACTTGCATTTTCGCTCCTTATTTCCGCTCAAGTGACCTGATAACTTTCGCCAAAGTCCATAAAGTCTTTGGAGCCAGCAACGTCAGTAAGCTTCTCGGTGAGGTTCCCGAAGAACAGAGACAAGAAACCGTTAACTCGTTGGCTTATGAAGCTGAGGTTCGTCTCAAGGATCCTGTTTACGGTTGCATTGGAGCTATAGCTTCACTGCAGAAGAAGATGCTTGAGCTTCAACATGATCTAGCTGTTGCTCGCACTCGACTACTTGCCCATTCTGGGGGAAACAACCACGTGTCCCCGTTGGATAATTCTCCTGAACTTGCTGCTTTTCTTGATCTTGTACCTTATAGTGACTTGATGTTGCTTGATGGGTCTAGTCTTGATGCTTACTTGTATGATCTTGGACAGCCTCCTTTTGTATAGGCCTTACCTCTCTATCATATCTCTTTATCAGCTGTAATTTTCACTTTGCTTGCAAGTCATCTTCGATAATCTAAAGTATATCTCTGATGTACGAATTCCAATATTCAGAACCAAATGCTTACTTCATCGTTTGTATGCAAGAACCGAGTTTAAACTTTCAAAGTAACCATCACATGCGAAGAGATAACTCAGGTACATGATGAGCCTTGGAAGGTCAGAGTCCTTACCAGTTTTGGACCAAGTGGTAGGCCAAGGAGAGTAAAGTGAGGTTTTTTAGATGCAAAGCTTCTTTGTAAGTCAGGTCTGAATAGGAGAGCACATGCTTATGTAGCCCCAAATTCTACCAAACATGAAACATCGATAGATATACTTCTGCAATGTTCCTTTTTGAGGCTCCAATAATTCAGCCTCATGTGTCACCTCTTCTCCCTCAGGTCACAAGAGTCTTGTCCTGGAGATTCCAGAGTGCTGCAAAGTCACATAGGCAAACAGCCAAATCAATAGCTTGGTGGGTTTGATCAAATTCAAACTAATTATGAATGAATGTGAATAGATGAGTTCTCCTCAGAACCGCGCTACACATCTGGTTAGGCATTCCTGAAACCTGATTTAGCAAAAGACTAATCGCACATCACAAAAAGAGAGATGAGCACTATTTGGAACTGCAGGCAGCTGATACACAAACCATCATACATTGATACTTCACAAAAGTACATCTTGATATGTCAGATACTACGAGTGTTCTTTTGGTAATCCGCATTGTTACTACCAATGTACTCTACAATGCTAAAGAAAAGAATGAAAAAGAAAAAAACAAGAAGAAAAAAAAGCATCGCTCTAACTTAAGAAAACCTAAAGATCAATAATAATAACATCTTGTCCAATTCGTATGAGCTTTAGATCCAACCAGTGCTCCTTGCTTCACCACAGAAACTCCTCCACAATCTATAATCCTACAACTTCTTACCTGTACAACAAACAAAGCACAACTAAAGTTTCAGTAAACTCATCAATCACATGATGATTCATATACACATAGCTTAAAAAACAAAATCAAGAGTAGAATGCCTCAAAGTTTCATCTCAAGATACAGTTCCCAATTCACACACTGAAAAGCACAGAAAAAAATGACAACACTTTTACCTGAACAAGCTCTTCGTTTGCCATGTTTGGATTTCTCAAGCTCCAATTGCATCTCCATCAACATGTTCATTCGTTGCAACTCAAGGTCCTTTGCAACTTCCATTCTCTGCTTCTCCAATTCAATCATCATCTGCTGCTTCTTACCCTCGATTCTTTCAAACGCTTCCCCTAACTTCAGAATCGATCTCGCCAGCTCCCTAAAGGCAGATCCTTCACTCGGATCTACGTCTTCAACTCTACGATGCTTCCTCACCACAAACCCCCAATCACCCGCATCATCATCATCATCATCTTCTTCATCATCATCGTCGTCGTCGTCAAGAGAGCTACCCGTCGATTTAGATCCAGTAGGATTCAAATTAGGGTTCATCAACGCCGATTTAACAACCCCGCCGGACGGTTTCTTCACAGCCGGACCAATTAAGAAATCGAGTCTATCAAAGAAGCACCACGACGACAAAGGCTTCGCCTTTTCAGTCTTATACTTCTTCTTCAACGTATCGATCCGATTTTTGCACTGCACGTCGGTCTTCGGCCGGCCATTCCTGTGGCTCGAATTGACGGCGTCGGCGACTTCTTTCCAATCGTTTTGCCGGAGATTCCCACGGTTGAGATTGACGTAACGATCTCCCCAAGCTTCGATCAACGTCGCCGTAGCGTCCTCGCTCCACCAATCCTCTCTCCCCGCCGGTAAACGGTGAGACCCGCTCTGTTGGTGAGGCTTCGGCTGAGTCTCCGGGGTCGTCTCCATCTCGGAGTGGGGGAGGAGAGGAAGAGGCTAACGTGCGCAGTGGAGGAATGAGGCTTAGGATAAGAACTTTTTTAGTTGTTGGATCGGATTGTTTAGAGGGTAGAAGAAAAGAGTAAAAGAGAGATATTACGGTTAAAGGGACGATTTTGATTACCGGCGGTGACGTCAGCAACGGCGATTATCTTGTTTCTCTCCTACTCACTCCTTTACCTCTCTCTCTCTCTCTCTCTTTCTTTTTCCTCTGCTAACCGAACCCAATCACTCATCCCTCTGTAACCGGTTATCAAAACCCGGTTTAGTCATAAATTGAGTGATATTGTTCTATAAGTCGATGATGTCAAGCTTCGATTAATACGGCCATACGGGTAATGATGATAGATTCCGTTATGAAACTGATTGATAATGACGGTTTTGTGTTTCGAGTGTGTTTTCCTATAATATATTAAGCGGCTTGGATTAATAATGGTTAATTAGGGGTACGATCTAGCTCATTAGAGCATCAGCATTGGTGTCACAGCAAATTTGGTCCCTCAATTATTTTTATAATATTTAGATCATAGGACATTTTTGAAATTTTAGTGTAGGAGCATTGGTGTTTCTTGTTATTTGTCCTTCAATTAAATTAATAATATTTTTAATTTTTAATTTAATTTTTAAAATTATATTAAAAACATGGAAATAAAACATAGATCATACCATTCATTGTATTTTATTATTACAAAGTTCATAAAGTTGAAAAAACAGAAAACATACAAATATTAAAATTAACAACATTGAATTCAGAACTTTAAAACTTAATTTTCATAATCTTGAAGATGTCCAAAATTAGACCATATATGTTCTATTAAATCATGTTTTAATTGTTCATGTGCTTGTTTATCACGAAGTCTGGTTCGACGAGTAATTGTTGTGCCTATATTTGAACCTACACCGGCGGTACCAACGGTATATGTTTGATCGACATCTTCTCCGTGCTGAAATTCTGAAATGTTACGGACATTGTATGTATGTCGTTCATCTTCTACAATCATATTATGGAGTATTATGCATGCTTTCATTACATTTGCCATTTTGTTTTTATCCCATAAAGGAGAAGGGTTTTTAACAATGGCAAACCTAGCTTGCAAAACTCCAAAAGCACGCTCTACATCTTTCCGCACAGCTTCTTGTTTTTTAGAGAAGAGGGAATTTTTCATACCTTGAGGAAGTCGAATAGATTGAATAAAAGTGGCCCATTTCGGATAAATACCATCAGTGAGATAGTACGCCAAATTGTACTGATTTCCGTTTACAATGAAATTGACCTCAGGTGCTTGACCGTTAATAATGTCATCAAAAACATTAGAACGATCAAGAATATTAAGGTCGTTCATAGTACCTGGAGCTCCAAAAAATGCATGCCAAATCCATAGGTCATAAGAAGCTACCGCTTCCAACACGATAGTAGGTTTTCCCGTTGCTCGTGAATACATACCCTTCCAAGCTGTGGGACAATTTTTCCAGCCCCAATGCATACAGTCAATGCTCCCAATCATCCCCGGGAATCCACGTTGTTCATTTTGATGGAGTAGTCTTTGTATGTCTTCTTCGGTGGGACGTCTTAAGTATTCATCGCCAAACAATTCAATTATTGCAGAAGTAAACTCGTACAAGCATTTTCGAGCTGTGGAGGCACCAATTCGAACATACTCGTCGACTGTGTCAGAAGCACTACCATATGCCAATTGACGAATAGCTGCAGTGCACTTTTGTATTGGTGAAAGACTAGCGCGTCCGGCCGCATCTTGGGTTTGTTGAAAATATTGGATTTCGGTAGATAGACGATGCACAATACGCATGAACAATGGCTTGTTCATTCGAAAACGTCGACGGAATAAATTATGTGGGTATGTTGGAGTGTCACTAAAGTAATCATTCCAAAGATTATTGTGCCCATCTTCACGGTTTCTCTCTATGAAAAGTCGTTTTTTTGGCTCGGTCGGTTCTTGCAAGAAATTTAAATTATCTTGAAAATTTTGATAATACGCATCAAATGGATCATCTTCATCTCTTTGGTAGTGAAAATGATTTGAAGATGATGCCATGGTTGTATGAAGAAAAAGAGTATGTAGAAGGGAACTAAAAGATATGGGCAGAAGAGATTTTAAACTCAAAAGAAAAAATAACCTTTGTAAAATGTTAATATAAAACTTAATTTAAGTTGTTGGTTATTGTGGTCTGCAATCGAATGCATATATATAGGAAAGTTTGAATGTTTAAGTTGAAAATATTATGAAGTTTACGTGTAGTGAAAAGAAGAATGTTATAGAATCATATTCTTTCACAAACACAACAAGTATTGGTCAAGAATCATATTCTTTCACAAACACAAGTAACATAGAAGAATCATATTCTTTCACAAACACAAGTAACATAGAAGAATCATATTCTTTCACAAATACAAGTAACATAGAAGAATCTTATTCTTTCACAAACACAAGTTATATACCAAGTATAGACGAAGTCACTACCTTATAAAGTATAGACGATCATATTCTTCCCACAAACACATGTTATATAGTAGAATAAAATATGGTCACAACTTTAACACTAGAAAGAAAGGGTTAATCCATTTTACAACCAGTTCAGAAAGAAAGCAAGTAGTAAACCAATAAAACCTACACCAATTACCAAATGAAACCCATTTCTATACCTATTCATGTTCTCAACTAGCTCTCCTATGGATTTCTCTAAGTTATCTATCTTAGCCTCACTCTCAGTTTCAGGAAGATAGTTTAAACTATCAACCTGTGAAGAGAGAACTTCTATCATTCTATCTTTATCTCTCATCTCCTCCATCACAGCTTCTTCCCACCATTTGTGGATGTGCATCTCTCCATCGTCAACATTATTACATGTAAAGAACCTGTGAAAATGTCAGAAGTTCATCAATATCAGATTTTTAACAAATATCAGAAGTAGTCTCATATTACTAGGATATGGGCACACTTACATTCTTCCTCTAGCATTGTTGTGGTATGCAGTTGATAGGACCGGGACACCACCACAGTAGCACACTTTTGGGATACCAAACTCAACCTCTGGTTGAGGAGGGTATTGATTATTCTGCGCCAAAATGAATCGTGTCTCTTCTGCATCCATGTGAAGGGCCCTTTGAATCAGCAAACTACTTTCCCCATCATCCATCCGGATTAAGGCATCTCTTTCTCTGTCAATACTGTCCTCTAACACATAATGCTCGTCTGAAGAATCCGGCTGTGAATAGCTGTAGTCCTGCCCCATTGTGTATTGACCTCGCAAAAAAGGAACACAGTCATTATCAGACATACAACCATAGAAAGACTAACAAAGCAGATCAGACATACAACTAACAAATTCACTATCTCATATCAGACGTGTAGCAAACAAAGTAGAATACTATCTCAACCTCTGAGTAGAATACTATATCATTTCTAGAATACTATCTCATTTCAGAGTAGAATACTATCTCATTTCAGACCTAGAAGCATACAAGAATACTATCTCATTTCAGACCTACAAGCATACAAGAATACTATCTCATTTCAGACCTAGAAGCATACAAGTATACTAACTCAACATGAACAACATATCACATATGAAACATGGTTATCATAACATTGACCAAAGTTGATTACATAGAAACATAGAATGGAGATAACATATGACAAACAAACAGAACATTTGAAAACAAACAGAACAAATTTGTTACACGTAAAATTCAGAAATACTGATTAACTATCTTGTCCTTGATAGCTTCATCAGAAGCACTTAGGGGTTCCTTCTTAGCCAGAAGGGTATCTAAGATAGCAAGTTTTTGGAGTTTTTCTGTTTCAGCCATCTCCTCTTTCTTTATCTCCCACATGCTTTTATAATCAGCTAGGGCCTTTCCTTGAGCACTAATCTTTTTAGTCTTAGCAGCCTTCACACCCTCAGGCCTCATCTCAGTGTCTTGGACATTGCTACTTGCCTCTTGCGATGCTTCTTCAGCTGGCTTCCTCTTTGTTGACCCTTTAGGTGTAGAAGTATTCCCCATATTAAGAGACAGCCACTTCTGTTCATACCTAAGAAGACACCAACAGTGTTCCATGTTGAATCTTAACTTGTGGTCGGAATGGTAGATCTCATGTGCCACCCTGAGAACGTCATTTTGTGAGTGGCCAGAAGTATTTTGTCTCTCAGCAGTTGAGTAAGCAGCACAGAACTTGTTTACAAAGTCATTAATTTTATGCCACCGTTGCTTACAATTAACCTTCAGGGCCTCTTCACCTCTCTCTGAGGACTTTGGAGAAGCTGCATAGTACTCCCCCACCCTCTTCCAAAAGCAACCTCCTTTCTGTTGATTCCCCACAATGTTGTCCTTCGAAGTATTCAGCCAAGCGGATATCAGAACTTCATCATCAGAGGGGATCCATTTCTTCCTCTCTTTGCGGTTGTCAGGTGTGTCTTGAGAAGCAGGGGTGTGGTCAGAAGGTTGTGAGAAGGAAATATTGTGTTCTGAAGCTAGATTGAAGGCATGAGGAAAACTCTCATAACAAGAGTTTTCCTGCTGTTGACCTTCTACTTGACTCTGAAGAAGATCAAGATAGCTTGATGACTGATGATCAAGATTACTTGATGAATGATGAAAAGGATTGTAAGGATCCATATGAAAACAGTCGAGAAGAGAATAATGAAAGAGAGAAATGTTTTGCTGGTTTGAGATATTACAGAAGACGAGTACTTGGAAATGGTTGAGAATAGATAAAAAGGGGGAGAAAAGATGAGTTAAGGCTGCTTTGTTTAGTAGGTGATAAAGGTTTTCGAAGTACATATATGAGTTAAGGCTGCTTTGTTTAGTAGTTGATAAAGGTTTTGCAAGTACATAGATGAGTTATGGCTGGTGAGGTTAATGGTACTTCTGTTTTAAAGTTAGAAAGTATTAAGTTTTAAAGTTTTAAAGTTAGAAAGTTTTAAAGTTAGAAAGTTTTAAAGTTAGAAAGTATTAAGTATAGAGTTAAGGGTGGTATGATGGTATAGATATAGGTGAGAAAGTCAAACATAGTCTAATCAGAAGTTATGACACTACAATTATCAGAAAACAGATCTATATTTACAAGTTCTAGTGGTTGAAATGTGAGTAAATCATTTTCAGGAACTAGATACTACAGATGTGAGGATAAACATATCAGACAACAATACATTTCTAACGAATAGCATTACAATACAACTTGAAATGTGAGTAAATCATTTGCAGGAACTAGCTACTACATACATATTATATGTGACTAACACATTTCTAACAACACATTGCTAACAAAGAATTACAATACAACTTCAAATGTGAGTAAATCATTTGCAGGAACTAGCTACTATAGATGCATTTTATGTTCCTAAACCTAACCATATCAGAAACAACACATTGGTTAAACGTGTCCATATCAGAAAGAACACATTGGTGTCTCAAAGTACAGATAAGAACAACCAAATATCAATAGACAAGAAAGACCATGAAAACTCAATCATCATAAAAACAGAATGACATATACTAAGCTCAGAGAACAAGGTAAGTAGGTAGTAGAAGCAAAGAACTACCAAATCCTTTAACAATTAACTAAGGGGATCGAGTTTACCTTATTATACAGTGATATAATGTCGATGAAGCTGCCTCTTCTTCCTTCCTTTTAGGCAGAACGTTACCTGTTTGTCCAACTCAATAGTCACAACAATTAGAAATGTTAGAAAATCGTAAGACAAACAAAACATACAATTATATAAACCTATGTCCAAACTTTGACACATGCAATATGATTTACACAAACATTAATTTCGAAGATGGAGACAACAACACATTTCTGAAATACGTTTTTACCACTAATCGATTGAAAATCGTGAAAAAGAAAAACAAAGACAACCCTAATCGATTGAAAAACCTTTATTTCATAACCTCTCTTAACCCTATTCGATTCAAATATTTCATAACCTCCATAACCCTAATCGATTGTGTTAACCCTAACAATCGTTCTGTAAACCCACCCACAACCATAGTTCATCAATAGATTTACCTCTTAAAACTAAAATCCCCAATTTTCTAACCTAAAACTGAAATCGGATTGGGATTTCGAAGACCTACCTGAGGTGCTCGATCCAGTTTTCGTGACAGCTTTTCGTCTTCCTTGGCCCAATCTTTCTACCGGAGACGATGTCGAGGCTAGCCGGAAAATCGTCGCGAAAACAACAATCGCCTCTTCGTTCGCCCACACCCACCCGAACTCGAGAGAAAAAGAGACAGAGAGAGAAAGAGAAATTAGACAAGAGACCCCGAGATTTTTTCTTCCCCACTTAATCACTTCTCCAATAATGAGTTGACACGTGGCAAACGGGACGATTCGATTTTGTCCCGTTTGAACGAACGTATACAACGTAATATCGAATTATTCATTTAATTTTAAATGAAAAATTGCATGGGACGAGGCGTACACACGCTAATGCCCTTGCTCTTAGTTCACTAATGTCATGGTTGGAAAGATATGTTACAGAATATTAAGAAAATATAATTGTATGTTTGATGTTTGTTCCAGACTCCAGTAACTATATCATATACGTTACGCAATGATAAATTGGAGTTTGGAAGTGAAAATGGTGAATTAAAGGAAAGAGATGAGTACGTAGACAAATGGTTCGGTAAGAGAGAGCATCACAAACATGTTAGGTCTTTGTATACTACATTGTATGTTTCGTGCCGTGTCTTGTCTAATTGTCTTTTTGTTGTCTTACCAATTGATAATGTTAACCCATGCATGCCTAACCTTATAATGCTTTTATAACTACGAAAATCTCGCTGAAATGTTTTTAAAAGGCTGAGTTTTTTCTTTTATTTTATTTTGGTCAATCAAAGTGTCTACAATGGTGTCGATCGATGAAGAACCCATAGAAGGAATCCGTAGAAATAAGCATCTAATTTTCTAAACTATACATACTATTGCATCATCATTACCTGGGCTGCTTCCATGCATCTTTACTCATCTAAAACTTTCTTATTTATGATAAGGCAAAATGTGAAAGATAAACCTTGATTTAAAGGCTCTCAAAGTGATGTGAGTTGTAACATTTAAAACAACTTAGTTCAGGAATGGATTAATGCAACAATAATCCATAATAATGTTAATGTATATATGTAGTCGTGGAAGAACCAAATCATTAGTCATCTTTTGTAGCACGTTGTAGTAGAGAGAGTTATGTGAACTTATGATCAAGTTTACATGCTTTGGTTATGTTCAACGTTAATGATGGTTTTCTATATTATCGATTGACTTCCATGTCAATGACTTTTGAATTTTTGATGCAATTGATAATTTAATTGTTAGTTTGTTACTTTTGAATCACGTTACATTTATAATTGTATCAAATATCACATCTTGCGTCCAAGTGATCGAGTTAATCGTGCTCGAGTATAGACGGCGAATCAACTAAAAATGAAGCCAAATTCTGATTTACGCATGATTTAATAATTATGGTTTTTTTTAAATTTCTATTATTGTTCTGTTTGCTACATACGTGACAGTTGATGCTACCAATTGGATCTTGAAGTATACAAAAACTAACGTGCATGTTGCCAAATACAACACTCTTTATCAATGTCAAACCGAAATTAATCAAGAAAAATACAAACAATAATAGGGTTTATTTAAAAACTCCACTCTCCAGTCTCCTCCAAACCTGACTCTTTTATTACTTGTACAAACAGTTGTATACTACTTGTGGAAGCTGTTAACTCAAAATTAATATTCTCTCTGCTTGCTTTTATTTTTCTTATATCAAACTTATCAACACACAATCACGTGTGACTAACATTAACTGTATTACTATAAATACACATCAATCACACGGTGTTCACAATCAACGGCCATAATCAAGACAACCATCGATCTGCCAAACCGGCAAAAAATGACGTCATCCTCACCGTCTCCACAAGCCTCGATGCTTTTGTATTGGCACGACAACCAATACGACGACCGCAACTTCCAGATTCATGGCCGTACACTCTTCTTCGCTGTCGCTCTGTTTTCCATCATCTTCGTCTTCGCTCTACTCACTCTCTACATCCACCGGAGCTGTCTACCACACACTCCCGCCGTTATTCTCCACGCGCCGTCTCCTGATCAACATACGCTCTGCGTCCGCGGAGGGCTTGATCCCGCGACGATCCGGAGCTTGCCTGTTGTGCTTTTCCGGAGAGAAGCAGCGGATGAGGAGGAGGAAGAGTGTTGTATATGTCTCGGTGGTTTCGAGGAAGGGGATAAGATGAAAGTGCTTCCTCCGTGTAGCCATTGTTACCACTGCGAATGTGTGGATCGGTGGCTAAAGAAAGAGTCGAGCTGCCCGCTATGCCGAGTCTCTATCCGAGTCGACTCGTCCATGTCGTTGCCAAGGCAATGAGAAACAGCTATAGAGTGATAGTGATTAAAGATATTTAATATGTTTTTTTTTTTTTTTTTGTCTTTGGGTGAGTTAAAGATTTTTTAATTTAACATTTTGCATGGCCGTGGATGGAGAAGAAGATATTTTATACATACACAAACACACGAATGGTTATGGTTTAAGAAAGAAAGGCTTCGGGTATGGGCTTTATTGAGCCTATAATTAATAATCAACAGGCCCAATACTTGCAAAAGGAGGAAACGAGTGTCTAGGGTTTTTGCAGTCGTATAAAGAAGCAATATGAGTGAAGCGAACAAAACTCTTTCTGATTTGTCCGCCGCTCATTTTCTTAATCTTGGAATCTGCATAGAAGAATCAGAGGAGTGCAGAAGAAGAGTCTATCCTCTGAGAATTCACCATGAGGGCTAAGGTGAGTTACGGTTTTCTTCAGTTTGTTTTCGTTTAGGGATACTCTAAGAATCGTGAGAGTAGTAGATATAAATGGTGTGTTTTTGGGTTGTATCAGTGGAAGAAGAAGCGTATGAGGAGATTAAAGAGGAAGAGACGAAAGATGAGACAGCGATCTAAGTAGAGAGCCTCTCTTTTTTTATTCTTCTTCTTGTGTTTTCTTCGTTGTTAGAACCAAACTCTGTTTTTGAGTTTCAGTTTGATTGTTTCCTTGGACCAAAGTTAATGCAAGTTGTGTTTTATAATTTTGAAATGCGCGCTAAAGTTAGATATAGGTGATTGCTTCGGATGTTGATTGACTAGATTATTTGGTTACACCTTTGGATAGGATTGCCACAGTGTCGTGATAGTTATGCTTGCTCTCATCCGATATGGTTTGGTATGATACTTTGTGGATCTCTGGTTCGATAGTCTTTATCTTAATCCATCAGCCCTTGCGCTGGCTCATTCAAATCACTTTCCTTATATAAGATTAGAATTGAAAGCAGCGCAACTTTTGCTTCACACTGTTAGAATCATGTCCCGGTTGTTGCACTTATACGAGCCCATCAATCAAACACGACATGCACAGCAAGCTTCATTTATATCCTGTTCCTTTAACTCGGTCTTCATTTTACCTAATTCATTAGCGCTGATCTTGCATCCAACGACTGCTATGAGATGGTATTTTGGCAGGTTCATATAATAAAGCCTAATAAAATAGAGTCTTGGAGTTTTCTTCACCAAGAATTTTAGATATGTTAGTCACGATATGAGCTGTGTACGGAGAAAGCAAATCTACATGGTTGAGTTGAGCGAAGAATATCGATATATAAACTCTCAATCATTATTTATTTGAAATATAAGGGATAGAAGACATACAATCTAGAGATCGACCAGACCTTCTTCGAACATACACAAACTTGAAATAACAATAATTATTTAAAATAGAGTCTTAGTATTTTTTTGTCACATATTTGACAATTATTGAAACATGAAAGATAACTACCACTTATCCTCCATATGCACGAGGTATCTTATTTGTCTAGGCAGTTTCAACTGCATTCATGGAACCCTTGGCGCACACTGTAGAACATGTTATGGCACATTTTTCAGCTGCTCCCTTAACAATTTCACTTGCATCTAATCAACGAAACACAATTAAATGGATGATATATTCGACTGTCCATAATTAAAATGAAATTTTTTGATGATAGTGATAGTTAGGAGGGGTGTTTGCTTTACCGGAATTTTGGATAGTGGTTAAAACACTGCACACAGAGGATACACACCCAAGCTTGCAGTATTCATTGACAACATCACCTTGAAACAAAAATCAAAACACATTAAAATTATAAAATCTTGATCCCCGTTTGAATTGTAAAAAATAATTAATAAATCACAATTTTAATTAATTTACCTGTGTTTTCGAGAATGTCTTTAGGATATCCTCCAGGACATGACCCATTGACGATTTTGCAGCCACTGAGACTTGCACATATTGGTCTGGAAGTTCCCATTAAGCGGCAAGCATTATAGATGTTCCTAGCATTGGTAGAAGGACAACAGCTCTTTGCGTTAACTTGAAAATGTGCCATGAATAGACTCACTACGAACACACTTAGGATCAAAGTTTTGCCTTCCATCTCTCGATAGCTTAGTTTTGTTTGATTGCAAAACGTATTTGGAGAGTTGTGTAGACGCTTGTATTGATGAAATGGTGATGAAAGGAGGCTCGCTTAAATACCAGTTGGTCTCGGATCTGCAACCACAAACAAGGCTTATCACATCCTCTATAGACTGGGTGGAAGAATTAATTATGAAGCGTATGAGTAGATTGAATGTAGTTTAGTTATCACGAGTTCTTTATTTCTGTATTTAATTTTTAACCAACTCTCTTGTGATTGTTATAAGTAAACAAAAAAATCCATTTGTGATTGTGTTGTTTCAAATTATAACTAACTCTTTTGTGGTTGTGTTGGAGTTTCAGTTTTGATATTTTGTTGGTTAGATGGAAAAACCCATATGGGTTCTTTATTAGAGTTTTCTCTGATAAATAACGAATTTCTATAATCTGCTTAATGAACTAATATGCTCTTGAGATGGTTAGATTTTATATCAACCCTATTAGAGATTTAAACAATTGGCATCCCTTGGGATGTTTTATAATCAAAGTACAAAGCGAAGTACATATATAGATTTTGGTCACACTAGGGACGTAGTGGGCAGTATCTATTCAAAATTTGAGACGTGAGACTTGCAAACTAACAAGTGATGGTGATCTATCCGACACGTGATTCTGGTTCATCCAACAAGATGAGATATGCTCTTTTTCTCTATTGAGCAGGGAAGTGTGTGAGAAAATTTCACAAAGTAAGGATTGTTTAAAATGTCGGAAGCTTTAAGTGAACAAATAAGCTGGGAAGAAAAAGAAAGAAAAAAAGATAAACTGAGAAGAAAGAAAGAAGAACTCACGAGTGAGAGAATCTGAAAGTAAAAACGATAAGACTATTAAGAGAAGTATGCATCTCCTCCAATGATAAACAGTAAAATGGGCTTCAACCAAAAATGACTCACCTAAAAGCCCCCAAAGAATATTACAGAAGAAAACAGGTTTATTATCCACACATGCCTATATATCAAACGAAATCAAAGAAGGAAACATTCCGATGAATTCCTCACAGATTGCACTACAATGAGATTTCAGTTTTTTTCCATAATGGTCTTAGTAGCCGCCCATCGGTGGCATTCCATATGCTGGCATTGGAGGCATTCCTGGCATTCCGCCCATTGGTGGTGGCGGACCATACCCACCACCTCCCATTCCTGGCATTGGTGGTGCGGGTAAAGCAAGTGGCAATAATTGGGCGTACATGTTCTGTTTTCGAGAAACAAAAACCGAGACATATGTGAGTATATTGATTTGTTTTTATACATTTTAAAGTATGATACCTGACACTACAGTACCTGTTGGGACATGACATCCTTCTCTTCCTGTTCTTTGGCCTTCACCTCTTTTTGTGCCTCCAGCTTGTCCTTGATTAGCTCATCCACTTTGCCCGAGTATTCTCTCATAAACTGCAGAAAAAAAGGACAGGATAAATGAAAGTTGATCATAGAGTTAGTATGGTTCCTATCACAACAGGTAGAGAGTATCCGAGGGATTTGAAGGATAAATTACCTGGAGGAGATACGGGAAGGCAAAGTCAATCATATTGTTCATCCAAGCAAGTTCTAGAGCAACGTCTGGTCGGATTAAGTCATAACAGACAAAGAGACATGTAGCAAAGCATTCCTTTTTCCCCTGTAATATTAGCACAACAAAAGTGAGTATTCAATCATCTTCAAGACCAATAGTCTGTTTACCGTATACAGTAAAAACTGAAAAACAAATTAATGGCTTTTGATGTAAACCTGCTTGAAACCCATCCATACCTGTTCAATGAAGTAGACAAGAAGTTGTTCTGCAAGATCATGGTCGCCGGATTGTGAAGCAGTTTCCATACAGTCCTTGTACATGTTATCTTTCTTTGACAAAGCAATCGATTGCTTCCATCTACCAGCTTTCTTGTAGATATAAGCAGCCACACGTCTCATTTCGACAAGCTCGTGTTTCTCAATCTGTTTTGCACCATCATCATGAAGATAAATTAGTATACAAGGGAAAATATAAAATGTGTACTCGATAGATAGATTTAAACTCTTACCTTCTGAGCGAGACCTATCTGGTCAAAACTGTCATGCAAATCAATAGACTCGCGCAACCTGTCATAGTCTTCTTCTTCTACGTAAATCTCATTCAGAGCTTCATTTACAGCAGACACATTGTTGCTCTGAACTGCAACCATGTATGGCTTGATAAGGCGCAATTGACCAGCCTGACATCAAAAACAAGAAATCGATTCTTAAGCCACTGCTGATAAGTTTTAAGGGAAATAACTAAATCAATGATCAGCCTCTAACCTTGCGCATAATATCAACGACACGCGTGTGATCTAACCGCAAAGCAAGCACATTGAGAAGATCGTTGATTATGTCAGGATGCTCTTGTAAGTAGAAGTGAACGGCCTTGTAGTAAAGCTCAACATTCGCAACCTTGGCAACGATATCTTTGAATTGCATGTGCTCCCATGCTTCAGGAGAATGATTCATGACAGTGGTTGCAGCATTATCGAACTCATCATATTGAATGTAAAGATAGGTAAGTTCTTGCCAATGCTGTTGTTCATCACAGGCCCGGATAAGCTTGGGAATATTAAGGCGAGTTGAGAACAACTTGATGTGTTCCATAAGCTTCTCATAACGATATCTGGCGTACAGTACACCCAACTCGGTGAAGATACCCATGTGAGCACGTTCCAGACCAAGTCCACTCTCCATAAGTGAGATCAATTCATTGAAGCATCCTTTGTTTTGGTAGTATTCGCTCACTTCTTCCAGATCATCCACCTATTTAAGCACAACAAGATTACAAAAAGGCATACAAAATTGAAACCCAATTACAACTATAAACGTTCTCGAACTAGGATTAGGTATATCCACCTGTATGATAATGTTAAGTCCACATATTTGAGCCAGTCGAAATTCCTCAGCATCAACACAAGCAAAGCAGACTTCCTTCCATGTCTTTGCACTATTTGCTTTCCTTGCAGCATCGACAGCACCTTGGAACTGTTGCAACTTCACAAGCGTGACAGCTAACTTGGCCCAATTTGATATGAATGCATAGATTATCTTTGCAGCCTCATACAGAGCTTCATCATACAAGCGGTCACCAACATTTTGAAGGTTAGCAACGTTGGGCATCAGAATAAATTCTTCAATCTCACCCAATCTTTCAACCTTTGCGTAAGCATAGATGAGCTCACTATCCACCTTGGGTTCCTTTACCTTCTGTCTAACCATCAGGAGGTATTTGACCAAGTCATCATACACATTAGTATCTTCAGAGGCACGGATGACCTCCAGGAACTGAGTGGCATCATCAGCTCGGATAAAGGACTCAATAGCATCACTGACCAGTCCTTCCCTAAGCTGAGCCTTAGCAACTTGACTCCAAACAGCATCTTCTTCGACCCGGAAAGCAAACTCAACAGCACGTTCAATGCTTCTGACGTTATCCAACAGTACATTGACAGCCTGAACATTTAAGTTAAACTTCTTGAAAATCGCAAATGCTTCCTCATACAACTGTGCATCAACTGCCACTTCTCCAACAGCTGGACCATCAAAATTATCTAGCCTGTTAATGTAATCCATAACTCTAGACGGATCTGCCTTAATAGCTGTCAATATAAGCAGATTTTGCAGATTGAAATTTCCACTGAAGGCAGAATTTTGAAGCACAATTTTTTCAAGAAGCTCAATAAGCTCATGCGGCAGATCAGCAGTCATGAATGCTTTAACAGCTGCAGAAACTTGCTCTGGGCTCTTGCTTTCTGGTAAAGCAGTAGACACAACTTGGTCGATAAGTTGTCTCCTATATTCATTTTCTTCCGTAAGAACCTTCTCCCAGAGGTCACCATCCATCCTCTCCACTACGTACCTGCAGGTGTAAAACCCATGTATAAGCAGTCTAAAAAGTAACCAGCGTGTAATAACTAAGAAGTCTGGCAAGCAATAATCAATTACCTGGCTTGTAACTTGAACAAAGAGTTCTTGTTGGTGACATTGATGAGTTCCTCATCACATTGTCCTCTTCTGTATGCCACAACAGCCAGAGTGGGATCACGTTTCTCGCAGTACTTACCCACAACCTTAGAGTCGTAGTAAGGATTGGTGGTCAGGAAATGCTCGGGGTTGTTATTACTGTCTATGATAATTTTACCCAAGGCATTATGGACATGCACATCTTGGCTGCCCTCACTAACTAGATGCTCCAAGAACTGCGTGAGGAGACGGAGTCGATTTCTGAAAAGACAGATACATATTAGAGCCTCCAGAAAAAAAGAGCATCCATATGAACCGAAACCAAGATGAGTTAAAGGATTCACACCTCTTCTCACATTCCTCAACAAGGGGTTCAACAGGAAGTAATGAACGAACTGAAAGAATGAGGCCTTTTATAAAATCTTCAGGGCATTCGTCATCAAGCAACTGCCCCACAACTAAGGGAGCATTCCCAGGATTCACCTACAAAAGGAATCGCATGTAAATCATTGAATATAAAGCCTACCACAATTTACAAAAGTCTTAAGAAACTCCATACCTTCTGAACATAACCTTCTATATAACGCAGCATGTTGTTTGTGTAGAGGTAATGAGTAAGATCAGGCACAAAGCCAAAACGGTCACAGACATTTATCAAAGGTCGGGCATCAGGAAGCTTAGCTTCCATCAAAAAGTTCTTCGTCTTTTCAGCATCATAAAAGTTAGACTCTCTAGTCACACGCTCAACTTCCTTTATTTGACCAGTCTTGGCAGCTGCTTCAATGTACTTGAAGTGAATCTCAGGATCCTCACTATCACACAGAGGGAAGACATTGTAAGTCATTAGAATGCAAACACAAGGATTGTGCTTGTTTGCAGGAATAACAGCAGGTTCTTGATAAGTTACCTCATGCTCAAATATGAACCTAGGAAAAAGTACAGCCCTTCGTATGACTTGAATTGCTCAAAGAGTTTAATGCATGCATCAACACCAAGTTGCTCACAGTACTCCTTGCAAGCCTGCAAAAACATGGACACGTCAGTGTCACATTAAACAATAACATTCATATGTTACCACAATACAGCACA